AAAATAATTTTTATTAACAGGCCAATCAAATCACATTAATTCCAAATCACATTAGTTCCAAATTATACAGCCAAATTTTTAAACTTTTGTTGGGGGTACCCATACTTCGAGCTCCGAAAGGGATCCAAACATCATTCTTGCTGCTGCTTTAATTACACAGTTCTGTCCAGTTCTGTCCAGATAGTCTCTTTGTTATTTTCCTCATCTTCTTGTTGTTATCATATATTCCTTTCTTTGTGATCTCTGATAACCTTCACAAGCGGATTGAAAACAAACATATTGTGTGTGTGTTTTTTACACTCTCCAAGAGTCATATCACATAAAGGACAGACGCCATTTCCACACCTCCGTAAAGAACATTCCCACAGTCTGTCCGTTGATTTCCACAGGCTTGCCAATCTATATCTCAGGGGGCCCTGCCAGGTCAAGATCACATTCCGATAACCATACATTCATATTCCGATGACCCTGGCCTCCTCCCCCTCGTCCTCCTGTGGGCAGGCCTGTCTTAACGAAACTCCATTTGTAACTGCGTCACAAAGCTTTCTTTCCATTCCCCAATGTTTCCACCAGTCCTCTCTTTGATCAGTAATTCATTTCCACACAGTTCTTAATCTCCTGCTTGTGATTAGTAATTTGCAACGATTCTTCTCTCTGGAGGGGAGGATTATTGGGTACTCACATAAAACAAAAAAAGAAAAGTTTTTTCCTCCCCCCCCCTTTCCGTTTCACTCCAACATACCGATCTTTTAATGATGAACCTTCACTTGATTTATTGTCCAGCCCGTCGCTCCGCTCACAGAGATCCCATTAATCAGCAGTCTTTACTCCCAATCTTCACTTGAAGTATGTGCATTTGCTTCTTTTTCCAATTATATATTTCAAGCTGATGCAAACCAGTGCGCGATTAGAGACAGCATCAGGGAGAGCCGACCTCACCCGAGGGCTTTGTGCCAAGTGCCCTCACCCCCTTCTTTCGAATCCGGGGGTGAATTATAGACACAGCTGGCAAGGCAGTCCCCCCATTTCCTTGGGGGGCAAGGGAGGCTGCATACTCCCATATCAGCCTCTTAATTACCTCGTGTGGGTCAGAGAGATGTTATTGTCGGCCATCTTCCAATGCGCCCCCTGGTGGCCCCCCCCATATTCCCTTCTTGGCAATTTTCTGGGACCACATTCCAGTACTGGTCGAGCCCAGTGGCCAAAGTGAGCTGAGCAACAAATGTAAATTTTACCTTTGTATAATAGGATTTTTCTCCACACACTGCTCTATTCCCCATCCAGCCAAGCTAAAGGCATTATCAGATTTTCAGGAGACATGCCATCCAGGCAAAACACTCAAGGTGGATGTGAACCAGGATCCGTAACAAGTGTGGCTACCCAGAGAAGGTTGTGGCCTTCAGACAGTCCTGAGGGCCAGACAGGGAAATTTGGAGGGCCACATCTCAGAGGCAGATTTGGAGAGTGAGACTGGTTTGCCTGTACTGGGTGCGGAGCCGAGAGGACGCCACAACAATGAGGAACAATGGAAGGTGAGAGGGGGGCACTGAGTTGTGGTGTTGTTCAGGGAGCCACCCAAAGTCCGCCACTGCACATCTGGCTCCTGGACATAAGATTCCCTACCCATGGTGGACTGGGAAGCCTTTGGTTCAAATCCTATCTTAGCCATCATGAGCTGGATGCAGCCCCTGAGGCTAACCTACTTCATAGGCTTGTTGTGAGGATAGAATCGGGATAATCTTATGTGTACCATTCTCAGTTATTTTGGAGAAAGGGTAGAACACTAGTGAGATAAATATTAATACATTTCAGCAAAGCTGTGCAATTTGTTGTTGTTGTTTAGTCGTTTAGTCATGTCCGACTCTTCATGACCTTACGGACCAGAGCACGCCAGGCACTCCTGTCTTCCACTGCCTCCTGCAGTTTTTGTCAAACTCATGCTGGTAGCTTCGAGAACACTATCCAACCATCTCGTCCTCTGTCGTCCCCTTCTCCTTGTGCCCTCCATCTTTCCCAACATCAGGGTCTTTTCCAGGGAGTCTTCTCTTCTCATGAGGTGCCAAAGTATTGGAGCCTCAGCTTCACGATCTGTCCTTCCAGTGAGCACTCAGGGCTGATTTCCTTCAGAATGGATGCGTTTGATCTTCTTGCAGTCCATGGGACTCTCAAGAGTCTTCTCCAGCACCATAATTCAAAAGCATCAATTCTTCGGCGATCAGCCTTCTTTATGGTCCAGCTTTCACTTAGCTTGCACCAAAATAAAGAGACTTTCTTCTTCAGAACAGTTATTTGCATTGGTGAATGAGTCTCTCCTCCCTGCTCTTCAAAGAGCAAAAAGCTCCCCTCCTCCGATGGTCCCGTAAGCAATGCTCTGGGGGTAGTTCTACCTACCCAAATGGCCTTCCTGAATATAAGCCATATCGGCATTAAGTGCTTAATACAATATAGGCTGGAATCTATGCTCTCTTAACAGGTCTATTACATTCATTAACATTTCATGAAGCAATTTTAACATTATCTTTAAGTGTTTGCTATCTTGCTTTTCAAACTACACTAGAGATATAGACATTATCCAGTCATTATCCAGTATAGAAACACTACACTACACACACACACACACACACACACACACACACACAGCACAACAAAAGCATTAAAGTCCAGAATTTCCTAAGAAGGCCCACGATTTCAAGATATATTATCATGTTGGCTTTGTTTGTCTGCCTTGCAAGCAAGGCTGGTCCAAGGTTCTATGGAAACCTTTGCAAACATCATCAATACAAGGGATTTGCCCACTTAGGAAGATTATTTGTGCTTAAGCCTGGAGACAGGCAATCACATTTAAGGGAATTGAAGCTCTTGTGACTTGTGACAGAGGTATCATTTCTGTAGCCCACTGTCAAACTCAGCCAACTCTGACTTTTGAAACAATATAAAAATTTGAAAAGCCTCTGAACAGAGGTAATGGGATTTGAGCATGCAAATGATGTCTCAATCATGTCACCTCCTGTTCTCTAATAGGGTGGCCAAATGCAAAAGTCCAGCACCTTTAACAGTAGCATGTATTTGTAGCATGTATTTGAGCAGGTGTGGCTTGTCATACAATCTGCAGCTGTTGAAATTCCCCCCTCTACACAATTTTTAAAGGTGCGGGAGCCCAGCTGCCTTTTGCATCTGGCCACCCAACTCCTTGATAATAATATTATCTGTTTCTGCTAAGGTGGAGGTTCCTATCTTTCACGATGTTGGCTTGCAGCAGGGAAGAATCTGCCACTATAATTGTCAGTTTTCTGTGCTGCATTTGTGTGAGCAGAGGGGTGACCTCTGAATGATGCTTTCATGTTGCGGGGGTGAAATCACAACTGAAAATTTAAACACAGGCATTTTCTGCTGAGATTGATATGCACAGCGTTCATGCATCAAAACCAGGCCTTATGCCTCAGCCGTGATTTATATTAAGATCTACCTTTTTCTGAAAAGAACCCAGCCACTTGCAGGTGAGCTAGCATGCTATGGAGGTGTTTGATGCAACAGTCTTGATGAAACTAAGCAGATTTGCATCTGCTCAGTACCTGGATAGGACTCCTCAAGTATCCTCAAAGATGTTGTTGTAGCATGAAAGAACCTAGTGGTTAATGTAGGGAAAGAATCACATACAGACCTTGTATATGCACATCACTGCAGATCTTAGAACTGGCATCACACCAGCTATAATGTTTTCTTTAATGGGGCAAACAGCAACAAGGGCTACAATTTTTATTGACAAAATGGCGTTGGGGCAGGGTGGAGGGGAAGATACTGTCCAGCATTTTTTTATAGCTTAGCTGTGAAATAAGAGGTGAAAAATCTGAAGTGCTGATTTATTTTCCTTCCTTCCATTAAGTACTACCTGCCTTTTTCCCACCATGGAACCCAGGCATGGAACTTCCAGATGGCTACCCACCAGACTCAAAGCAGGCTCAAACCTGCTTAGCTTTGACAAGCTTTTCATCGCATGAGTTGTCAGCCCATATTTGGGGACTTCAAATGTTGCAAATTTAAACATGAGCAACTGTAAATGCTGCAAAGTGTGCACTATGAAAAGTTGTAATAATTTTCATGTCTTTGTGCAAAGTAAAAACAACAACAACACCCTAGATGCTGTTTGCAAATCCTTGGCACTATGTCTGGTCCATGATGATGATTCTTAGGGAAGGGGCATTTCAGAAACAACTGTGTGTTTCTTAATTCACACTTTTTGAAAGTCTTTGCATAATTCCCAAAGGGATCTAGATATGGATCGTGAGCAGTTGTATGCTGAAAGAACTAATGTTCGAGACTGAGGTGAGGTGGGAATTCAAGCCTTTTAAAATAATAAAGAAAAAAATATGAACAATAACGGAAAGGGTATTTACACAGTGAGGAAGACACAATACTGAAAATATTTAGCATTGCTGTCTGAAAGCTGTAAAAGTTAATAGCTAGGAATTTGCTTCCAATACATAAATGGTAAAAATCCCATTCAAGTCACCAATCTGATTTAGGAAAGAAACCTTTGCTTCCCTATCTTCCCTCTGGGGCCACCTCCACCTCCCATATGTTTTTCAGTGTTCTGTTTACTTTTAGATCATAAACTCAGAACACTGGGAAGGTTTATGTCAGGCAGAATATAAAAGCAGGTTGTGTAACAGGCTCTCATTTACGCCAGGGCTGCAGTGGTGACAACAAGGATTCCTCTGCTTCCCAGTCATGGACTATGATTAACAGCTGCCCTCACACAAGCCTATTCTGTGCAGAACTCAACCTTAAGCATGTATTCAATGATCTCTTTTCATAAGTAACAGAAGCAGTAGACAGAGTGAAGGGTCAGCCCACATATCTTTTAAGGAATCAAAAAGGGAAACCAGCTGAGCTACATTTACTGTGTGACCCAGAGAAAAATGTGTTCATTGTATCCTAGAATCACATGGTTGGGTCCTCAAGGGTCATCTAGTCCAACCCCCTGCAATGCAGGAATATTTTGGCCCAAGTGGGGCTTGAACCCACAACCCTGCTCTACTGCTCTACTGACTGAGCTATCCTGTAGGCCAGGGGTCAGCAACCTTTTTCAGCCGTGGGCCGGTCCACCGTCCCTCAGACCATGTAGGGGGCAGGACTATATTTGGAGAGGGAATGAACGAATTCCTATGCACCACAAATAACCCAGAGATGCATTTTAAATAAAAGGGCACATTCTACTCATGTAAAAACACGCTGATTCCTGGACTGTCCACAGGCTGGATTTAGAAGGCGGTTGGGCTGCATCTGGCCCCTGGGCCTTAGGTTGCCTACCCCTGCTGTAGGCTGTCTCCAAGATCACTTCATATATACTTCTCATTGCGTGAGTCAGCCTACTAGATGAACCCACAGAAGCTGTAGTATTGGGTCGCTTTCCCTCTGCTTTTTTTTTTTTTTAAATATTTATTAAAGTTTCAAAAAATACAAAAAATACAGAATACAGAAAGAAAAAGAATAAAGTTTTTTAAAATACAACCAAAAAAGTAAAAAATAAAAGGAAACATACCAAATAAAACAGTTAAAAAAAAACACATTAATTTTCCATAACCTATCTTCCCTATACTTATTTCCCCGGACCTCCTCATACCTCCCTTTTTTGTATTCCAGTTCAATTTGTTAGTTCAGCAAATCCTTACCATTAAAATTACCCAGTTGCAAACATTTTTTCATATCTCTTAAAGCATTACAGCTAAAAACCTCTTAGTTTCTATCTAACATCCTTCTAAGATTCCTTAATTTTACAATATTTCTGTAAATGGTCTTTAAATTTCTTCCAGTCTTCTTTCACTGACTCTTCTCTCTGGTCTCGGAGCTTTCCCTCTGCTTTTGAGAATCTTCTCCCATTTCAATCTACTCAGTTGCTTCATTTCCGACTCTCGGGTACAAAGCCACCTGGAGCAAAGGAATTTCATAGGGAGGCTCCGATTTGAAACTGCTGGATTACACTAATCAGCAAGTTCAAGTCTATCCATTTGAGCCTGAACACAGAAAGTAGTTTCCTGCCCCACCACCACAGATGTAAATCAATTCAGTATTGCTAAACTGATCGTGTTGGCGGCAATGTCTGCTTTTGTGAAGGATCGCCATGCAGATTCTACATACATTCAGGTTGCTGCTGTTGTTACTTCAGTTTAATGCCCCATCCTTCACCATCAGGTCCAAGGTGGATTGCAACAATTTATAATTTGATATTAAAAAGTTAGAACAAATTCAATTGTCGCCGACTGTGCTTTTGGCACTTCATTTTCATCTGCCCTCATTGCTAAGAGTTCCAGGTGCATACACCTACACAGAAGCTGCCTTATACTCAGACTATTGGTCCATCTCCCTTAGTATTAGTAGCTTTCCAGGATTTCAGACAGGGGTCTCTCTCAGCCCTACCTGAAGATGCCAGGGATTGAATTTAGGATTGACCTTCTGCATGTAAAGCAGATGCTCTACCCTGGACTATAAAATTCTATGCATCCGAATTTTATCCAAAGAAGCTTATGCCATACAAATGTGTTGGGGTTTAAAGTGCCACAAGACCTTTTGTTGTATATGCCACAACACAGATTAATCCTCTGGAAACTCCATTAATATCACATACAAAACAGGGTCGTTTCCCACACACTGCCTGACCTCTTCCGGCAGACCAGCAAGAACGTACATTCCATTAAGCTCATCTTAATGGAAATAGATATTCTTAAATTCTGGGTGTGTCCTTGCCAGGCTCTTTACATCGGATGAGATCAATGCATTAGCCTATGCATTGGAACGAGGAATCCTTGGAGCCAATGAGCATTGGCCATGATCCAAAGGTCCATGCAACTAATTCTATGCACCCAAGGGAGTTCTGCTTCTCATGCAATAGTTGCTTCCCCATCACCACCTCCGGCCATGACAAACTGAGAGGAGGCTGTTTTCATTAAAAAGTGACAATCGTATTGATTTATTATTTTAGTAGTAGTAGTAATGTCATTATATTTATATATATATATATATATATATATATATATATATATATATAATATTTATTAAGGTTTTTTAAAATATTACAATAGAAATGAAAAAGAAAAGAGAAAAATACAAAATAAAAACAGTTAAAAACACACATATTTTCAGTTACTTATTTTCCTTTAGCTTGTTTCCTGGACCTCCTCGTACCTCCCTTTTTTGTATTCCACTTCGATTTATTGGTTCAGCAAATCCTTACCATTAGATTTTAACCCATTTATAACCCTTTTTTTTATATTCTCTTAAAGCATTACAGCTAGAAACCACTTAATTACTATCCAACATCATTCTATCATTCATTAATTTTACAATATTTCTGTAAATAGTCTTTAAATTTCTTCCAATCTTCTTCCACCGACTCTTCCCCCTGGTCTCGGATTCTGCCAGTCATTTCTGCCAATTCAATGTCATTATATTTATTTGTGCCCCACCTTTTCCCCCAGACCAGGACTCAAGGTGTCTTTTAAACAAATTAAAACAACACAAATAAAATACAAAAAGCATACAAAAGATAATTAAAAAGCAATTAAAGGACAACAGAATTAAAACAAAACAAAACAAAACAAAACAAAACAAAACATAAAACCCCCACAAATCTATTCAAATACAGAGAGTTAAAAACACCACAGCAGGATTAAAAACCTTCTCCTTGAGAAAACAGTTGCCAAACGCCTGTTGGAATAAAACAGTCTTCACCCGCTGGCAGAAGGTGTCTGCTGCCAGTCCAGCTTCTCTGGGGAGGGAGTTCCAAAGTGGGTGCAGCCGCCGAGGTGGCACGCGTTATTCTTTCTGCCCTTTTATAACAACCTTATGTGGTAGGGTAGGCTGAATGATATAGGTGAGCTTCATGGCTGAACAGAGATCTGAAACTTCCTTGCTCTTGTGCCACACAACACTGGGAGAATCAGTGCATTTCACACAGGCCAGAATAGCCAGTAGGCCCAGTCTGGGCTACCAGCCCATAATAATGAGGGAGGGAATTGAGGCCAAATCCCTGAATATGTGGCTGATTTCCCATATCTAATCAGCAATGGAATAACAGAAGCCATTGTCCTGAATGGGAAGTCGTTGGTCCAATAATCCTCTACTATTGAGAGAGAGGAAGATGAAACGCTTGTATAAGCGTCACCCGGGGCCAAAAAAAATCTGGCTAGCCCCCACCCCCGTAGCTACGGCTCTGCCTCAAGCGTTTGTCTTTAGGAGGGTACTCCAAAAAAATAAAATTAAAAAAAGGCTGACGCTAGTCAGGCGAAGAGCTTCCCGCGCTACAGTTCTGCCTGAGCGAGGAGACGCTTCACCTGACGAACATCTGCCCGGCTTCCTCCGCGAGAGACAGGAGCGCGCCCGTCAGATTTTGAAGGTTGCGCGCTTCCGAGGACCATTCCGTCCACGTCACGCACGCACGCTCCCTCCTCCTGCCCCCGCCCCTCTGTGGCCGTTCCCGTTTTGGTCATCCCTTGAAGCCCCGCCCCTCCTGCCGGGCCCCGCCTGCCCGTATATAAGGCGTGGGGCTGGCGACAGAGAGCGAAAGTAGTTGTAGCAGCCGTATCTGCGCAGCGGGTCTCTGGACTGGAGCGCCATGGCAGGTAAGGCTCTTGCCCTGGAACGGGCTCGAGGCGCTTGCTTCCTCCTGCTTCCGCGCCGTCAGCCCCGGGGGGAGGCTGTCGCGGCTGCTCGGGCTTCCTGCCCGGGGGCTTTCCCCGCCCCGTCGCCTCGGGCCAGCTGTTCCCTTCCAGCCCCAGGGTGCCTGACGAGCAGCGCCAGCCTCTTCCGCGTTGTGCGCGCTGCCCGGGCCGGGAGGGCTCCTTCACTAGGAAGCGCAAGCGGCGCTTGGCGGCCCAGTCAGCGCGCGCGCTCGCACAGTCCGGGGAGACCCCAGCTGCTCCCTTTTGGTCATGGCGGCTCCTATTTTTAGGCTGGCTCGTGAACGGGGCTGGCGCGTGAGGTAGGGGGGCTCGAATGCCTGCGGACGCTTTGCCCTCCCTTGTTCTGGACGCCCTCCCCCCTCTCGCCCCCCTGCAGTGGCTGGTGGGCTCTGAATGGTAAAGGTCACCATGTGGAAAATTGATTCCTCTTAATCATCTCTCCACCCCCACCCCCGCTCTAATTAGCAGGTGATACTGGCTTCCCTCGTCCGTTTCTTGCTCATTCCAAGGAGGGGGGGGGAGAGAGAGAACCTCCTTGTTTGTTTGCATCCCCCCCCCCCCAACAACAACATACACACAGACTTCCTTTACCACAGAGCGGGCCTGCTGCCTAACATTACTTTCTCTTGTCCTGCTTACCGTTGAAACCTCTATTGGTATCTGTCTCGGGTTGCAACTGATGCTGTTAACTAGCCAGAATGATCTCCAAACGGGTCAGATGTTTGTCTGGATCAGGTGCTAGCGAGTTGAAAGCTTCTTCACTTGTGTAACCCGAAAGCTGCTGTGTAACCCGAAAGCTTACTGCAATTTTAAAACAGAGGGATCTACTACAGTGGTACCTTGGGTTACATACGCTTCAGGTTAAGAACTTTGCTTCAGGATGAGAACAGAAATCGGGCTCCGGCAGCGCGGCAGCAGCAGGAGGTCCCGTTAGCTAAAGTGGTGCTTCAGGTTAAGAACAGTTTCAGGTTAAGTACGGACCTCCGGAACGAATTAAGTACTTAACCTGAGGTACCACTGTACTGGATACTTGTGAATGCAATCAATGGCTCTTATAACTCCCTGTCCTTAAAACCTGCGTTGCAACTGTTCCTGTATCTTTCAATCTGTGGCCTGTTTGTGGGTTTTTTAAGGCCCCCCAAGTTGATAATGACTTGGAACACACAGAGCAGCTTAATTTATCTGAATATTAGAAAAGTTGGCCCCTTGCACATGGCAGTGGAGCCCAAGCATGAGTGGAGTAGGAACCTGCAGCTGCAGGTAAATATTAGGTCTTCCTACATGCAATAACCACCTCCAGACAACTATAGGTGGATGCTAACCAGGGTACTTCCATTGTGGGCCCTTGTGAAAAAGACAGTTCCCACCCCATTTACTTTATACCAATATCCAATTACATACACTCCCTCCGAATATAAAATGTAGCATGTATCTTTTCAGAATGCATATAAATTATAGGTCCATTTTATACAGAATACTAATTCCACACGTCTTCTATGGCAATCACTGATGCTAATCCAATTCCCACATGATTTGGGATTATTTTATTTCCTGGACTCGGCTAGCACTCAACCACAAACCATCCCTTCTACTCTTCCTGTGGTTGCCTCAGGGATGGCAGAGCTAATTCCTCCTCCAGAGGAGAAACACAGTGGAAGACCTTGTGTAGATATGTGTGCACGCACTAAAGTTTAGCTGCTGAAGGGTCACATGTAGGTTCATTATGCCATGGGCTCCTGGTTTTGAGACTTCACAGCCGTGGTTCTTATAAAACTATTGCTGCTGCCGCCGCCACTGCTCTGCCCCAGATGACGTTGAGAGGGAAGAGGAATCACTTCTGTCACTTCACATAAAAATTGTTGTGATGGATGGGCAGATAATGCAGTTTTATCTGAATGTACTGATTGTAGAGGTTCACACCACTTCGGGGACAGTTCTTATAATGGGGAAAGCAACTGATACTGGTAAGTGTTTGTTAAGACAGGAATCACTGATGTGGTTTCCTATTTCAGCTCTTTGTGCTTTTCAGAGCTTGGATAGGGTCTACTAAATCTGACTAAATCCAGATTCCCTTGGAAAAGTGAAGTGTGTGTGCATTTCCTCTGTGTGTCTTGGGACCACAGCATCCTGTCAAATGTAAATCCGCCCATGGGTTAGGTTGAAATCCTAACACCTGGGAGTGACTTACTCAGTCTGCAATGTCCTCTGTCTTGAAAGTGAATATGCAGACTTAGCCTGGTTCTTTGTACTTTTGTTTTTCCTTGTCTCCCCAATGCCTTGCTTTGTGTAACCTAGTAAAGAGAACTTGAACTCAAAAGCTTACTGCAATTTTGTCATTGGTGACATTTTGGTTGGTCTTAATAAATGTATTGCCCGGTTCTTATGCGCAAAACAAAGCTACCTTTCCTTTTATAAGCAAAACATGACCCTAAGTATGGCCTTTCTGCTTCTACCCATCTTCCTCAAACTTGTTGCCATTTGTGGAAAATTGCTTTCTTTTTTAAGCTCACTACCCTAATAAGAGTTATAATTGTAAGTAGCTTATATATGATGCCATGAACCTTGAATTTCATGGAGGAGTATTCTATTCCATGTTTTCTTATATGTATGTATGTATGTATGTATGTATTGATGAGCTTATTAATAATAATATTTGTACCCCACCCAACTGACTGGGCTGCCCCAGCCACTCTGGGCGGCCTCCAGCATATATAAAAACCTTTAAAAGCTTCTGTATGCAGGGCTGCCTTTCAACAATCAGTTGAAACCATATCTCTTCAGATAGGAAGATGGTGATTTTAGCAAGTTTTCTTCTTAGAGAAAATCTTGCTGGGTTGGAAAGGACAGACCTGGCAGCAAAGCTGCTTTAGATCTGTGTAATTTGAAGAAGCTATTGGACAATGGCTCCTTCAAGTAATTTATAAGGAGTCTGACAGGGTTTGGTAGGGATGCCCAATTCAGAAATAAAAGACGACTCTGTCAAGGATACAGCATCCTGCTTTCCATAGTACTGAGCTTGATGCCTTCTCGAAGCTGAGAAGAGCATGAAAACAACAACATTTTTCTTCCAGCAGCTGGAATTCAGTAGTATACAGCTGCTGAATAAGGATGTCCCTTTTAGTCATTAAACTGCCATCCTCTCCTGAATTTATCGCACCCCTTGTTAAAGCCATCTAAGTTATTGACCATTACCATATGTTATGGTAGCAAATCCATAAATCAGAGATGGAGAAGTTGTTGCTCTCCAGGTATTGTTGGACCACATCTCCTTCATCCATGACCTTCAACCATGTTAGCTAGGGCTGATTAGCTTGGAGTCCCAACAACATCTGGAGGACCACAGGTTCCTCATCCCTAAGTTATATCAGTACTTCCTTTTGCCTCTATTAAACCTACTGCAGTCTGTGTGGCTAAGTGACCTTGAGTGCCAGTACCTTTGACAGCTACTTTTTCCATACCATGCAATTATGTAAGTATCTAGTGGTTCTCCTTGGTCACTTTAAAACAACAACAACAACACACCCTAAGAATTCCTAAATCTTTTGCATTTCATCATGGAGTTATTTCTGACCCACTGTTCATCTAGATGGCTTTTTGTAAACCTTCCAGTTCTAAGGTTACCCCCCTTTTTTTTTTAAACTGAGATGGAGCTATTGGAAATGCACTGAATAATCCAAATGTGACTATGCCGGAGATGCACATGCAAAGCATTACAACAGTTGCAATTCCTTTTAGGAAAGGGACTGGAAATAATCTCTAGCATGGAATTTCTTTTTCCACATTGCTGCACAGAAAGTTGTTTTGATTGAGCTGCCCACCATGACCTCGAGACATTTTCTGATTAGTCACTGTCAATTCAGATCCCAGCTATTCTAATTCAGCAGCTGTAGTCTTGATCGACTACTAGTCAACCCTCCATTTGAATTTATCATATGAACCTGAGGTGTGAGGCTTTCCTTGCCATAACAGTCTGATAGTTATATTTAGCCCTTCATAATATAGCCTGCCTGAAGACCTTGGAATCAATGGGGATTTTGTTTTTATACATCTGTAATAATATGAATGGTCAACAGCCTACTGAAGCATAAACCTTACCAGATATCTATACAAAAGCATTTTTCTAATAGCATTTTATGGGAAAACACATTCCTGCCATGACACAGGTATAGTTTTAATTGACACATGCAACCACCTTATAGATGTACAGCAAGATTTATTCAGTTCCAAAACTCAAGCTTTAGGCATGTTAAGAGTCAGGAATTATAAGCACTGCTTGATATGTTTTTGACAGTATTGTTTCCTGCCCTTAAGCATATTCATCTTGGACTGGTAGAGACACACCTCTGAATCTTGTCTCTTCGTGTTACTCACATGTATTTCTGGGAAGCATAGCCCCAGCAGAAACACCTCAGTTTAGTTTCCCGAAAGAATACAGATGGTTGAATGTGGAATAACGCTAACAAATAACATGGTTCGCAATCTCTTTGTTCTATACCTGGTCAGAGGCACTCTGGAGGAAATAATGGCTGCAGTTCAGAATGCAATGTAGCGAAACAGGGCCATATTATATATAGCCCCATCAGGTGTTTGTAACTTCTTTTCTGTTGTGTAGCAAGTTTCGAAATTACCCCATAGTTTAGTAAGCCTGAGGTTTGAGTTACATGTGTTGATGGCAAAAGACATGCACACGAACTTGACAATTCACATTCTAGATTAAAGGTGCATCATTGCTTGAAAAGCAGCTAATATGTATGCAAGCAGGGTGTGGTTACTTGAAGGAAGGATGCATTAAAAGCTGAGCATCCTGTGTGGCCTGTTCAAGCATGTTATGTCAAGTGGTCACACCATGGACATTTTTGTAGTCTACTTTTCCCACAGCGGCTTGGCTTTAGAAATGCATGCATTCTACATCTACGAAGCAATGCCACCCTATAAGGTCTGTTCTGGGTCCAATGTTTCCCAATAGTCCTTGATTTGATAGTTCATTTCTCAAGATACTTGCCTGCAGCTGCAAGATGAAAATGGTAAGTTTGCACATTTTGCAACCCAAGACAAGTGACCATTTTTTAACATACCTGTTATGGCTTAAATATACTGGTGTAGAATAGTGAAACCCCATTAAAACCCTAATTAAACATGAGTTCTCCAACTTGGACAAAACAGGAGAGCAGCCTCTGCTTCTGTTCTGCTGTTGCCTCCCCCGCCCCATCTAACCTGCCTGCTTCAGGTGCATCTTTGCCATGCCCAGAATTACTGACAGGTGATCCTACCTATTGATGCAACTTAGAATTCCAGGCACAGCAATACATCCAGGAGCATTCTTGCAAGCCTGGTGATGAGGGGATCATGAAATGCATCACTGATGATGTCTCAGTGTTTCCTCCTCTTGTCATAGAGCCATCATGAGCTTTGGTTGGCTGGCCTTCAACTGTCTGCCATTGTGACCAAAGATCCTGGTGTGTTTTTGCACATCATGGTAAGCTAAACAATGAATTACCATGAATGAGCCAGTGTGCTGGTACCCAGGAAGAAGATTACATCCACTTCACTTCTTCCCTGGCACTGCTGCTTCAGTAGCTGGAGCTAAGCCATGGTTTGGCTTGGCTACTAAGACTCAAGATTTCTGGACTTGTACCTTTATTATCCAGTCCATCAGCTTTGTGTATGTTTTGCTTAGAAGCCCCCTCATAAAATAGCAAAGGAGAGAGAAGACTTGATTAACTTTGTGTGACGGTCCTAGGATTGTGATGAGCATCTAACTTACTCATGACATCTCAGGAACAAGCAGAGCTACTCGAAGTAGTTACATTGTCAATACCTTCCAAACAACAGTATCAAAGGCTACAGAAAACTCTTCACAGAAGGAATGAGGGTACAGTTGCACTTAGGAAGAATTCAGTACAGTTATACCTCGGGTTGAAGTAGCTTCGGGATAAGTATTTTCGGGTTGCGTGCTGTGGCAACCCGGAAGTAACGGAGCACGTTACTTCCAGGTTTCGCTGCTCGCACATGCACAGCTGGTCAAAATGATGTAATGCGCAGAAGCGGCGAATCGCGACATGCGCAGATGCGTGGACGTGGGTTGTGTTCGCTTCTGGATGTGAACGGGGCCCCGGAACAGATCCCGTTCGCATCCAGAGGTACCACTATAATCAAAACCACAGATGATGTATGTGCTGAACTTGAGCTCAGATTTGCAGTAGCTCAAGAACATTATCCAGGTGTGCTTACAGACACTTGCTGGCCACAGCCTTTAATTATTCTCCAACTGAGAAAGTTGAAGTCAGGGCAGTAGCTGGTTGATAACTGGCATACGGGTTAAAGCTGTTTTCTTCCTTAACATGGGTTTTTGAGGCCAGATGACACTGAGCCTTGCATGAACTTAACAACCATGGATGTAGCGTTACTTGATTTTTCTAGCAGCCAGGATAAATATGGGCAACTTGCAGATTGGGCTCATGCTCAAGGACAGGTGGGACTGTTAGCAGTGGCAGTAGGTCAGTCATGAGTGCCTGGGGTAGGAATGAAGAACCTGTTGTCCTTCAGAAGTTCTTGGACTCCAACTCCCACCAGCCTTTTCCAATGGCCAATGGTCAGGGATGGGAATGGGAGTTTGAGTCTAGTAACATCTGGAGCACCGCAGGCTCTCCATCCCTGCTGTAATGCTACAAAACTTTGGCTAGGTATTAAAGCTGAAAGGACAAGAATTGCATTACCAAGAGAAACAGTACCAGTTACGAAGGACTATCATTTCTGTGTTTAAGCATCCTACCTCCACTCCAGCTGCTACTGCATGCACTTAAAACATTGCCAAAGTTGCATGTATCATCTGCAGCACTCTATTCCTTGGTTTATAGGTGGTATATAAGTTGTTGAAATAAAACTAAAAACATGTTTGTAATACTAATAAAAAAATCACTCCAGTGCTATTATTGAGTGTACCATAGCTCAATCTCCAGGTGGCTAAACCTGAGCCTCCAGGCATAGCACTGCACAATATAGCTCTTTTAGATGCATATGAAACATAACTGGTAAATTCTCTTCACCACAATTTAACTTTAGCCTAGCCAAATATTTGAGGCAACAACATTGATTATAAAAACTTATAATTCAAATTATGTACCGTAATTAATAACCATAATTAGCCCTCCATTATGCAGCCTATTAGGCTTAGATTGAAAATTCTCAGCTTATGTTTCCTTGAAGGATTTGACTTCATGTAGCACTCCTAGGTCTGGGAAATTCATGATGCCTATGGCTGATTACCAAAGTATGAACCGCCTTCACTGAAGCTGATGCAACTTGAAGTGTGAGAGATTGTGTCTTAATGCTCTTAGCTCAATAGCAAAATCACACATTCATAGATGTCAGATTTCTTATCCATTAGACCTTGCCTAAATCTAACATTTCTATTCATTGGTGGGAAGCTTCAGCTGGGACATAGTATCTCTTTATAATTTGAGCCTGATTAGTCTTAAGGGTTGTTTGTTTCTCTTTTTCCTGAAAGGAAACTAGTTTAATTCTAGATTCTAGCAGCAGAAACATATTGCACATTTTGCTTCAGAGGGAGGACAACCCTGTCTGGATCAAGTATACTTCTCAGTTCCCAGACCCAAAGCCATTCTCCCATGGAGCCCACTCACTTTACCAGGATTCAGCATCAGTTTGTTGGCCCTCATCCAGTCCCTCACAGCATCCATACCATGGTCCATGGCTGCACCTGGTTTCAGATTTTGTAGAGCTGGGTGTTATCAGTGAATTGATGACCTAGTGCTCCAAATTGCCTGGTGGCTCCTCTTGGTGGTTTCAGATAGGTGTTGAAAAGCATTGAGTACAAAATAGTGTCATGTGGCTCCCCACAGAATGATTGGCACTTGGCAGAGCAACAGCCACCCAATGCTATTCTCTGGAATTTACCTCCCAGCTTGGTACAAAACCATTGCAACCCTTTGCCTCCAACCCATCCTCTCAGAATAAAGACAGCCATTAGGTCTGACTCGGTTCCAAATCTGGGCCTGAACCCAGACTGGAATGGGTCTAGACAGTCAACCTTTTGGGCACATTTGCAAACCAGAGAACTTGATATGGGCAAGAGCTTCTAAAGCTTTAAATACTCAAGTCACAGCTATAGATCTTTAGACTCTGAAATACCTCCAGACTGCATCAGTCTGCCTGCATCCAGCTAAATGGAATATTATATATGCCTTTATTATACATAAAGGCAATTGCACTGTTCTCCCTTACTTAAGCAGGAAGTACCATGCATTCAAGAAAATTAGTACAGCTCAGAGTTTGTCTTCCGTTAGCTATTCTGGTGTGACTTACACAATCTGAATTGCTACACAGGTTTCTTAGTAATCATGCAGACTTAAGGGTTCCCCTTTTGCAGACAGAATTAACCTGGTTTGCCACAAGGTGCAAAGATTTCAATTCAAAACATTGCTATGCATTGAAACCCAGTGTTGCACAAGCAGACTTCATTTCAGCCACTGGGACTTTGTATTTCTTCTCCACCCCTGTGCAGGCCCCCATGTGCCCCCAAAGTCTGTTGCTGGAGGCTGGGGGCCCTCAAACACATTTTGAGGGGGTGTATTGAGGGCTGCAGGATGAGCTATTGTCCATTCCACTTGTGCATGGACAGCACAGGATACAACCCAAAAATATATAATTAAAACAAAACAAATTGACTTCCTTCTAATCCGTTCCTTGGTTCTATTATTTATCAAGATACTGCATGTCCATAATTAAGTTTGTATCATATTTAAATCACCGATTATCCATTCATAATAAAATTACAAGTAATCTTAAAACCCTGCTAATGTATTGCCTGTGTACATTGCTTCTCTATATATGCAATACAGTTTTTCTATTCTTCCTTAAATTCGTTATCGTCTCTTCCTCTTAATTTCATCATCATTTTTGCCATTTCTGCATATTCCATTAGTTTAACTTGCCAACAGCCCAAATTGTTACAGTAAAGGTGGTGAAGATAGATTGTTCAGCTGGTATACAGAGAACTCTAAGCAGTATGGCTAGTAGCAGTACTAGTTTAAAAATTGAAATTTGGACCCGCTTAATAGGCAAAGCATTCCAGCTTCCACAGCCAGAACCTTAAGCGTACTCTGTGTAAGATGTAAATATTTAAAACTTTGGCACCACACTGTGCAGATTGTAACAGCAATTAAACACTGAGTGAGGATGAATAGCTAAAGCTGCTAAAAAGATGGAATGTCAGCTATTGCCCAACTGAGACTGTAGAGAACAGTGATTTATTACTGGACGAAGTTACTAAGCTCATGCTATGCTCAAGCATAAGAATTCATCCTTTAATAAGTAGGAATACTGTTCTACATATTCCACCTTGCACGACTCTAGTGATTAATACGTGTTTTCTAATTTGTGGTCAAATGGTGTAAATGAAAACATCAGATACATTTAACAAAGGCTGGTAACAACTAGAACTCTGTAAGTTACAAGTCTGCAAACTGACCTGCTAGAAGTCTGTGGAGGATCTAGTTAATTTGTGCCTTCTTTGTTGCAAAAGAATTCAAATAAAGCACATTAAAGGAATATTATTGGCAAACTGGGGTTAACTTCCACTCACTGTATAGGATACGTCCCATGAACTCCCATATCCTAAATGTCCAAGCTGAACATTAGTATATAAATTAATGGAATGAAAGCATCTTGCATTATGCATGTGAAATAAAGTTAACTTAAAAGCCTTGCTGGAGCAGGCAAGGGTCTGTCCCATATTCTGTTCCCACTTGGCCAGGCTGATGCAGGAGGATGAAGGCACCAGCCCTCCCTGTTGCCATCCAAAAACCATTATTTGGATACATGCTGCTCCTGAGATTTGGAGGTTTCAGTTAGTCTGAGAATAAGATCCTTTGTGCTGAACTCAAGAACATATGAAGAACCCTAACTCCTCCAGTACTTGCTACTAATGTGACTTAATGTGTCTTTTTTTCTCCTTAAGACCAGTCTTTTGTGACACTAGCCACAAACGATTCATATGTGAAAGGAGCACTTGTACTGGGGTCCTCACTGCGAAACCACAGAACAACAAAGAAGTTGACGGTACTGATCACTCCCCATGTCTCGGATCCCATGAGGTAAGGTGCATAACATACGATATGCAAGCCACTAAAATAAGAAGTTTGGGTTAGTCTCTGCCAAGTACAGTGGAACCTCTACTCACGACCACAATCCGTTCCGGAGGCCCGTCCTTATGGTGAAACGGGTTGCTGGTAGAAGTGCCATTGTGCGCAGGTGCATTCGGTGGTGGCCCACTTCTGTGCATGTGCAGACGGCAGCAGCCACTTCTGTGCATGTGCAGACAGCGGCCGTTTCTGTGTGTGCACAAATCACGGCAAACCCAGTGTTTACTTCCAGGTTTGCCGCAGTCGCAACTTGGAACTGGCCTAAGTAGAGCAGAACATAAGTAGAGGTTCTACTGTAGAGGGAAACTGAACTAGGTGAACTCTCTTTAGGAGCATTTTTTGGGCTGATTTTATTTTAGCTAGACAAATGGAAATATCTGTTAACACAGTAGTATATCCTTTACAATTTTTTTACTGAAAGGAAACAAAACAGCTGTGACTTATTTCTCCCTCCCCAATAAAATCCCTATTAATTCTAATTGGAAGAGAAATTCCCATTCAAGCCAAAAAACTGAAGCTGTGCTGAGATAGTTTACTCCCCCCTCCACCAGCAGTTAAACACTAATGCCAGTCTTCACGGCTTGTTTCTCCTAGGCATTTCCTTCCAAAGTTGTTGCCACCACCAATAACAGTGCATCCTGTTTCTTCATTCTGGTATAAGGCAGCCGCTGTATAGTGGGAGAGGACTGCCTAGAAATTGATTCTAATCGAGCAAATTTGTAGCCTGGTGTTGGCACTAGTTTTCCCTCACATCTGGAGGACCAGTGTGCTTCTGATCATATAGTCCAAAAGAAATAATGCATGTACAGGTGTCTGCTTCACAAGATCTAGTCAGTCTGCCAATGGATGTTGGAAATACTGTAATACAAAGACCTATGCAATTATTGGATCTCCAGGTACAGGTTGGAACAGAAAGTAGATAACTAATAAAACACTATTTGATCTCTTGGTGGGGCGATCAGGATTGTATATGGAAAATCTAGTTAAAAGGAATGATTTGATTAATTGAACTGCATCCTCTTCCTGTGAAAACTAGTCCGACTTCTAAATGGTATGCCAAACATGAAAGAAACTTGACAGCACAGCAATTGTCACAACTGGATTGCTTTATCTACATGTGAATTATTTCCACTAACTATCTGTGGCCTGAACTGGTGCACCAAAATTGCATGTCATAGGAGCTGTAGTTCCTTGGTTAAAATGTGATGTCAAGTGCATGAAACATCATACAAGAGCATTTCTTTTTCTAGAGTTTAAAAATGGTTTAAACTCTAGAAATTTGGTCTACCATTCACTTGGGAAGGACTTAGTTACTGCTGCAGAAGCTGCAGAGGAAAAGAGTTGTGGAGACAGAAGTCTGAAAAGCTGCAAAAAGATTGGAACAATTGAAAGTTGTTGGACGCTGCAGCAAAGGGAACCAAAAGAGGCCCATCACGGGAGTTAGCAGTTGACCTTAGGCATGCAATTTGATAAGTATTGTCTTGGTTAAGGAAAAGATCTAGAAAATCTATTTTTAATTCAGACTGTAAGATTACTTTTTTTTCTAAAATCATTTCCTCAAACCATTCAGACATTTTGCTTTACAAAACTTTACAGCATATTTGGGCAAAAGATCCCTGCATTGCAGGATCCTCACAGTCCTTTCCAACTCTATAATTCTATGATTCTGTTTTGTTGGGGGTGGGAATTGATCTGTGCAATTGACGCACGCCTTAAGTGCCATGTCGCTCTACCTGGTATTGGGAGTTGGTTGGGCTGGTTAAAGGGCTGTTTAGTAGAGACAAAGAAAAATAATATCCACTTGGTGGCAGTGATGAAGTTAACAAGTGGGGGCTGGTTTAGCTGGCTGCCTGGCTTGTCTCCCTCCTCTCCCACAGTTACAACCTGTACACTATCCAAGTGATAACATCCCACACTGCAGCTCCTCCACACACCAGTACCATTCCTTCTAGAAGCTGGGGTAATACTAGCGTGGGGAGGGATTACTACAATAATCATCTTCCCTGTGGTCTGAGGATTCTGAAACTACTTTTGTAGTTACAGGTAGGTAGCCGTAAAAAAAAATCCTTCCAGTAGCACTTTAGGGACCAACTAAGTTTGTTATTGGTATACCATCTGAAGAAGTGTGCATGCACACAAAAACTCATACCAATAACAAACTTAGTTGGTCCCTAAGGTGCTACTGGAAGGAATTTTTTTACTTTTGTAGTGAGGAATAGAGCAGCAGAAGGTAATGTGAGAAACATCCCCAATATGCTACTGCTTGCAGTATTACGGTTTTTTATAAGTTCTGAATTTGAAGAAGCAACTTAAGCTTCTGACATCAAAGAACTACAAAACCAGGCCTTGTCTTGATTGGTCTTCAATTACAGTTTTTGGCGAACAGGTCCCCTGTCCTACCCAATATTGACTCTGCACAGTAGAAATACAAATGTTCAGATATTGTCTCAATACTCTTCAAATGTAGAGTTGTAGAATGCTTTCCTGTTTATTAACGGCATAGTTGCTTCTGCATTTAACCCTTTTGTGCATGTAGCAGTTGATCACTCAAATATATTTATGTGTCATGTTTTAGTAGCTGCTTTTTACATGCAATATAAATGGTGTGTTTACTATGTATACATAATAAAAAAGTGTTACATAAGCATTTCCATAAAACCTAATCTTTAAAAGTCCCTCTCTAAAATGTCATACAGATTTAGAGGGAACTGAAGGAATTACACAAATTCTAAGTGCACTGCAACAAGGTCCAGTGTCCAAATGAAACAGTCATTGCTACAACATAATAGCACAGAATCAAAATATCGTAGGAGCTTCATTTTTAAATTTTATTGGTGTTCCAACAGTGCTGACGTAAAGTGTATTCTGTAACCAAATTGGATATTGTATGAATATCTCAGCTGCTGCCCAGAAGTCTTTGCACAGTCTTTAAAAGCTCCTTCTTCAGCTCCTGCAGCTTAAAATAGCCAGCTGTCTTATCAAGTGTGTTCCTAGATCTTTCAGACCCATATGTCTGTGTGGGTTTATGCAGGTCCTATATATGCTGACAGTCCTTCCATGCTACTAATTCACGGCCTTTCAAGAGCATTACCTGAAGGTGTGCTCTTTAGAAAGTTGCCACATGGCTAGGCAAATTCCTAAAGATGTGTTGAGTGGAAATGGAATGAAGCAATCTCCTTTCTCAAAAGATCTGTGGAGAGGTGGGAGTTAATATGGTTGAGAGCAAGCACTGAGCATTGATGTAAATTATGACCATTCGTTTCAATAGGAAAGTATTGGAAAAAGTTTTTGATGAAGTAAAGCCAGTGGATGTCTTGGACAGCGGAGACTCAGCTCACCTTGCACTGTTGAAAAGGCCCGAGCTTGGTATTACATTGACAAAACTCCATTGCTGGGAACTAATACAGTACTCAAAATGCGTTTTTATGGATGCAGACACGATGGTATGTACTACTTGTTTAAGAACACATTTGTTTGTTGGATCTCTTAAAATTTTAGGTGGATATTTATGCAGCAACTTGAGTCGTGTGCGTATTATTAAAACAAATTGTTTTGCCATGCTTGACTTGAGACCCATGTGCTTGCCAGCACGCTGCAAGAGAAGCTAAACTTAACCCACAGCATTGAATGCACCCAGCTGTTTTGTGCCAGCAGCATCTCCTTCCTCTGCCAGTATATGGGCAGTGATGTCATCCTAAGAACAGAAGCTAGGTTGCATGAGAAGTTCCTAATGTAAGCTGTGGGGCAACCTCACAGAATCCCAGAAGTGTCTGCATTGTCTAGAAAGCAGTTTCTTCTCACCACTGCAAAGCTTGGGCAAGTAAGGGCAACATGGTTTTTCTGCAGTTGCAAGGAAGAAGTTCTTGGAGCTTGACTGCATAGAGTGAAATGTACTTTTCCCCAGGGAAAAACCATGCCCAGGTAGCAAGTCTTAAACTGTGCAGTACTCTGAGAAAGGGGACTCGCCGTATTTTTCAATCTATAGGACGCACCCGACCATAAGACGCACCTAGTTTTAGAGGGTGAGAACAAGAAAAAAAATTTCTCCCTCTCTGTGCAGTGCCCCCTTCAGCGAAGCAGCAGGAGAAGCGGAGCCCCTTCCATTTCTCCTCCCGCTTCGCTGAAGGGGCGCTGCGCAGAGAGGGAAAGCTGCACAGCGCCTCTCCAGCGAAGCGAAGCCAGGAGAGCAAGAGGGATCGGTTTCGCACCGATCCCTCTTGCTCTCCTGGCTTCGCGTTGCTTTCGCTGAAGCCATGGAGCCTGCATTCGCTCCATAAGACGCACACACATTTCCCCTTAATTTTTGGAGGGGAAAACGTGCGTCTTATAGAGCAAAAAATACGGTATATCATTGCATTCACGGCTGGAATACTAAATTTGTACCCCCAAACTTTCTTCCTGTCTACTAGGTTTTGTCAAATATTGATGAACTTTTTGAAAGAGAAGAGCTTTCAGCAGCACCAGATCCAGGCTGGCCAGACTGTTTCAATTCAGGAGTTTTTGTCTATCGGCCTTCCATTGAAACATTCAATCAGCTGTTACAACTTGCAACAGAGAAAGGCAGCTTTGATGGTATGTGCCTAACTGGTTCTGAGCAGTTGTGGGAAGAGCTATTTTTTTTTTAATACTTTGTGAATGTTGTACTGTGACTCAAAAAAAACCACTATGTAGGAAATATTTAATGCTTGAACGACTCTGTGCTTTTTGAAAGCTTTCTATAGATTGGGGTTTTAGTTCAATGGATATATGAAACATTAATAAGATTTCCTTAAATTGACTGAAGTGCAGTCAGAGGGAAGTAGGTAATCTGTCGATAAATCGGCTGTCTGTATTTGATTGAAATAACTACAAGGAGAGAGTCTTTCAAAGCTTCAGATTTTTCCTTTAACTGCCAAGAGCTTTCATATATCTGATAGTGGTTCTTGTGGTTCTGTTCCATGTAAAACCAACACTGCTTTATTTCCTAGTTCTGCCAGCTTTCTTACCGGACACGGAACCCAAGTCATGGCGTGAGCCAACAAGTAAATAATTAAAACAGGAAAATTGATATTTTAAAGCATGGCTACTTTTGGATGGCTTTAACTTATAAAAAGTCAGTTGCTCAATAGTCAAATAGGAAGTGTTGGAGATGATTTGGAGAACAGAAGTAGAAGGGAAATCTCACTGGTTGCTCCTTTGCTGTGCAAGTGCCACTATATATCTGCTGGGAGAATGGTATAATCAAGGGAATCCTCTTTTGACCATCGCAGAACAGTGTGGAAAAACCAGTGCCAAAACTAGCATGTAGAGAGTTGGGAGTGCCGTAGTGCCTTTTGCATAATGCACCCATAGCAGGAAGTGGGGTACCACATTTTCAAACCCTCTATAGTCACCCAGAATACAGTGAGGGGGGGGAAGTATTTGATCCCCTGCTAAATTTGCCCGTTTGCCCTCTGAGGAAGAAATGATCAGTCTATAATATTAATGGTAGGTTTATTGCAGCTGTGTGAGACAGAATAACAACTGGAAAACCCCCAGAAACCCAGAAGACAGAGGTCAGAGATTGATGTGCATTATAATAAGTGAAATAAGTATTTGATCCCCTATCAACCAGCCAGATGTCAGGCTACTTGGTATCTTCACTATGTAACGAGCTGAGATTAGAAGCACCTGCTGTAAGGGAGAGGTCTTACCTGTAATCCCAGCTTGTTACAGTACCTGTACAAAAGACACCTGTCGACAGAAGCAAGCAATCCAGCAGATTCCAAAGTAGCCACCATGACCATAACCAAAGAGCTGTCCAAGGATGTCAGGTACAAGATTGTAGACCTGCACAAGCTGGACTGGGCTACAAGACTATTGCCAAGCAGCTTGGTGAGAAGGTGACAATAATAATAATAATAATAATAATAATTTATTATTTATACCCCGCCCATTTGGCTGGGTTTCCCCAGCCACTCTGGGCGGCTTCCAAAAGAATATTAAAATACTGTGATACATCAAACATTAAAAGCTTCCCTAAACAGGGCTGCCTTCAGATGTCTTCTAAAAGTCTGGTAGTTGTTGTTCTCTTTGACATCTGGTGGGACGGCGTTCCACAGGGAGGGCGCCACTACCGAGAAGGCCCTCTGCCTGGTTCCCTGTAACTTGGCTTCTCGCAGTGAGGGAACTGCCAGAAGGCCCTCGGTGCTGGACCTCAGTGTCCGGGTAGAACGATGGGGGTGGAGATGCTCCTTCAGGTATACTGGACCGAGGCCGTTTAGGGCTTTAAAGGTCAGCACCAACAGTTTGAATTGTGCTCGGAAACGTACTGGGAGCCAATGTAGGTCTTTCAAGACCGGTGTTATATGGTCTCGGCGGCTGCTCCCAGTCACCAGTCTGGCTGCTGCGTTCTGGATTAGTTGTAGTTTCCAGGTCACCTTCAAAGGTAGCCCCACGTAGAGCGCATTGCAGTAGTCCAAGCGGGAGATAACCAGAGCATATACCACTCTGGTGAGGCAGTCCGCAGGCAGATAGGGTCTCAGCCTGCATACCAGATGGAGCTGGTACACAGCTGCCCTGGACATGGATTTAACCTGTGCCTCCATGGACAGCTGTGAGTCCAAAATGACTCCCAGGCTGCGCACCTGGTCCTTCAGGGGCACAGTTACCCCATTCAGGATCAGGGAATCCTCCACACCTGCCCGCCTCCTGTCCCCCTAGAAACAGTACTTCTGTCTTGTCAGGATTCAATCTCAATCTGTTAGCCGCCATCCATCCTCCAACCGCCTCCAGACACTCACACAGGACCGTCACCGCCTTCACTGGTTCTGATTTGAAAGAGAGGTAGAGCTGGGTATCATCCGCATACTGATGAACACCCAGCCCAACCCCCTGATGATCTCTTCCAGCGGCTGCATGTAGATGTTGAAAAGCATGGGGGAGAGGACAGAACCCTGAGGCACCCCACAAGTGAGAGCCCAGGGGTCTGAACACTCATCCCCCACCACCACTTTCTGAACACGGCCCAGGAGGAAGGAGTGGAACCACTGTATGACAGTGCTCCCAGCCCCTCAAGACGGTCCAGAAGGATGTTATGGTCGATGGTATCAAACGCCGCTGAGAGATCCAGCAGAACTAGGAAACAACTTGTGCAATAATTCACAAATGAATAATTGTGCAATAATTCACAAATGGAAGAAACACAAAATAACTGTCCACCTCTCTTGGTCTGGGGCTCCATGCAAGATTTCATCTCATGGAATTGCAATGATCAGAAGAACAGTGATGAAGCAGCCCAGAACTACACAGGGGGGGGAACTTGTCAATGATGTCAGGGCAGCTGGGACCATAGTCACCATGAAAGCAGTTGGTAACACACTACGCTGTGAAGGACTGAGATCTTGCAAAGCCCGCAAGGTCCCCTTGCTCAAGACAGCACATGTACAGGCCTGTCTGCAGTTTGCCAATGCACATCTGAATGACCCAGAGGAGAACTGGGTGAAAGTGTTGTGGTCAGATGAGACCAAAATTGAGCTCTTTGGCATCAGCTCAACTCGCCGTGTTTGGAGGAGGAGGAATGCTGCCTACGACCCCAAGAACACCATCTCCACTGTCAAACATGGAGGGGGACATATTATGCTTTGGGGGTGTTTTTCTGCTAAGGGGACAGGACACCTTCACCGCATTGAAGGGACGATGGACGGGACCATGTATCGTCAAATCTTGGGTGAGCCACCTCCTTTCCTCAGCCAGGGCATTGAAAATGGGTCGAGGATGGGTATTCCAGCATGACAATGACCCAAAACACACGGCCAGGGCAAAAAAGGAGCGGCTCAGGAAGAAGCACATTAAGGTCCTAGAGTGGCCCAGCCAGTCTCTAGACCTTCATCCCATCAAAAATCTGTGGAGGGAGCTGAAGGTTTGAGTAGCTACACATCAGCCTCAAAATCTTACTGACTTGGAGAGGATCTGTAAAGAGGAGTGGGACAAAACACCTCCTGAGATGTGTGCAAACCTGGTGGCCACTTACAAGAAATGTCTGACCTCTGTAATTGCCAACAAGGGTTTTGCCACCAAGTACTAAGTCATATTTTGCAAAGGGGTCAAATACTTATTTCAGTCATTATAATGCACGTCAATCTCTGACTTTTGTCTTCTGGGTTTCTGAGGGTTTTCCTGTTATTCTGTCTCTCACAGCTACAATAAACCTACCATTAAAATTATGGACTGGTCATTTCTTTGTCAGAAGGCAAGCAGGCAAATTTAGCAGGGGATCAAATACTTTTCCCCCCTCACTGTACCTGCTCATGGAGTTCTTTGCAGTGAATTGTCAGATTAAGGCTGGAAGGCATTTTTGCCAGGCTTCCTCAAACTCGGCCCTCCAAATGTTTTTGGCCTACAACTCCCATGAGCCCTAGCTAGCAGGACCAGTGGTCAGGGATGATGGGAATTGTAGTCTTGAAACATCTGGAGGGCCGAGGTTGAGGAAGCCTGATTTACGCCTTCCTTATCTCCAAAGATGCAGATAAGGAGAAAGATGCAGCTGCCTTGTCAATGGAAGTTGAGCACTGCCGTCTGCAGCTACAACTCAGAGGGGTAGAGCTATGTTATATATAGCTTCAGACAGCTTATTTGAGCAGGGGGAGGTTGCGTTTCAAGTTCACGCCTGCCTTTTGAATACTTGCCCCCTCGTCCCTGGCTAATACATCTAACAAATCACCCGGGATTGACTTGTTGAATCCTGTTGCGGGAATAATATTTCACCATTATAAATACGTCAGCCAAGCTTTTAAACAAAATGTTAAAATAGTTTCTGTTATGTGTTTATATCTCCCTTCTCATCATATTGCATAATATCCCATTTTCCTCCAAGAAATTCAAGGTAGCAAACATTGTCCCCACTCCCTATTTTTTTATCTTTACAACAAACCTGTTAAGTAGATTAGCCTGTGGGAAGGTGATGGGCCCAAGGAATCGCAACCAGCTTCCTGGGTGAGTGGAGATATGAACCATTGTCCTACTAAATCCCACTAACTCTCAGTGTACATACTAAGAAGGTTAAAATGGTATTCCAGGTCTTCAAAATGCTTCTAAAGGCTTCAGTCGTTTATTTATTTTGGAACCAATTCAATTTCAGGCAAAGAGTGGTAGAGATGAAAAATTTCCCATTCAGACCACTCTAAAACAAATATCTTCAGCCGTGCTACTTAACACAAGGGTTCAAACATCCATTATAGGATTGGATGGACCAAAAGGTAATTACTGCTTCTAAGAGTGAACTTGGGTAGAGAAAAGACTGGAGATAATGGGAAACAAGAGGGAAAAGTTACTATTTGTGTTGCCAAGTCAAACATTTGCACACTCCAGCCTTTTCCAGGCAGGTTGTGTTCCAGCTTGAAGTTGCCTCGAGTGCCGTTAGGCAGCCTCTACTGTAAGAGCTGATGGGGAAGGAAGCATAGTAGTAGCTCAAGCAAAGATGTTTGGAGCACCTTCAGGCAGCAGTGACCAAGCAAACTGAAAAGGCTGTCGGGGAAGATCAGCTGCCAGTTTCCAGCCCCCAGGTGCCTTGGTTCTGCAACCTTCCTCCCAGCTTTGGACATGGGGAGATGACCAGGATCACCAAGCAATTGCTAGGACCATCCTTGCTAACTTCCACATCGTAAAGATTGTGTGGGGAGAGGTTTGTTGTTCATCATGCTTGCCCGATGGTGGCTTCACAATTGCTGTAGTGAACAGAATTATTGTAGAAGGGCACCCCTGACATTTGCAAAAGTTAAAAAGAATGGGGGACCCCCCAACGAAAGTCCAGTGTGGACTGAGTATGCTCAAAAAGTATGGGATATTGAGTATTTGTTGGAAAAAAGAGAACCTGAACTTGGGGAAGCAGAATCACCTGGGGAAGGCTAGCTTAATGTGAAGGTGCACTAGGCTTGCTTGAACCTTGAAGGGAAACCCTTTTGCTAGGAGATAAGGATGCATTTTTTTATAAGCCTTTCTTGCTTAGGCTGACCACTTGCATGGGCACACCCAACAGGGCCACAATGTATTGCAAGCAAGAGAGTGCAGTAGGAAAGAGCCTCCAGGGCTCAAGAAGTCACACAAATTAGACATTCCACATTGGGTGACACCCCTGAGCTTGCTTGCTTGTTTGTATAGCATCATTTTCATTGTTAACAAAGCTAAACTCTGCTGCTTGTGATGGAATGCTTTTGTTCTTTAACAAAATTCTCTGTGTAGGTAATGGTGAAGATGATGGTTGTTCTTTGCTATTATATTGGATGGTTCAAGTACATGGGAACTCTGCCTAGGGAAAGGCTATTTACACTACTTAGAGGCAAAAGCTTTGCTTCTGTTCATAGCTGCACAGTTGAATTGGCTTCAGTTTGCTATAAAATATACATGCAGACTAGATACTGACACCACCATGAATGGATTACCATGGGAATGCAATCCTAGCTAGTCTGGAGCAGGGGGGAAAGCATTCTAGGGCTGCATTCTCATAGATTAAACTTGCTACTAAAGTTACTTTCTAACTTTCAGAATTGCTTGCATTGGTCAGTGGAAGCTAAGAGCAAGTCCTAAGAGGCAGTTCTTGTCCTGATTTCAGTTGCTTTCCACCAGATGCATTTGTTCCAATGAATGAAAAATAACAGGGAGTGCAAAATAAAGTACCCATGTCAAATAGCAAGAGTTATTTGGGACTATACTTTTGAATCACTTTACTGTCTGTGCTGTAACTTAAGCACTGGCACCAGTAGAGCTGGCATGGATACGAGAAGGCTTGTAAGAAGAATAGTGATTTCATGGTGTTTTGTCTGGAACAAAACACAAGTAGAAGTGTTGTGTTCTTTCTAACTGTATTTCACTCATTTGGCTTTGGCATAATAAGATAGTTTTGAATTTATCTGGGGGAGGGAGGGAGAGAGAGAAGCAAGTGTGTTGAATTTCATTCGAAGTGGAAACATTATAATGGGTAAACTCTGATGCTAACCATGGCACATTTGAAAGCAAACCTCAAGTGACATTTCTGCTGTGGGAACTAGAAATAGAAATGAAGCTGTTATTTCTTTAGAAATGTGTGCAGTGTCTAGGGGCTTTTCTTCCCTAGCTTTGTGAAATCATTGCCAGCAAGTAGCCCTGAATCTAGATTACAAACTTGATACAAGAAGGACTGAACCAGAACTTCAGTAAGAATTTGATAATCTTGTATAAGTAGTAATCTTGAGTCTGTAGAAAGCAATCCTAGTATACTTCAATCTGCCTCTTTAAAAAGAAGCATATGGAAAGAATTCCGTTTCACGAATCTTTCTGCTGCTAATGAGAAAAAACAATGCAATGCACCTCTTTAGAGGAATAGTTCAGCTACATAAAAGGGCATTGGGCTTAAAACTTCAAACACCAAACAGTTGGATATGCTTGCTACTACAGAGTTGAGAAATGACATTATTTCCAGCAGGCATACAGCTGACAAAGTCAGAATTTATGGGTTAAGTGTCCAGAACCAATACATCCAATAACTTATAGGTGGTGGTGGTTCTTCTTATTATTAAAAATTATATTCTGTCCTTCACCCAAGGATCACAAGGTGGTTTACAATATAAAACCACAAAAATAGTAACAAACAAACAAAAAATACCCCCACCACACACACAGAGTGTGTTTAAAACAGGATTAGGCAACCTAAGGCCCAGGGGCCAGTTGCAGCCCAATCGCCTTCTCAATCCAGCCCATGGATGGTCTGGGAATCAGCGTGTTTTTAGATGAGTAGAATGTGTGCTTTTATTTAAAATGCATCTCTGGGTGTAGGAATTTGTTCTCCCCCCCCAAAAAAAAATATATCGTCCAGCCCACCACATGGTCTGAGGGATGGTGGACTGGCCCACAGCTGAAAAAGGTTGCTGACCCCTGGTTTAAAAGGTCATAGATTGTCTGATTAGACAAATGCCTGGAAGAAGAGGAATGTTTTTGCCTGGTGCCTAAAGATATGTAGTGAAGGCGCCAGGCAAGCCTCCCTATGGAGAACATTCCACAAATGGGGAGCCATTGCAGAAAAGGCCCGTTCTTGTGTTGCCACCCTCCAGACCTCTCGTGAAGGAGGCACACGAAGAAGGGCCTCGGGTGATGATCGCAAGGTGCAGGTTGGTTCATATAGAGAGAGGCAGTCCTTGAAGTATTGCAGTCCTGGGCTTCTAAGTAGTGTGGACAGTTTGTGTCTCCTTGTGTAAATGAAATGTTAAAAGTATCTAGAATTCCTGCTGCCTTAAACTGAAATGGATCTGAGCAGTTGTCATTTGATGTGGAGTGGGGAACCTGTGGCCCTCCAGAAGTCATTAGATTACAACGCTCATCATCCCTGACCATTGACTAATAATAATAATAATAGCTGCTGTCTGCCAGCATTTTATTGATCCAAATAGTAACAACTGTTGTAACGATTATGGATGCCTGAAAAGCCATGAACTTCATTTTTCCCAGGCTACACCTAAAACCCAGACATTTCTGTCCTAGCTCTGTCTCAGGCATACAAAATCTGCTTGGGTCTGCCAAGTTTTGCTGTGGCTTTGGCTCTAGTTCTGAACACAGTCATTAATTGGGTCACTGGAGCAACTGCATAAAGTATTTGGGACCTGTTTACCTGAGGGACTGCTTGGTCCCATTTGTGCCTATCTGACAGCTTTGATCTGTGGAACATGTGCTTTTTAGAAATGTCATATAATGCTCCTTCTACATTTGCAAAGAGTTGAGCTTTCAGCATGGTAACACCTATGTTTTGGAACTCTCTGCTTAGTGACGTTATGTAGACATCTCCAGGTGTTTTTGATGCCTGCTGGAAACTCTTTTCTTTCACCAGAACTCTGATTTAGTTTTGTATGTTTGTTTTTAAAAGTGTGTTTCTGACATTTATCTGCTTTATTGATTTTCTTACATACACCTCTTAAGATAGTGTTTCAATTAAAAATTTTTTATAGATTTTTCTAACTAATTAAAAGTTGGTTCCATAACACTTGCAATATGTCATACATGGGGCTGCCTCTGAAGATGGTTCGGAAACTTGAGTTGGTGCAAAATGCAATGGCCAGATTGCTCACCAGAATAAGACGGTTTGAGCATATAGCACCAATCCTGGCACAACTGCACTGGCTGCCAATTAGTTTCTGGACTCAATTCAAAGTGCCTATAAAGCCTTACAGAGCTCAGGACCTCAATATCTATCAATCAATCTTTATTACGGTCCAGAGACCCAACAAATCATTACAAATCAATGCACAATTCATACAGCCTACCTCCAGGTACCTCCTCAATATCTTAAGGATCACCTTGCCTTGTATGAACCGACCCAGACCCTGCACTTGTCATCTGAGGCCCATCTCTATGTCCCCCATCCTAGAGAGGTTCAGAGGGTGGCAACAAAGGAACTGGCCTTTTCTGTGGTGGCTCCCAGATTGTGGAATGCTCTCCCCAGAGAGGCTCACCTGGTGCCATTACAACATGTCTTTATGCACCAGGCAAAAACATTCTCTTTACCCAGGCTATTAAATAATCAATGGGGGGGGCTGTTGTTATGACTATTTTATTATTAGACTGTCTGTCAGTATGTTTTTTATTACGTTTTTATCATTGATGTTCTGTGATGTGTTTATCAGAAGATCCCAGGGCGGTGTACAATATTATAAAGGGTGGTATATAAATTGACTGAATGAATACATAAATAAAACCCCTCACTTAAGGGCAATACACCACTTTGACAATACAGTGGTGCCTCGGGTTACAAACACTTTGGGTTATAGACTCTGCTAACCCGGAAGTAGTACATCGGACTTTGCCCCAGGATGAGAACAGAAATCGTGCACCGGTGGCAGCGGGATACCCCATTAGCTAAAGTGTTACCTCAGGTTAAGAACTGTTTTGGGTTAAGAATGGACCTCCTGAACGAATTAAGTTCATAACCAGAGGTACCACCGTATCATAGTTGCTGCCTTGCTTCTCTCCAGAATTGGCTAGGCTGAGTTGCACAACACACAAGGCCCTGTGACATCTATCTATTGCTTTCCACACTGCAAAATAATCTGAAGGCGTACTGTATGACACACACAACCCCTTCTCAGGTCACTGAAGCAATTGCCTTGGGTAAAATGCCAGCAGTTTGGAGGCAAGAATACAAACTCATGAGTCACTGGTGCTTGCACACATCTTGATTAGACAAGGGGACAACTAGCACTTAGATTTGCTGTTATTGGGTTGCCCAATTATGCATTTTCATGGCCCCTGTTAAACCCTTATCATATCTCTCTTTCAGGTGGGGACCAGGGTTTATTAAACACTTTCTTCAGCAGCTGGGCAACTACAGACATCAGCAAGCACCTGCCATTTATTTATAACTTAAGCAGTATTTCGATCTACTCCTATCTCCCAGCATTTAAAGCGTAAGTGGACAAAATGTATAAAATCAACTTACATAGGTGGTTTCTCCTGTTCATGTTATGTGAAGGCTGTTTCCAAAGTGGAGACCAGTCTGGTCTGTGCTTGTTCTTGCAAGGTGCCACCAAGCAAGAGCAAATATAGTCGAATCGAGAACCTGTTGATATTAAAGTGTTCATACCTCATTTAGGACAGGAAGTTATTTGTAAGTCTGACTTTGCTAGTAGACTTCAATCTGTTCTAAATTAAATACCTAAGCTATGTTGATTACAGCTGGGGGTGGATTGTGTGAGGTCTTTTCCACTCCTTTATCTTGCAACAGCCATCTGGGCCAACTGTGTTTACAACAAATATAATGTCTTAACTTTAAAGGTAGGACTGGGGAACCATTGGCCACAGCCAGCCTAGCCCAGTGGCCAGGAAGAACAGGAGTTGTAAGACGGCTTCACCTGCTTCCTGATCTTTGTTCTGAGCACTTGTCCTGATGTTCCTCCATAGCATGGAGGTCCTGTAGTGTGGCTACTTTACATCCATGACATGGAATGTTGAAACCCCTGGTCCATGTGGGAGGTGCCCATGACCCTGCTCCTTCCAAAGCTGCTAATACCCATCCTAAAACTGCATCCCCTGTGACCCAGGGATGGTCACCCCACCCTTAGTATAGGAGCTCTCCTACCGTCACAGTACAGAAAGGACCGCTAATGCAAGACATAAGCCGCTTTTGAATACTTCCCAATTGTCTAAAACCTCCACAAATGTAGTCCACATTTGCTTGAGAATGAGTGCCAACATGACTGTTGGAGAGGCTTGCTTTCAACCCCCCACCCCACCCACTGCTGGGAGAGAAATAGGCTAGAACAACAAATGGCTCTGTTCAGTTGCCACCTCTGATCGTGCGGGCAAGTGGGTATTGCAGTGTCCCTACAGAAATGCAATATGGGTACTCTGTAAAATCCTTTGGAAAAGGAATGAGAATGCCTTCTTTAAAAGGTAATATTAAGATAGTCTAGGACTTCAGGAAATACAGTGGTACCTCTGGTTGCGGATGGGATCCATTCCAGAGCTCCAGTTGGATCCCAAGGTTTCCACAACCCGCGAAACCGTTTCTGCGCATGCGCATGTGGCAAAACCTGCAAAAATACTTCTGGGTTTGCTGTGTTCACATCCTGAAGGATACGTAACCGGAGATGTTCGTATCCAGAGGTACCACTGTATTGTGAGCTGTTGGACACTGAGGCACAGTGTGTGTGTGTGTGTGTGTGTGTGTGTGTGTGTGTGTTTCCTTTGAGTAGACACGATGCACAATAGTCGCATCCTACATTTAAAACTTACAGTGCCAACCTCTATGGGTCTATTCAGAAGTAAGCCCTGTTAGATCAATTGATTTACTCTCAGGTAAATGAGTATAGGATTGTAGCCTTAAGTCCCTTTGACGAGAGCCACAGACCATACAGTCTTAGTCAAAAACATATACAGCATAGTGTATCTATTTCCCAACCCTGATGTAGCCTAAAATATTTCTTTATGATGCCAGGCGTCAAGAGTCCAGATTTAAATTCTCCCTGGAAATTGTAAGGTTTAAGTAAATATCTTAACCCATGCCACTCATATATCCAGAAGTTAATGAGCGATTTGTATGAGCAAGTCTCCAGGCAACATCAAGTAACTAGAGTTCTGTGGAGCAGCTAACGTAAGCAGTGTGTTCGGTGGCTCAGGTTCAAAATGTCTTGTGATCGCAGCATCATATGAAGCACTGTCAAGTTAAAATTAGAAGACTTATTCTTGGAAGTCCATGCAAACTGGAATGAATACATAGTACTGAGTGGTTGGTGGAGAGAATATCTGGCTCAGTGTATGGTATTGTGGTGTTGTGTCTTTAAGCTGTTGACTTACTTGAATCATGTGATACCTGGTTCCTATGATTCACCTCCTTTCTGTTTTGAGGTCAGGTTTGTTGTCTCTGCTTTTGGTGGACCCAAGGCCGTTCCTCTGCCCATTCAAGTGACAGCTTGAAAGCCTGAGTCTCTGGGAAACTTGTGGCTTTCAGGGAGAATGAATCTGAACACAAGATGTCCCCACCCAGGGGATTCAAGCTGTGCCAAGCAGTTACAGCTCACGGAATGAATGACATTTTAAACCCTGTTATGATCACATCTAATCTGCTGGCTTTTTAGAATGGAAAAGGGGATTTATCAAAAACAGGTGCAAACCTCAGCCTCTTAAATAAAATCCTTCAAGCAGTGATGTCAGGGTTCCAAATAGGTTCAGGTAGCTAACTTAGCATTTTGCTCAGGCAAAAAGGCAGTTGGCAGTGGACAAATGGGATCAAATTACTATACGGCAGGCCTAGAATGCATGTTAACTTGGCAAATGAGTTGCCCATTGGAAGTCTACTAAGTTGACCTGATGTATACCTAACAGCTCATTCAATCCTCCCACATATCCCAAATAGGCTGCCTTTCTAGTTCGGCCTCTGCCCCTCCATTGCTCTGAGCTTGACTTTGGCTAGTCAGTGTACACACACACACACACACACAGAGAGAGAGACAGACAGACAGACAGATTGATTGTCCAAATCATTCTGTAACTCTGCTAGAAGTCAACAAGGGAGGGGATAATAATTTCATCCAGAATCTACAACCAGCTGCAGGCCTAACTCCCTATAGTAAAATTATTTAAGTATCTCCTAGACTAGTGAACTGTATAAATAACCCTGATGCAAACTGTCATGTGAAACGACCAAAGCAACTTAGAGATGAGAAGTCAGAATTGAAAAGCCTTTTTAAATAACATTTCTTTTCTTCTTTTTCGGTACTTTAACCTGGAAAAGGTGCCCTATATAGTACTGCACGGGGTTTGCAGAGGACATCTTTTCCCTTCCATCTAGCCCTAAACCTTTCCTCATTATGCTTTAGAGCAAAAGCACTCAGGAACAAGCCTCTCAGCTTGTATTGTTGCTACATTGCTAGGGGAAAGAGTGTTAACCTTGGAATATGCATTCTTCTTCCCATGCTTGCCTCCCGTGATACTATAAGCAGTCATGGGCTCAAGCAGGCAAATTCCTTCCATTCTGTCTCCTTTTTTTTTTTTTTACGTTTAACCGAAAGCTTCAATATTCAGTGGCTTAACTGCTCTTGACCCTAGACTTGACCTCCAGACTTGCTCTGCCTGACTTCAGGTCCATTGAACATCTTGTTTCCTTCCCAAAGGGCAGGCATCGGGATAGGTATTTTTGTATTTTTCTGCTGCTAACTGCCGTAAGATCTTCAGACACAAATTTAAAAGGATAAATAAATACATTTGCTCACAAAAAAATAGTATTTTTCTTACCTCCATATCCTCAATATTCTGTAGATCTTGGAAACTCACCAAGCCCTATAAAACCTGTATTTTTTAACACCTAGGAAGTCATCTGATTTTATGTAGAAATCACCTCTTTTCTGAGTGGCCTTGTTTTGCTTCCAAGCAGGCAATTTATCCACCCAGCTTTGCTAGTAGAAAGGAAAAGTTGGGGACCTCCGTCAGATCATTGCAATAATAGCAGTGACCATTTTGCATTATGCCCCTGTTCTCTGGTCCAAAAGGACCCATGTGTTGATGATCACGTGTCAATGAGACACACCTAAAATTTCAGCCTGTAATGGGTGTTGCCTCTTTGGCCTGCAATAAAATAACAATAACAGCATTTTGGAGGTCCCTGGTTGCAAGGTAGTTATATTGGTCTCAACTAGGGCCAGGGCCTTTTCAGTATTGGCCCCAACTTGGTGGAACGCTCTGTCACAAGAGACTAGGGCCCTGCGGGACTTGACATCTTTCCGCAGGGCCTGCAAGACGGAGCTGTTCCACCTGGCCTTTGCTTTGGACTCAGTCTGACCCTTATGTTTCCCTCCCCTTATGGTTTTGATCTATGGGCTACTTTTAAAATGAGGCTGCATTTTAAATTGCATTTTAACCTGTATTTTAAATTGGGTTTTTTTCCTATTATGTTTTTACTGTAATTTTACTGGTGCTAGCCACCCTGAGCCCGGCTCTGGCCAGGGCGGGCGGGGTATAAATAATAATAATAATAATAATAATAATAATAATAATAATAATTAACAATATTTAGAACTCATAGTGGATTGACAGGGAGAGACAAGACAGTTCCATCCCCCCCCCCCCAATCTTCTATGAAGGCTTTGTCCTGTTGAGGACTTAGGTTTGGGACTTGCCGCCAGGATTTTGTATTACAGGCACGGGGGTTGTGTTCTGGGTCATTGCGCACTGCGGTGGTCACACGTAAGCCTGTTTCACCCAACTTCTGGAGTCAAAAGTGGCACGCGCATCTGCAGTCCCCCAGAAAATAGTTGTTCCCTCTATATTGAAACCAGGAGGTTTTGAGAAAGAGGAAAAATATGGTCTTCCTTCCTTCCCTCTGAAACTTTCCCATTTAGATGGGAGGTTTCCTAGCTTGGTGGCACACATTTGTCGCCCAGTGTCTCCCAAGATACTTGCCGTAAAATTGCTTGAGCTAGCCAGTTGTCCTTTCAGCTGACACCTTCAGCAGGGCAAAATTCTAAAATGCTTTAAACCTGCCAATAAATGCCAATAACTATCACGTACCCTCATATTGGAGGTTAGAGATGTGACTAAACCTGGTTTGGATTTTTGCCCCCAAATCCACTTGTCAAGACTCTCTACCAGACCAAATTCAGCACTTGGTTGCATGCATGAGCTTTGTGCTATATTGGCTAGCATGCAGTAACTGCTGTGCTAAAATGCTACATTCCTCCATTGTTTTTGATGGGCAGCTCTCACTTCCAACTTAGGGGAGGGGAAAAAATAAGTCTATAGGGACCAGATATTTTCCACGTCCTTACAATGGGGCATACAGTGGTACCTCGGGTTACATATGCTTCAGGTTACACACTCCGCTAACCCAGAAATAGTGCTTCAGGTTAAGAACTTTGCTTCAGGATAAGAACAGAAATCGGGCTCCAGCGGCACGGCGGCAGCAGGAGGCCCCATTAGCTAAAGTGCTTCAAGTTAAGAACAGACCTCTGGAACGAATTAAGTACTTAACCCGAGGTACCACTGTACTAGAATTCTCTCTAGTCTAAACCAAATGAAAATTGTGTTAAGTTCTGGAAGCTCACAGATAGATCCTTGTTGGTCCCCTTACACTTTAGTGTCTTTGAACTACTTCTACCTAACTAGGGAGCCACAGACTTGCAAAAAAACAACCACCCAACCCATGTTATTTCAGGGTGTTTCAGTTTTGCTTATGAATAGATAAACTGTTAATCACTCATATATTTGTATATATGGTAAAGATGGAGTTCTATTGTGTAATGCTGTGGAAGCACAGGAACTGTGCAAAATTTGGCATAAAATCCAGCATTTTAGGGATTTAATGCTCTGGTTATTTAAAAAATGTTCTAGTCCTAAGGCTGCAAATCAGTATTGCCATGCTATACGGTGTGAACACTAGCAAAATGTTTAGATGCTAGAATGGGGCCAATTGAAGGCTTGGTTGTCAGAAGGAGCCCTAATGACTTGCATACCTCTTTGCTATTCACATGACAAATTGAAGCAGAATGAATTATGCAGACTAGGTGCTACTTTATACAGGGCATAGAACAGTGTTTCTATTGGCACTGAATTGTTGCCTCGGTGCAAAATTTCACGTTTCAAATGGTGATATGCAGCCTCTTACTTCATATGGGGTTTCCTGCTGAGCATTTGCCCTAATACTTGTATGAAATCCCTGTAGTGGTGGCTTTCTGGTGTTCTTACAACAACTACTATTGTTTGTTGTATTTAATGCATACAAAATGAAGTTCTAGTCTTGGTATACTTTTTTAAAAAAAATCAAATCAGTTTAAAGCAGCTTACAAAGGTTAGTTGCTTTTTTGTGGAATGGATTAGGTATGCTTACTCCTGTGTGGAGGAGCCATGACAAAGTGCTCCCTTCTGCAGCCCACCCATCAAGCAGAGCTTCTCCTGACAGGTGCCTTCCAACTCTTAAAATACTATGATTTTGTAGGTTTGGGACAAATGCTAAAGTGGTTCACTTCCTGGGAAGACTGAAACCGTGGAACTACGCGTATGACTCCAAAGCAAAAAGTGTCAAAGAAGATGCTCAAGATCCCACAGCGATTCATCCAGAGTTTCTCAATATGTGGTGGGACATCTTCGTCACAAACATATTGCCATTGCTACATCAACATGGTGTCGTTAAAGATACAGCTACTGGTGTAAAGGCGGTAGGTCTCCTTAATGTATTTAACCTGCCTTAACTGGAGAATTGTGTTGTGGGGGGTAGGAGGATCACGTTCTTTGCGCTTGTGAGGAAGCCATTACTTGGCCTGAAACTAGCATGGTTGCTACAAAAACAGCTTGCAGTCCTGCAATCACAAGGCTACTTAGGGATAATGACCTCAGCCAAAATGGGTTAGCTTTTTCCTTAATTAATGCAGCACACTGGCTTGGAGCTGCAACTGTTAACTAGTGGTTGGATACCAGAATAAGTTTAACACTTCTGGACTGTGCTAATGGTCAAACTAAACAGTAACTGGGCCAGGCCTACCTATATTAAGAGATCAGTAAGCAGATTCTTTAAACGTTTCTCCCACACATCCCTAAAATGTATTACTAGATATTACAGTTTAATACTAGTTTTTGCTAACACGGTTGTTAAAGAAAAGGGGGTCAGGAAGCATGCACATAAAGTAGGATTGAATGTTAATATAGTAAACCTTGAATCTTCAAGATTCAGCTGTATTATTTTTGGACTGTGTAGACAAATTGGTGTAGATCGGATGGCTGCAACCGCTGTCTTCACACTGCATTATTGCAATTTGGAGAGGTCTTATATGGGGACTGGCCTGAACCATATGAAACCCACTAGACTGAATTGTTTGGCATGGATCATTACAAAATGCTTACTGAAAACTCTGTTAATCACACGTGCACAGTGCTTGGTGGTAATACTTTCTAACTGCTACTTAACATTCTGTAAGCAAGTGGTCCAGAGCACTATGGGTTGTATCTAATTAGGTTGTACTCAATGGTAGACCCTTTGAAACAAATGGACCCAAGTTAAGTCATGGCCATTAATTTCAATAGGCATACCTGGAATGTGAAGAATGGTGGATACAGCCCTGCATCTCCAGTAGTCATCATTTGATTCTGTATACCAATGGATTTTTCTCTTTAACTTCAGATCTAGCAGGTTTTCTGCCTCTTAACACTCATTTTTGTGTACTTTGGAAGTGAAATTTGTAGGCATCCAAATTGCCCTTTAAACATCCAGATTCGGCAAGATTCAAACTTAGACGGCTTAGGACTCGTGTGTGAAACCTCCAGACACTTCAAGTTGTGGTGCTTGGCAGCACCACATATGCAAACTTGTCAAAAAGTGATTTTCATGCGGATGTGCTTGCAATTTTTTATCAGCTCCCTTATGCGAACAGAAGTGGCAGTTGATCTGCTTATCTCTAATGGTGGGGTTGTACCTGCCATATTGGATTTTTGTATTGTAATAAAACTAGAAAGGTGTACCTGCAGATTCTCAATGATGATAAGCGAGAACTGTCATGACTCTAGTCTTACCCTGTCTTAGCTAGCCAAAACTACTTGGCTTTAGCTTCTCATGCATGCAGTGCAGCTTTGAACACTTAAGCTTGGTATACAGAAAACAGTAGTTAAGTGCAGTACCTTTGGGTTGCAGAAAGATCTGTTCTTTAGCTATGCTTTCTGTTTCCCCTATTTCACCTTTCTAATGAACTGTTGCAGCTATCGGGCTTGGTCTATACACTGGCTTTCTCTTGTGGCTTCTGCAGAGAGGTATGAAGAACTTACACCTGTTGCTAAACTACCCATCTGCTGTCTCGTTGACTTGGATATGCCCTTCATTATTTTACAGCTCCTTCATTGTGTAAATGGTGCTTGCTGCTTTGCATGGGAATCTCTCGTTGGTTTTCCTACCCGCTGCTCTGTCGCTTTACGCCTTACCCCTTCTTACAACAATGCAGTGGTACCTCTCCCACTCATTCTTCTCTCTTTTCAGGAAGAGGTAGCGGAGGCCGTGTCCCACTTGTCACTTTCATCTGCAGCCGTGCCAAACTCGCCGCCATCACCGCCAGCTATATCCTCAGAAGAGCGCAAAGAGAGATGGGAGCAGGGCCAGGCTGACTACATGGGAGCAGACAGCTTTGACAACATCAAGAAAAAACTTGACACCTACCTCCAGTAGAGACGCACTTGTATCTGCTCTACAGACAACAGCAATACAAGGACGTGTTTCACAGCTATAGCAACTAGGAAAGTCAGATAGGGTCAAATTAAACTTGCTAGCAGCTTTGCCCACTGCTCAGCTGAAGGCTGTTGGCAGTACCGCAGGTAAGAACTGAGCAAAAGCTGTTGTTCTAAGTTCTCCTCTTGCACAAAACCTGTAAAAGAACTTGTTGGGAACAGGACACTGGACTGGCGTGATACTCCAGGCTTACACCTATAGGACTGTTGTGCTTTACCTCTTCCTTTCACCCCCCCCCCAAAAAAACCCCAACCACCGTGTTTTGCTTGCTATGTAAAAATAAAGACTAGAGGTTAAGGCAGCTACAGTGAAGGGGCCTTACAGTAAGGACATCAGAAAAACATGCAGCAGCAATCTGTGTAAAAAAACATTGCTTTTCTGTCGATTCCAGCCTTATGGAAGACTTCTGACCAGACTTCTATGCACAGTACCTATAGCATGGCAGATACTTTTGTTCAGTTCTGTGTACTTCTGGGACTAGCAAACCATTGAACTGTTAACCTGTAAAATGGCACTGAACATGCACAATAAAAGAAATCATGGTAAAACCTATAGCACTACTCAACTTTTGTCAAGTGGCAGTAAAAACTGCCCCATCAAGCCTACTGCTCAACATCAGCATAAGCTTTCAGAGCAGAGCTTGTGAAAGATTTCCTCACATATTACTGAAAAGCATCTGCTATAGGGGCTGTTCCGGCATTACATTTTTGCTGGGCTAAAACTGGTTCTGTGTTCCTCTTTAGTATGCTAAATAGTAATGGTAAGATCATAGGTGTGGCACATGGTACGAAGGAGAATGGGAAATGTGTGTTTCTTTGGGGGCTTCTCTTCTGTAGTTCATCTAAAACTGAACTAAATGGCTGCCATAAAGGTGTGGTCAAAGTGCTTACATAAATGCTGTCGGACACCTAGCCAACGAAGGGCCTGTCTAACAGCCATCTTTTCATGACAGTGAATATATTTCTGTCAATATATTCCTCGTCCATGTCAACAGAGTAGTGGTGCAAACAAGGCTTTATGAAGCGTGTATATATACATGAACCAGATTTGTTTCTATTCTGTGGGCTGTTAGCCTGGGTTAATTTTAGTGCACCATTAAAATGCCTTATATAATTAAAAATAAGTGTTTAACACAGCACAACTATATGAATGGCTCAGAAGGGTGATCATATGTAAAGCTGACTTTAGAACTCATATCTATTAAATAAAAATCAGCCCTAGCCCGCTGCAGCACTCTGAACTACATTCATCCAGCTATAACATGTCCCTGTACATTATTGCAAAGTGCATAGTGTTTCCAGAAAGCCACTCTAATATACAGTGGTACCTCGGGTTACATACGCTTCAGGTTACAGACGCTTCAGGTTACAGACTCCGCTAACCCAGAAATAGTACCTCGGGTTAAGAACTTTGCTTCAGGATGAGAACAGAAATCGTGCTCCGGTGGTGCGGCGGCAGCGGGAGACCCCATTAGCTAAAGTGGTGGTTCAGGTTAAGAACAGTTTCAGGTTAAGAACGGACCTCCGGAACGAATTAAGTACTTGACCCGAGGTACCACTGTAGATGAGTTGCCAAATACAGAAAAGTGCAAGTTATTATATAGTACTTCCCACTAGCAGGCTGTTTGCTCATTCTGAAAGTGTTCAGGTTCAGAAATACCATACATTCCTGAGGTAGGAAGAAGCTCTAGCTCGATAGTGAGATACCATCAAGCACCATATTAAGGACTCCAGTTCTAATTTTGCTTTCTCTCCTAGTAGCATGATTCAAGAGGCATGTTGTTTTAAGGCAGGGAAGGAATCTGTTGAATTCCAGGACTAAACTATAACTACTATAAATACATGCTCAGGCATTTAAATGAAACAGGAACAGTACTCCCCTGTAACTGCCTTACCAGTTCAAATGTATTAAGTTTAGAAATACTTTTTGTTGGGGAAAAATGTCCTTGCCTGGGGTGGTATGAGTGACTCCTCAACAAAAACAAACTTGGAACTGGTTTCCCCTGCATTATTGTCCATGTGCATTTAGCAATTTCCTCATAGCTGTAGCGTGGTAAAGGGACCTCTGACCATTAGGTCCAGTCGTGGCAGACTCTGGGGTTGCGGCGCTCATCTCGCTTTATTGGCCGAGGGAGCCGGCGTACAGCTTCCAGGTCATGTGGCCAGCATGACTAAGCCGCTTCTGGCAAACCAGAGCAGCGCACAGAAACGCCGTTTACCTTCCCGCAGGAGCAGTATCTATTTATGTACTTGCACTTTGACGTGCTTTCGAACTGCTAGGTAGTGTGGTAGGGCTATTCTAATGATGCCCGCAGCTGAAAGAGCAGAGATTGTTGTAGGTGGCTGCAGAAAAGGCAGTGTGTGTGTAGTGTTTAAGCAAGCAGACTGCAGGGTAACTCTGCCAAGCAGAGGGATGCAAACACCTTTGGTAAAAGAAGCAATGATTCAGTAAATGGGAGCTAAAAATAGCCTTTGAAGCTACCTTCTGTATTTAAGTAGTTTGAGAGTGATGTATGTTCAAACACGGCAAGCAAAACTTGTCACAAAACTGTAAACAACCGCTGCTATCCTTTATAGATTAAGAAGGCGGGAAGGTGGCTAATTCAATTTTTTAAACACAAATAGCAAAATCACAATGGATGGTGGTAGTTTTAAACTAGAAAGCACTTCCGAGCTCCTACTTCTACATTAAATCCTTTCAGAAGCGGCCTATTTCTGCCACACCTGCAATCACTGATGGTAAAAATAAAGCAGGAGAACTATGGCATTAGTAAATCATGCAGCTAAACAAGTTAGAAATCATGCAGCTAAACAACTGTTTGTGCCTGTTGCTTAAATGGGCTATCAAGTGCAGATTTACCGCTCCTCGTCACCTTTATATTGGATACTTGTTTCTGCCAGACCGCTGTTGTATATCTATACTAAGCTCTATTGACAGGCCATGTTTCTTCTCTCAAGCGTCTATTTTCTGCTCTACATTCATTAAAGTATTATTTATCTTAGGCCAACAACACTACATCATTCTGCTTCATATTTAACTACCACTCCTACAGCCTAACTACTGTTGTGACACACTAGTGTTCAGTCTTCAGTTTTCTCATTCCTAGCTTTTAGCAATGCTTCCTTTTTTAATGAAAGCTTAGACCAGGCACAGGCAACCTTGGCCCTCCAGATGTTTTGGGACTACAACTCCCATGATCCCTAGCTAACTGGACCAGTGGTCATGGATGATGGGAATTGTAGTCCCAAAACATCTGGAGGGCAGAGGTTGCCTATGCCTGGCTTCGACAGACCAAACTGAATGAGACGTACAGATTTGTAACATCCAATCGCCACAGACAAGGGTTGTATTTCACCAGGTCTGTTAACTAGCATTGCCTCTGTGGTAGGAGGCTAGACAAGTTCTGAAAGTGAAGAATTCACAAGTTCTGCTCTATTGGGCCAAAACGTTTCCCCAACTTACCTGAGGCCACTTAGTAAATTCAGGAGTAGGGGAGGTGAGCCATGTCACTATGACAACACTAAATTATTTTCCTCTTTTATAAATGTTTTGGCTACTTGCTGGATGCATGCACGTCCCACTAGCATAGTTGAATTTCCCCATTTCTGTGGTGTCCATAGAAGACTGCCATAATAAACAACTGCCATCATAATTTAATAGTATCTCAGCAAGGGCAGGGGAGCTATAGAGATGCTGATTTCAAGCTCCCATCTTCTCCACCCAGTATGGCCGATGGTCAGGGATGGCAGGAGCTGTGGTCCAGTGATGATAGCTCGCCTGATGTACTATCAAGGGAAAATTGTGTTCCTGTCTTGTTAAGGGAAAACAGGGAAAGGCCACTCACTCTTAGATCATGTTACCCTTTGTGCACTGAAAGCACTCATCCATCAAATTATATCCTACATGGTAATCCTTATGAAGCCAAACAATCAATCAAACAAACAAAGCTTTAAGAAAAAAAGTAAGGATGGAAAAATCTCAAATGGCACAATGATGAGAGGAAGTGAGTGGCTTGCTGGTTACAGAATGCTGCACAGGAGTACGCCACACCTCAGTGTGTTTTATTCCGTGTTCCACTAGTTTTAACTACTTGGTAAGAGTGACCAGCGTAGAATGGGGACAGCAGGGGAATGTTTATCAGCACTAGAGATTTTGATTTCTGATTAGCAGATAAGCTAAGCGATGGGCTAAAGCCCATGGATATAAAGTTTATTAGATTCTTGTGCATTTTTACAAGATCTGTCAGGAGCTTATGCCTCAGTTGCTGTTTACAGGTCATACTGTGTAGATAAACAAAAAGCATTATAAAATGTTAATGATTACAGGCATGAGTCTGCATAAGCCACAATTTTATTTACCTAGAAATAAAACTTCCGAATTACTGAGGTTTTACTATTTCAAGCGATGCTATTTCTTGAATGACTTTGCAGCAAGAGAATGGAGGCAGCGTATCAACTCAGACAAAAGTTTACTTGTTTTCAGTAAACATGATTTCCTAAATCCGGATTCTAGCTGTACAAGATAGTAGAAAACTCAGTATATAGTGGACAACAATCTATAGACCGTTTTAAGTCATATCACTGTAAAATTAAGAATGTGCAATTAACTAAAAATTGTGAAGCTATAACTTAAAATGAAATATTTTACTTTTAGGAGTTAAGATTGTTTGGATATAGTCTAGCAAAAAAAAAAAGAAGGAACTTAATTCTGGTCATACACATCCTCATTTAACAATCCTTTTCTACTGATGTAGACAGTTACAGGAGTACATGAACTAGGTTATCTAACTGGCATTCACCGCAGAGGCAAAAGCATGTTGGTGTTTGTCATTGTCAATCTGCCCAACACACAAATAAAATATGACACTGCTAGGTGACTCATTTAACTCTAAAGAATAGTATTCTTTGTTATTAGTAATACCTGCCCTTTGTACACTAAACACAATTCAAGAAAATTTGATAAAAGGGCACCAGTACATTTAAAGAACATGGTGATAAAGAACTGCTTTAACTGTGTTTTGAAGCCCAGGTGTTCAGGATAGTTACCATCTTAAATCCTATGCCTTCAGTCCCAGGCAATATAGGATACATTGGTTCTCCCCCTGTACTTCAGCAAAGGAGATCTGATGTTGGTCCCCCACAACCACTGCTGCAGAAACTTCTGTGGCTATGGCCCTACCAATGTCAGTTCTGATGCCAAGTGGGGAAGATTTTGGGAGATTTGGGACATGCAGGAGAGGCTTGGATCCAAAGAATCCTGCTCCTACCCAGTCCCCCAACACTAGAAAAAAAAATACTCCATCTGAGGAGCTAACAAAAAAATTTTTTATTTCCCAGGGAAATGGTGGCCAGGAGGGAAGTGTGGATAAAAAGAAAAATGAGAGTAATTAAAGTTCTCATCTGTCCTAAAATTGAGAGCCACCGTGCCTTAGGAATGCAGCCTAAAATAAAATAAAATTAATAATAATAATAATAATGGTAGCTGCATCAGCCTGCTTGTTACATGGCACATCTTATGCCAATGATGATTTAACAGAGTAATTCTAAAGCTATGTACACACTGATTGAACAAGTAACATCAGGTCGGCTGTCTTTAGCTGGGCCTAACATCTCAACTTATAAATCCATCAAAGTCTTGATTTCGTTAATTTTTGTTTCACTAGAAGATTTCTTGTTTCCAAAGGCTCCAGTCGCAAGTTCTTTCTTCTTCTCCTGGATTTTCAGCATGTTTTCCTCTACTGAGTTCTTCACAATGAACTAAATGTGGTTTTTTAAAAGAAAATGTCAAACAAAAGAAAAAAGGAAATTCACTGCTATCATATTACTTTTCCAAAGGTACTTTAAATATATTACTGAAAACGTGCTATCCTAAAGTGTGATTCATTTACTATGATGTGAAGAAGTAAAAATAGCAAGGAGACAAATACTAGAGCATGGGGGATGGGGGAGCCTGTGGCCCTCCAGATGTGAATTCTCAAATCCCATCCCCAACCCTTGGAGACTTGGGAGTCCAAGAGTTGCAAGTCCATAGGTTCCCCATTCTAGGATAAAGGTTCTCAAACACTGGTTCACCAACCACAGTCAAACAGTATTTGTACTTGGCCCCATAGTGATTTAAAAACTGATACACTCAGTCTCACAGAACCATACTCGCAAAACACATGCACATCCATTATCTAAATATCATTAATGTATGCTAGGATAGCTCATTGCTAGAGCATGAGACTCTTAATCTCAGGTTTGTGAGTGCAAGCCCCACGATGGGCAAGTTTCCTGCATTGCAGGGGTTTGGACTATACGATCCTCAAGGTCCTTCCAACTCTATGGTTCTATGTGCTTTGATTTGCAGAACAAAAACCATGATGTTAAGTGGTCCTCCATGAACTTTGGCAAACTAAGAGTTCAGGAAAAAATATTTATGGAAAGTACAGTCCTAGAACTTGCAGCAACAAGAAGAAAGTAGTGCCTTCATTTCTATTTGCAACTGCTCATATAGCAAGGAACCTTATGTGTTGGGAAGCTGTCTTACATTACAATACCGACTTAGATTGAAAACTATCTGCGGACCCCACTCAAACAGCAGAGGCCATTTTACAAAACTGAAATCATGTCAGTGAGGGAAGCAAGATTCAGTCTGCTTCCCATTTTTGTGGCAAATAGTTAACTGGCAAAAGTTCATCTTTTTAACGCTCTTCACATACACCCTTAGCTACTCTATGTGCACTCTGTTGTTTCAAAGGCCACATGTTTGCAATACAGAAAACGTGATTTAATTCCTTGCTAGTCCCTCTTTTATTATACTGCATCCCTAAGCACAACTGCAGACTCTGGGTTCAGCGGTATGTATAGGTGTGCTCAAATTAAAAGCAACTTCTTATAACCACAGGTGCTTAAGATAATCACCAGCTCACCTTGGTGATGACAACATCCTGCTTCTGCCCAAGTCTGTGACATCTGTCAAAGCACTGGTCCTCTGCAGCAGGATTCCAAGCCTATCAGAAGATATTCAATAGTCATGCTAAGCCTTGCCAAAAGTAATGCGCTTTCACATTTCAGATTTCTAAGCTATGATCACTATAGCACTGTCGGACTTTATTTAGTGTTTTACTAGCATGGCATTGGAAGACTTGAGAATAACATATTCCATTTTCTATTAGTTATATACATGACACATCAGTCCACCAGCCCATTTCTTGGTGACAAACTGCCTATCCCATCAAGCTGCCTGGAATAAAGAGTATTCTTGAAGAAAAAAGGATTTCTGATTATAGTTAAGCTAGAATACAAAGGCTCTCCATGGAAGCACATTCACTTCCATAAGATATAAAGCCTTTAAAGATGACGGGGGGAGGAATGAACTGATACAATTTCACTTTTTCTTACAAGGATGATAGCAGGCACACAAACTCCTGATCTTGAAGGGGTATGGATGGAACGATTATGTCCCCCTGCTCAGCCTCCACCAGCAAGGAGCACCTCAACATACATATCCCAAATGCCAGGTATATAGCATTTCCGACAGCAGTAACCAGCAGAAATCCCTGAGAGGAGAGGCTGTGCAAACCTGCTGTCATCATGTTACAAGAGGCCCAATTTGGGCCTTTCCGCTGAACCAACTTTGGAGCTGGGACAGCAAAGGGACTTTTTTCCTCCCCGCTCGACAACTTCTACTCCTGAAAATGCACGCGCATCAAACCACACCTCTGCCAGCCAGAGGTTAGGATCGCTCCCTTAGCTTTTCAAGTTAACTTATGCACATTTGAAATCAGTAACTTTATTACAGGTTTTCTACCACAGCTAACCTGATGGGGTAGAACCAGTTTTTTGCTGCAGTTAATAGCACCATTATCACTTTCTTTTGCCACTATCTAGCAGCTAAAAATGAATTTCTCATTCCTTCTTTTATTTCTAGGATGTGTTGCAGAGCCAGTAAATATCACACTGATTGACTTGTTTATACTTACTGGATCCATTAAAAATACTTGTGAAGCTGCTGTGAGATTCAAACCAACACCACCAGCTTTTAGAGATAACAGCATTATAGTTGGGGACCCTTCTGCATTACTTTGGAACTGCTGAATTGCCCGTACTCTTTGTTTCCGTGTCATAGACCCATCCAAACGAGCAAAAGCAAACCCAGATTCCCTGAATCAGAAGAAGTACAACAGTTAGTCAGTTTGAGAGTTCTGACCTCATATTGTGGCATGCTGAATTTTTCAACTTCCAAATCAAAGGGTGCTAAAAAGTTATAACATGACTTTGGTTATCAAAATATATTTTGGTTAGTATTTTGCTGCTAAGTAAAATGTGTGTAAAATTGCATAGAAATCATTAAAAATGATTGCCAAGTACTTGCAGTTATATTATTAATTATAATTATTATCTGACACTTTCAGAAGGTAAAATTTAAAATTCTTTGGTTTTCCAAAAGCAGTTTATGTGCTTCTTCATCAAATGTAGACTTACCAAGCTAAATGTTGTCCAGCCATAAAAATAATACCAGATTTGATTTCTTCACACCCAAAAACATCTTTTTAAGATGCCTCACTGAAGAAATTTACAAAAACTAAGTTTCACCCCCCTAAAATGACAACTCCTACTTTGATATGACGTTTTGATTTTTTTCATGAGAAATTTTTGTTTTCTTTTTTTGTTTTTGTTTGTTTGTCTGTTTTTTGGAGGGGCAGGAATGCACGCAGCACAGCAGATTAGATAGCAAGTATTTACATTTTTCAGTTCTTCGCTGAAGAAACTTAACAAGCACATATTTCTACTTACTTTAGTGGAATCTCTATTAGAGTCAGGAACTTTGTGAACTGAGAAACTATTAAACTCTTAACAGCAGGATTTTGCTTCCTTAGTTTTATCAAGGCATGCATCAGTGCATTGACCTGAAACACAAATTAGTTATTTTCAGTTTTACAAACAACGAATCTCTTCATTTTCCTGAGGTTAGTTTTATTGTTACAAAGGAAAGCATGCATGTTCTCAGAGTCCTGTGTGCTAGACTGACCAATTGTTTCTCTCATTTCTTACCACCACATACCAAAAATAATTGGCCTAACAGAAATGAAATAAAATCGGTGAATCTGGAACTAATATCACAGGTTACAAGAATTGGGAAGAAAACTTAATTTCCTATATAAAATGTCATTACTTAGGAGACCTAGAATCTCAATTTTGGAAAGCAACTGGAACTGTTAGCACATACATGAAAGTAATGTGTGAATTTTAGGAAGTAGCAACCTAAGTTACATTGATAAATGGAATTAAATGTAAGAAGATATCAGGAATTCACAAATGTGCAAGCCATGTATTTTCCATAGGTAACAATTCTTTCCAGCTATGGCCTCACCTCCCACTGCTTTCAGTGGCATAAAGCAGCGAAGATGGCTAAAGCCAAGGACAAGGTAATAGAAAATAATATGGAGAAAGCAGAGTTCTTGCAAAAGTCTAGATGAATTGCTTAAATCCTTAATGAGGGCACAGAGGAAAAAGACACCAAAAATCAGTAAGGAAGAAGGAAGAAGTAGGACCAAGAAGACTGAACATAAAGAGTGGCTAACTCATGCCCTTTCCTGTTACTAAGCACAATCCATGTATCAAAATTTAGCCAGTGTGGTAAATATCTAAAGTGTAATATTTTGGTGCAAAAATGCAAAACAAATTAAGAACATATTTTGCATACCACAGAATAAAGACAATGAAGTGTTCTAATCTGACATTTACCTTTGAACTAGATACCCATTCTTGGCCAGGCTTTTTTTCACTATCCAGTTCCTCTGAAGGACATTCTAGTAAATTTTCTAATCCAACCTCTTTCCTGCAAAGAGGACATTTGGCGTTTGTCTGAAAAAGACAACACAAGTTTATAGTTCTGAGAAATACACCGTTGTGATTTGCATGTTTAAAGGCTAGCTTTTGCATTATGCTTCGGTTAGTAGTTCAGCGTTTTTTTGAAGAGGGTAAGGTTTCACATAAAGCAATATACAAAGTGACTACTACAAAGAATTAAAGAACCCTAACCCTTTACAAAGTATTTTAAGACGCAACAAAGCGAACTGGACTCCTTGGCTGGCTTTGAATAAACATTCACAAACTTTTTATTGATAATAATCAGCTAAATAGTTTGAGGATCTATACAACTTTGTAACATGCAGAAATCAGCATTCTTAGAGAAATCAAAGAATGGAACTGAGGGAAGTCGGGGGGTGGGGGTGGGTGAGTTTTGTATGGGAGGGTGGGGGGAAGGAGGAAAAATGTGGGAAAAGTAAGGATGATATGTTTCTGGATATTATGTTTTGTTTTAATTTTGAATAAAAAAAAATAAAAAAGAAGAAGAATTAATCAGGTCTCTTTGGAGGTAACATTCTACCATGAACAAATTAAACAATACTGCCATACTGTGTACAGTACAATTGACATCGGAGTCCCCTTCCCTTTTTTCCTAGATACAGTTTGGCTTACTGGCACCATTAATTGTATTGCTGTGGGCTAGAGTCGTATTTAGATGAAGGTTGGTTTGACAGGGGCTTTATACAGCAGACAGGTCATTCAGATCAGGCTGTCTATGTGTCGGCTTAGCGCGTTAGTTTCCACACATTGTTTTTCTTCAGTCATGAATATTCTTTGCTTGTCCACTGCTTGCCTCCACCCCAATGGGTGGAACTTGATGGAATGTACCTGGGCTGTGTGTGTTTCTTGTCCCTCTCTGCAATCACTCGTCCCCAACCTCCACTGCCTTTTCCTGCTCAGGGCATTCATAGCTTTTCAAAACAAAATAATTTCCCAGAAGTGCGTAACAGCAGATATTACCAGCCCATAGTTACGTCTCACTACAGACAAAATGGAGATGGGAAGCAATGTGCATTTGGGTTTCTTTAAAAATAATAATAACGAGGTCTTGCACAGGAGTGATATTTACCAATTTTGATCTGCTGTTTGGTTTGACATGATGTGGGTGGCAATACACCCCTATGAAAGAATTAAGAATGCCACGTAGGACCTGTTAACCATTATTAGCATAATTATGCATTTTCCCTCCTCTCACCAAAAAACATGCAACAGCAATGAAATTATGACAAAAAGGTATTGAGCAAAACCTTGAAATTAAACAAGTTAAAGTTGTCCAATGTACCAGTTCAGTCTAATGTGAAGCCATCATAAACACATGCAAAAACAAAAACAAAAAACCCTGTGCAGGTCAATACAATCATAAGGTCAGAATCAAGAAGAATACATGCAGTAGAATGTAGAAAAGTCAGTAGATTAGTTTTGATGGCAATAAATTAAAATAAAATATAAGGAGTATTAACCTGTTTTATCAAAACAGTAGCCCTACTGGCCACTGATATAAACTGCTTTCACTGCAGTTTCGTAAAGGTAATAACTAACCTTCTCTCTCTGGATGACTTCACAGATACATGGTTTACAGAACACATGGGCACAGTGTGTTATCACAGGAAAGTTCAGAGACTCTAAGCAAATGGCACATTCTTCATCTGATCCAGAGCTGAGCACGAACTTCATTTTTTCTATTAATTTCTTACGCAATTCTTCAGGGGTACTATTAGCTGTCCAGACACATACACAAAAAATTAAAAAGAGCAATGTTACAGGGTTAAAGTATCACAGTGCAAGATAACCACAAAGGTGCATCTATTTCAGCAGGATCTACAACAAAATGTTGACATGTATTTCATCTTCTAGTAGGATTTATTCTTATTGAAGGTTCCAGATAGCCATTCCCCTAACTAGCAGGTTATTTCATCTCACTCTCCCAGCCTCCTGATTTTCCCTTTTTATTTTCCAGTTGATTCTCAACATTCTGTAGGTGGTGACCATAGTTAGTCCTCACTGGGCTGGGCTGGTGGCATTTAGGTTTTTTCATGGAAGATGCCTCTAAAGGATTGGAATGTTTTAGCACTTTTATTATCCCCCCCCCCATGGGGGGCTTTTTCAGCATAAAAAATGTGCTGAAAAAGTCAGCTTATACTCGAGTATATACAGTACACAGATCTGAACACTAAACAACTGGCAGGTGCGCATCAATAGAAGGGTGACACACAACTTTTTACTGTGGAGTTCTTTGCTCTCTTGCCTTTGTCACGTGCAGAGAGATACTACCCAACCCATCTGGATCATCAGCAACCGCCGTAAACCAAGAAGTGTAAGCACCTGAGATTAAAGGTCTCCTATGTTTTTAAAAGAACATGGGAATACTTACCTTCTGTATCACTGGATGAGGACACACTTGTACAGAGCCATGGATGACAACACAACTGTCTCAGCCTGAGCAACACACCAAGAACATCTGCATAGTGGGTCAAGACACTTCTATCATTGAAATACCTGCAGGATAATTTTGACATTAAATAAATCAAGTGTTACAGTTTAAATACTTGAGCTGTGATCCACAAATCCTCCGAATTCTGGCCCAATTTTCTCTTGTGCCACAATAAGAGAACTTTGCAGGATTTGGTAGGTCATACTTACCATACCATTACAGTTGGAAGCAGTGACTTAACCAAGGATTACAATCCAGGCTATCAAATGAGGCACCTCAGTGTAAGGGGTGTGTAAATGTATGTGTATCCATTTTGCTTCCCATGTCATTTAACTCTCCATTATAGACTGGAAAACAATGGCATTAGCAGGAGCCACTTAGTTAAAATCTCATGCCCTGTTTTGAGAACAGCATTCCGCCTGACAATGCAGTTTTATTTGTATACAACAGACCAAGCAGTCACTGAACAGTTGCAGAAAATGTTCCCGTTTTCTCAACCATCCTTTTAATAATCCATGTTGCGATTGACGAGTACTAATCTGATTAAAATATCATGGAAGTTTGTTAGTACTATTCCAATTGCAACAAAAACAGCTAATGTACTGGCCACTGAAGGAAGAATAATTAAATTTCTACATAATCCAAAAATTTGGGAGTCTTAATATTGTGTGTGTGCACACGCGCGCACACACACATATTAAAGAGTGGGGATCATTTGTGTAATATTGGAAAAATCATGGCATGCAATTAAATGCATTAGTAAAGGTAAAGGGACCCCTGACCATTAGGTCCAGTCGTGACAGACTCTGGGGTTGCGGCGCTCATCTTGCTTTACTGGCCGAGGGAGCTGGCATACAGCTTCAAGTTACCTTAAATCAAGCAGTTAAAAGTATTATCAAGATAATAACTTTAAAAAGGAGTAATGTGAAAAATGCAGCTAAAAATTTCAAGTAAGACAAGAAACCAAAAAAGGGGGGAGAAAGGGAAGTCTAATATGTATATGAAAACTGAAAATAAAATTTATAAAAATAAATATATAAATTTGGGAGTCTTAATATTGCATTCCATGGACTTTTATTACAATGGAATCTACAGGGCTGCAATCCTATACAGTGGTACCTTGGTTTAACAACAGCTTAGTTTATGAACAACTTGGATTAAGAACGATGCAACCCCAGAAGTAGGTGTTTTGGTTTGTGAACTCTGCCTTGGAATAAGAACATATTTTGCTTCCTGTTGAGTGTGTTCCATTTGTTAATTGAGTCCCCTGCTGCTATGGGAAAGCACGCCTTGGTTTAAGAAGGCTTTGGTTTAAGAACGGACTTCCGGAACGGATTAAGTTCATAAACCAAGGTACCACTGTATGCACTTACCTCGGAGTTAATTCCTACTGAATCCAACAGGCCTTATTTCTGAGTAGACGTATTTGGTATTGCATTATAAGACATGCAAGATAAAAAAATCAGACTACAACAATTACTGAATGCAACCTAATGGAATTCTGTTCTTCCACTTAACAGCTGGCACTATTTACCTCTTAACAGCAGCAATGCTCTCGTTTTTCACAGAATGATACATTTGGCTCTCTTCATCTGTAAGTGTAATATGCTGAATGAATACTTTGCGTTCCGGGAGCTTCAGAACTGGCTTCCCTTTAACTTTGCTTGTTTTAGTTCTTCGAAGTGTAATGCTGTTAATTAGGGATTGTAAACGCCTAGCAAGACAAAAGAAGCACCCGTGAGGCTTTAACATCAGATATATTTTATATCTCAGTCGCTCAGTCTTGTATACCCAGTGAAAACTGCAAATTTTCTGTATTTTACTAAAAGAAATTTAAATGAAGTCTGTATTCTTCACACATCATTCAATTTATGTATAACCCACTGATCTTCGTACTGATCTTTACAAAATGCACCGCATTTTTCGCTCTATAGGGCGCACTGGACCATAGGGCGCACCTAGGGTTTTGGGGGGGATAAAGGGGGGGAATTACCCCCCCCAGCCCCAAACAGCAAAGAAGCCAAGACGGCCAGCGGGATGGATCCCGCTGGCTGTCTTGGCTTCCTTTTTAGCCACGGGGCTGGGGCGGGGGAAGCCCGAGCTTCCCCTGACCCCAGCCCCCAGAACGGGTCCAGGAGCGGCGGCGAGGTTGCGCGCAACCTTGCCTTCGCTCCCGGAGCTTGCTGCTATCCGCAAGCCTTGGGAGCCCGGCGGGCACTCCTGCCGCGCTCCGCAGGCTTGCAGATAGCTTCCTGAAGCCTGGAGAGCGAGAGGGGTCGGTGCGCACTGACCCCTCTCGCTTTCCAGGCTTCAGCGAAAGTCTGCATTCGCTCCATAGGACGCACACACATTTCATTTTTGGAAGGGAAAAAGTGTGTCCTATAGAGCAAAAAATACGGAACTTATCAAGGATATGTATTAGAAAACTAGAAACATTTTATACTTAAGCCCTCCTTGATCTCCCATAGTGACAGGACGCTGGATTGTTCTGTGCCACCAGTCTCTATCTGTAAAAGGCTTCAGCTTTAAAAAGGAAAGAAGAGACCACAAATCCTTTAAGGAATTCTGAATAGGTGTGCCTAAAAGGAAGAAGACAGACAAAACAAAAACATGCCACACATTACGATTACACCACATAAAATTCACTCAAAAACAAAAGTAAAGACTGGGTATACAAAAAATATCCTTGTACAAGTATAAAAAACTTGCCAAAAAATTATTTTGGCATTTGTATCAATGTATCAGCTTGAATTCTTAGGTAAATATTATTATGTATTATTTTAAAAAAATCACACCAAAATATTGCTAAGTACCACTCTACCATTAGTACTTAACTTCTGCTAGGCAAGTTTTTTAAAAATCAATTTCACATATTAAAACATTTGTTAATTTCCTATAAAGTTACATTTACATGAATCTGCCTTAACGTGATTGGCTGACTTGCAGGCTGATGGAAACCCACACACCATTGCAAGACTGTATCATCGATTATTATTTTGGATCAACACATTCTGGCACTAGATCCTGATGATTTTATTTCATGAATTAAAAATGGTTTTTTAAAAGCAGTGCCTCCTTGTAAATAATGAAGTCCCTCACTACTGCAAAATGCAACAGTTCTGGCATCTACTTTGCTTAGCTTTCGAAACATCTTTAGTCAGGTACAGTCATTACCTAAAAGACATAGAGCCTGATCAAAATAAGAGTTTACACTGGAAATAAATATTCTTGGGCTTAAACTGCATTGATGCATTTGTTTACAAAGCTGCACTTTCATTTTAATATTGTCAACCTCAGTACTCCACTATAATCAGCAAGTTAAAAATGGGCTGGATCTCTGGATCATCAGCCCATATAACAGGGCTGGCAGAAGCTGACTTTTCAGCCTATTGTTTTTCCCACCGGTCCTCAATAAATGCTTTCCCGAGGGTCAGAGATGCTGTGGCACAAGAAAAGGGTGTGATGGCCAGCATTTCTCAGCCTAGGTGTCCCGGTTCAAACTATTATTCAGTTGTATAATTAAGTGAAAATTTAAACTTTAAGGCCAGGAACAATTGCTGTCCTGGGAGAGATGCTTTCTTTAATCTAAGTTTATGGGTTTGATCCCAGTAGTCCATTAAAACTAAACAGTGATAAGAGTTTGAATCTAGTCCAAGCATGGCTTCAAATCGGGTTTTAACAGTAACACCATCAGTTCATGTACTAATTTTTTCACTGTTTGATGAGCAATTGAACTGTTCAGAACAGGAAGCAGCCACTTCATTTTTTTTTTTTTTATAGTTGCTATTTATTGAATTTTCAAAAAATAACAACAAAAATTTCCAAAAAAAAAAATTTAAGGATACAAAAAACAAAATTAATGCATAAACAAAAAAGAAAAAAAAAACCCAGCCGCAAAGAAAAAAAAAAAAAGAGAAACAGAAAAACCAAAATATAAAGTCCTTTACAATCTCTATTGACTTCCTTTCTAGACTTCCTCCTCCTCCCCTCTTTTGTTTCTTAATTTTTAATTTTTACAGAAAATCCTTTCTGTTTTTTCATAACAATCTGTCATTATGTTTCCTTATTCTATTTTCCCTCTTGTCATATAAAAACTTTAAAACTCATAGCTTATATTCAATATTTACCAAGTTCTTGCATCATTACCTTTTACGATCATTTCATACTTTTAATTCTTCATCTCAAACATTTGTAAGCATTATATTAAAAAAAAAAAAATAAGTCATTCAACAGTCCTCCAGATTGTCGCTCGTACCACTGGGTGTACCAGGCCTCAGTCTTTTTGCCCTGTATCGTCGTTCCAGCAAGAAAATGCTTGACCTTACAAGTCCATCCCAAACCCTTGCCCAAGCCAGACAATAATACTAAATCCACACGGAGACTCTCTCCTCTGATAGCCACAGACTCGAGGTCCAAACATATGAGGCATCCTTTCCAATCTGACACATTTCATCTCAGAATCTGGTTGTCCTTCTAGTTCAAGGCTGATCTCCGCGCCCTGGTCATTATGTCCATTCATTGTTGCGGTACATCATCGTGTCTGTCACTGGCACTTAGTTTGAAAAAGAACAATGTTCAGTTACTATTGTCCTTCAGTCATTCTTTCCCACGAGATAGTCAATAGTCCTTTGTTTAAATTAGATGGAATTTTTTTTTTAAAGGAAAAAGAACAACAATCTTTTTTCACCTCCAAATTAGAGCACATATAAATGTACCTTCTTTAACTAACTGTCAGCTGATAAGACGCAGAAGCCTGGTAGGCGTGAAAATTAACTCACTTCCGGATTGAGAAGTCCAAATACCCCTCAGTCAAGGAATCTGATGTTGAATTCTGTTCTAAATTTATTTCAGGCTTTATATATTTGTCTTGCTTTCATAAAAAGAACGGAAGGCACTTCGACCTCATTCCGAGTCAATTCAATTCAGTCAAATATTTGTTTATTCACGTCTTAAGTGGTTCAGCTCTTCCAAGATCAGGTAACGGATATGTTTTAGATGCCACAGGAAAAAGCGCTTTAACGGCACCGGAGGAAGCAGACGCCCAGCACCGGCCTCGCCCTGCAGAGAGTTCGTGCCGCGTCCCCAGGTTTTCCGCGTGGACAAGCTCCTCCTGACACATTTTCCGGCCACCGGGAGCCACTTCAGCTGCATTTTTGCAGCTGGAATTTATGACTGGAAAAGTAAAAGCAGTGTTGGAGGCAAGCAGAAAAATACAGTCGAAAAGGTGCTTGCTCTCAGAGAGTTATCATCTGAAAGCGAGAAAATGTCTGCATATGCACTACAAATGCAGTTTTTTCCAGCAAAGACATTCATACCGCCCCCTGAGCAACATCAGGCACTCAAAGCAGAAACAGCACTTCCATTGGAATAGGACAGTAGTTTTGGCTGCTTCTCTGGGTGGCTCCAATGCCAAGCAGCTAGTATGATCAGGAGGGAAGGAAATACAGATGTTGCATCCCTAGCAGAACTGCTCTTGCATCTCTTACATGCTGCTAAATTCCACATGTTCAGGAGCAGCTGCAGACAGGGTGCTGCTGCACTGCCACCCTTCCAAAAGTGGGGTCTCTACTGTTTGCCAGGATGGTGCAGGAGCAGTTCAGAGTGGCAGCCCAGAGTGCCACATTGGCTCTGCTGATCTGTCCATACAAGCCCTGACCTTGCTACTGCCCTGCCCCATCCTGCTAAGTGGAAGCAACAGTGCTGTCAATAGGGTGGGCGTAGTACTATCCCACTGCACTGATTGCTCCTGCCTGGGCTGAAATTTGCTAACTGAATGCTCCCTGGAGGGAGGAGTGCATACACACGTGCCCCAAAGCAAGTGGCAAGCTACAATCTTAACTAAAGCAATTTTACAGAGTGCAAAACAAACTAAGAGACATAATGGATCACAGTACTGTTGAAAAATCTTAATGAAATCAGTAAGCTGTTCAACAAGCATAACTCTTATAGTCAATCAACACAGTGCTGCAGTGTTCTCCCTTTGGCATAATTACCTGTCAAAATCCATCTTCTTTGTGCATCTAGGTCCAGTACAGCTTTTGTCTGTTGAGCATTTGGATTTCGTATTGTGTGTCCTTCATCCAACACCACTCTCAGCCATTTTAATTTGTGTAAAGGGCTATTACCTCTGGCCTAGAACAAAATTTAAATAATGGCTGTAGTACTTTAAGGATATAAGTAAACTCTGTAAAATAAGCAGTGACTTAAAAAAATAAAAAGAAATCATTTTGCTTTCATTCTCTGCTCCAGAAGAATATACGTAACCTTTATGAAGAGGAATAGAGGAAGTCAGCTACATCAAGCGTGCATGAAGGCCTGGAAGCCAAATCACTTTTGCTGCTTCACTGAAAATCCAACCCAATTAATGCAAGAGGCATTACAAGGACAATTTCAACCAATAAAAATACTCAAGGAAGGTGCAAGTGCAGAGGGTGTGTGGCCTAGAAAGAGCCCCACGAGCCAGATAGAGGGACATGGAGGGCCACACTTGCCCCCAGATCACAGGTGTGTGTATGTACACACACACACACACACACACACACACACACAGTGTAAGATATGGGAAATTATTTGAATGGCTTAAATATAGCATGCTCTACTTACAGTTCACATCTAAAGCAGATACTACACAGATGTCTTAAATTTATTCCCATGACAGTCATCAGAACGTATCAATAGAACTGTTAGTCATATGATTTAAAATAAAGCAGCAGCTAAGCAACTGGAGTTTTGTCTTTAAGGGACAGAGAAAATGGAAGTGTAATACAGGCCCTATTTCACTCCAGAAAGAGCTTTTGTTTATTTAACAGGATTACAATCGCTAAACTTCTAAGCAGTTTACATAACATATAAAGTTGACCAAAAATAAAATCAAAACATAAACAGAATAAGTAGTTTCAAATATATATATATATATAACACACACATACAAACACACATTACAAAATAAAATTGCATAATAAAATACAAATCCAATTTACATGGCTGGACATGCTTGCCTAAACAAAATCATTTTTAGCAGGTGCCAAAAACAGCTCAGTATTTTACAAGTGTTTCCATTGGAGCTGTATGAGAAAAACCAAAGTTTTCTACTCTATTTCCAAGGGTGAGCACCCACATGAAGACGCAATTAATAATATCACCTAAGAAATGGGCAGAGGAAGGCAAGATTGTGTCAGCTGCTTAAACAGACAAAAAAGTCACAGCCAGCAGGCACTGCACCACCACACATAGTCCCAGTATTACTATCCAGTCTGAGCTGTATTCTCTCCACCGCAATCACCCCCATACTCCAAACATCAGTTGCAACTTAAAACTGCTGTAAAAGATTTGCTACTTGAGCATGTGCTTTTAAACCTCTATACTGCTACTTAAGGCATGCACACCCACTGCACAGTGGATCTGTTTTTAAATGCCCACACCTACATTTACAAAGATCAGTCTCCACTGAACATCCTTAAAAGGTATGCAATTCTAAGAACTGATATCATTTTCAAGCTCTAAGAGCAGGAACCAAATGTTTATCTTTCTGTTGCCCAGCTGGAAAACATAAAAGCCTTGAGAGCTTCCAGGTACAGAATTTCACTTATTTTTACTACTCCTTCTGCAACAGCTGACTTAGAATAACATCCGAGTTATTTCCAAGCTATCCATTACAGTAATTTAAGCACTTAATGCCAGGTAGAACAAGACTCCAAGAGTTGTAGCCAGCTAAGTTGTACTCAGAGGAGACCCACTGAAATCAATGAACTCAAGTTAGTCACGTCCATCAATTTCAGTGGGTCTGCTCTGAATATGACTTAGTTGGATAGAATCCCAAAAAACTTACAGTATAATAAAATATAACAGCTTATATGAAAGTGCATCATAGTGCAGCTGGAGTATAATGAACACCTCAAATATAAAACATTAAACTGTTTCAAGATAAAAGCATAGAAACCATTAGTGACTGGAAGCCATTAGAAACTAAAACACCTGGGCGGGAGTAAAAAAGAACATTTGCCATCTCATCCCACTTTCTACCAACTGGAGACACCAGAAAATATTAATGCCTATTTTCTCTGTGCATCTGCTTAGAACTGCAGATTCACAGAGGAACCCTACCCCTGTAGTTGTCAAGTGTGCTAGTTTTATCCAGCGCCCATCTGGGGAAAGAGGTCATGGGTGATGATAGGAGATGAGCGACGGCAGTTTATGTTTGAGGACACCCTTCTACAAGACAAAAACCTCCTTCGTATATATATGCTTGTTCTTAACTAAAGACTCATACAATGGGAAAAGCAGATTACATGTTTTAAAAAAACAAAAGGAATACAGTGGTGCCTCGCAAGACGAAATTAATCCGTTCCGCAAGAGTCTTCGTCTAGCGGTTTTTTCGTCTTGCGAAGCAACCCTATTAGCGGCTTAACGGATTAGCGCTATTAGCGGTTTAGCGGCTATTAAAGGCTTAAAGGCTTAGGGGATTAGCTGCTAAAAGGCTATTAAAGGCTATTAAAGGCTTAGCAGATTAGATAAAGGGGAAAGCGAAAAAAATCTCAAGACTCGCAAGACATTTTCGTCTTGCGAAGCAAGCCCATAGGGGAATTCGTCCTGCGAAGCAACTCCAAAACGGAAAACCCTTTCGTCTAGCGGTTTTTCCGTCTTGCGAGGCATTCGTCTTGCGGGGCACCACTGTACAATGGAGCATTTGGCATTGATTTGAAAAAAGCTTAAGACTACTAGGTTGTATTTTAGAACAAAAGTCAAATATTTGTGATGTATAAACTGCTTTTCTTTATCTTGCTGCAACTTTTCACCATACTTACTCCATAGTCACTAGCTAAAATGTTGTAAGTTGTTAATACAACATCCTGTCTTGAAAGTACCGCTGGATCTTTGCTGCGCTCCGAGCCATAGTAAACGTAAATGTTCAAGTGAACACCCGGATCCACATGTTGTTCAAACTGATCCTGAAATAAAAATTAACCAGATGGTTGCAATTAACTGATGGCTCAACAACTGACATCTCTCAAGAGATTTCTAAGCTATACTACAGTCAGGAACATAGGAAACATAACCCTTGGTGCATCTAAAAAAAGGTAAAGGAACCCCTGACCATTAGGTCCAGTCGTGGCCGACTCTGGGGTTGTGGCGCTCATCTTGCTTTATTGGCCGAGGCAGCCGGCGTACAGCTTCCAGGTCATGTGGCCAGCATTACTAAGCCGCTTCTGGCGAACCAGAGCAGCGCACGGAAACACCTTTTACCTTCCCGCCAGAGCGGTACCTATTTATCTACTTGCACTTTTTGATGTGCTTTTGAACTGCTAGGTTGGCAGGAGCAGGGACCGAGTAACGGGAGCTCACCCCATCGCGGGGATTCGAACCGCCGACCTTCTGATCAGCAAGTCCTAGGCTCTGTGATTTAACCCACAGCGCCACCTGTGTCCCCTTGGGGCATCTAGCTCAGTACTATATTCACTGACTGGCAGTGGCTCTGCATCTTTCAGAAAGGAGGCACTCCCAGCTCTACCTGGAAATGCTAGGGATCGAACCTGAGACCTTCTGCAGGGAAAGCAGATGCTCTACCACTAAGCCACAGCCCTTCCTGATAAAGCACAGTAAGAGTAAGCCTAATTCAGATTTATTGTGACTACAATGGAAGTTGTTCTGCTGAAGAAAAATGGGAGCAACTTGCATACTATAGTTTCAAGGCTGGAGGCACAGTCAACATTAGAAATACCCAACCCATTCGGTTCATCATCAACCATCTTAAATTATATTACTCTGGCTGCAATTCTATGTTTACCTTAGAATAAGCCCCAAGGAATTCAATAGAATATATGAATAAATATGATTGCGCTTTAAATCTTGGTTATGAACATTTAGGCTGTATTAAAATTCTAATCCCCATATATCTTCACTTTAACATTCTTTTTAGAAGTTAAGATGCCATATTTTTATCTTAGAAAAGCACAATTGTTTAAATTTAACACCTACAATCCAGTTACTTAGGACAGAAAGTGGACAAATGATCAGTGTTGTCCCCAGTGTCTCTTCACCTTCATTTTTCTTATGCTGAATAGTAACAACACCTTTGAAGAGGAAAAACAATAATTAGCAATGTAACTGCACAGTGATTACTTCCATGTAGTCCTCTTTAGATGTATCCAGTCAATTTGCAATTATTTACTATCATTTCTAATCCTAAGTATGTATTATTCCCATTTTTGCTTTAACTACTGCATAGGAATCCAATCATTTACACCAGTAGTTCCCAATTAGCTAAGTATTGCAGACCCCCCTGTTTTTCAAAAGCCAAGCCATGGACCCCTTACTTCTGAAAATTTTGATACCTCTATGATAGTTTTTGTTATATTAATGGTGCCACAGAGCCCCTGGGTGGGTTACATAGAGCCCCTGGGGTCTGCATACCACCAGCTAGGAATCATTGCTTTACATGGTTCAATCAGTCCAGAAGTTTCAGGTGTCTTCCTTTCCTTCCCAACTATAGGCTTGTTAAAAAGTATACTGTGTAGCATTTCGTGTTAAGTGGCATTGTAAAAGGAAAAGCTTAATAGTTTGGATACCTTTTTTCTTTGTCTTTTTTGAAGAAATGGCTGGTTCCTCAAGAGCAGAAGCAAATGCTTTATCCTCTTGAATATCACAAGAAGCTGTGAAAATGTTTTATAACTAAATAGTCACATACATTTGAAAAATGAAAGTTCCTGTTTAAATTAGTTAAAATAATCTGTTTATACAATCATGTGAGAACTCGTACACATACTATCCGTGCATTGTCTTCTAGGTATAAAGAAGATGAGAACTATAGGTTTAGCCACCACAATTAATACAGATATTACAGTTCATAGATCAAAGATTATTCTTCCTAGCTTAGAGCCAGTCCTGATTCAACTAGACCACAGGTCAGTTAATTCAAATACCTAAAGCAGCCCATCCATAAGCATAGTGACAATGTGCAAACACACATTCACTTGCACCATGCCAACAACCATGTGTTATGCACCAGTATATGGTTAAGTTTTGCAAAAAGTCACACACACTCTCTGTTAGAAAGGCCTCATTAGGGTACTGTTATCAGGTTTTATTGGGAAGGGGGAACAATAACTTTTTGACGGTAGTATTTTTTAAGTACTAGCATCATACCTTTTCTTCTCTTTCTTGTTGCTGGAGGCGTTTTTTGCACTTTGGCTGGGAAAACAAGAAAAGTGTTAACACAGTGTGGAAATCAATAAAGTTGTTAAAACAAATATAATGACCCCCCAAAAAATAAGTGAAGCTCACTTTCCATTATTTCTGTGTTCTGCTCTTCAGGCTCTGAGTCACTGCTTACTGTATACTTTGGCTTTTTGCCCATAGCTCTAAAGCATTTAGAAAGCAAAAGGATTACAATGAATAGAGGATTTCACAAGCGTTTATCTGATCATTTAGATTGATAGGGTATAGAGATAAATTTACCAAACAGTAGCATTGAAGAGAAATTACGCTAGTCACCAAATGGGCCAGAATAAAGATAACCTTGCAACATGTTTCGCACATCTAAAAAACTCATTTGATTTCACTCCAGAAAGCAACCTCTCTCCCAAGAAACACCCCCTCTCACACACAGAGGGGAGGGGGAAGAGAACAGCTCAGAAGTAGTTTGCAATTGACTTATAAGAACAGATAAAATTTGCTTACCTCTTTGGATGGGTTCTGGATGACTGAGATGGAAGAGACTCACTCTCCTTTGTATCAGAAGCATTCAGCTGCAGGCCAATTCTGGGTGCTTAACAATAAGTATTAAAAATCAAAACAAAAAAACACTCCATGATTTCTCTAATAACTTATTATTAGTTAATTAATTTAATTAATTAATTAATGTTGCATACCACCCTATTCAGTAGATCTCAGGGCAGTTCACAACATTAAAATCATGGTGTAAGAAACAGAAAATACATAATAAAAATAATTACAAAATAAAAGCAAAGACAAAGGCAAGCCAATAATTCCCCCTTCCACAACACGTCATAAATTTAAGCTATTGGTGATCAATTAGGATATTTAATGTAAAAAAAATTTATTAAATTAATTTGTACTGAAAGTTGTCATCTGACTGAATTCAAAACAAATGTGATTAGTTTCTAGATCAAAATTACCTTCTTGGTCTTTTTTCACAGCAGGAACACATTTCTAAAAGAAAAATAAACACACTGAAATGGCATCTAAAATTTAGTTTAAGAACAAAACAAATCTTATGGAAATTAGTTGAAACATACTTGAAAGAACACGTGGCTAGCACAGCTCTTCAAAGTACCAGTTAGTACATTTTCCACTACTTCAGACAGTTCCAGTTATTCAGATAATACACTCACGTCAATCAATCAATCAATCAATCAATCAAGGTTTCCCAAAATTTACAACAATAAGCTGGAATTTCTAAAACACTGTATATTTTAGATCCTCCCTGTAAATTAAGAATACAGTTTGTTTGTTTGAATTTGTTCCTTGTTTTCTAATTGGCTGCTACTGTTGTCCCATCTTCTCCAGAAGATTGCAACATTCGGACCATTTTCTCTGAGAGTTTAAGTCTCTTTCTTGTAGTACAGTACAGGGTTGGTACATGGTGTCTACTTAGGAAGCACCCTCTAGTGGCCTTATGGATTTATACTGAATGCATCAGACATGTTGCCCAGAAACATAGCATTTTTAGGGCATTACAATATTTTTTGTTCAGAAATGCAACAAAACAATTCCAATATGCCCCAAATGTTAACTAATCTAAGCCAACTAGCAACTAGGTAAATTTATACATCTATGTACTTTTGAGAACAACCTGTAAGAAAAAAGATTACTGAAGATGGCACTTGCTGCTAGAGACACTTTCTACTTTGCTAGAATTTCTGACAAAATGTGGCGCTTATCCTACAGAAGAATTTAGGCTGCAATCCTATACTTGCTAAGTTCCACCGAAATCAGGACACACAGAATTGTGAGGCATGGCTATTTATATCTGCTCTCTCTTATTCTGGACAGAAGTGATCCATATCTACACAAATACCTCCTTCTGGAAAACTGCCAAATCCTGAACCTTCTGAAGAGCCTTTTCTTTGGGGCTGCTTTTGGTAGTCTGGATAAAACTTACTGCACAAGAGGTGATAGAACACATTTTATTTACAGTTTTTATTTTGGTATTTTTGTTTTTTTTAAGAAACTGAGTCGTAGGGATGGCTTGGCTAAAAGTCCAAGTAACACGTAGAATTCAAATAAATTAAATTCACATATATACTGTATATAGAGAACAAGACCAAATATTCTACAAGAACATCAGTGACATATCATTCCTTCTTTCTTGCTTTACATATCTGCATTATTTTTGTCTTATAAATATGAGAAGTTGGAACTGATACAATTCAAGCAGGGGTCTGGTATTAACAGTAAATTACCTTAATAGGAAATATCTTCAGTTGATCACTTTTCTGTCTAACAGGAAGAGGTTTGCCACCATGGAAGTTGCTAAGTATCACAGCTATCGTAGTAAGTGTTTTACCCTAAAATACATTGAACAATTTATTAACATTGTTTCATATGATAAGTTTGTATTATTTATTTCTTTTTTATACTGCCTTCCTCAAAGGAGCTGAAGGAGGCATACATGCTTCTTCCCACTTTTATTGTCATAATAAACCTGTGAGGTAGGTCAAGTGAGACGCAGTGACTGCCCCCAAGTCACCCACCGAGTTTTGCAGTTGAGTAGGGATTTGGATCCTGCCAACCTAGCAGTTCGAAAGCACGTCAAAGTGCAAGTAGATAAATAGGTACCGCTCCGGCGGAAAGGTAAACGGCATTTCCATGTGCTGCTCTGGTTCGCCAGAGGCTTAGTCATGCTGGCCACATGACCCAGAAGCTTTATACGCTGGCTCCCTCAGCCAGTAAAGCGATATGAGTGCCGCAACCCCAGAGTCAGTCACGACGGGACCTAATGGTCAGGGGTCCCTTTACCTTTACCTAGGGATTTGAACCTGTATCTCCTCAGTTACAGTCTGACACTCTAGCCCAGGGGTAGGCAACCTAAGGCCCGGGGGCCGGATGTGGCCCAATCGCCTTCTTAATACAGTGTGTTTTTACATGAGTAGAATGTGTCATTTTATTTAAAATGCATCTCTGGGTTATTTGTGGGGCAAAGGAATTCATTCTTTTTTTCAAAATATAATCTGACCCACCACATGGTCTGAGGGACGGTGGACCGGCCCACAGCTGAAAAAGGTTGCTGACCCCTGCTCTAAACACTACACCACACTGGCTCCCAGAGGCAACATTCTAATATGACAATTACCAAGCCCATGTCATCTGCCAATATTCCTCCAAGAACATTTTCTGGCCGCGTTTTTTCAGCAAAGTTGGTAATTGTATTGTAGAAGTAGTTTTCCCTCTCTTCCCAAAATGGAGGCAACTCCTTGTTGTTCTCACGTGAAATCATCCAAGCCAAAGCTTGCTTCTGATGTGGAAGTAATGGAGTTACAACAGCCTGAAAAATTAAGGTGTCATATTATACAAATTTTCGTAACAGAAACCACAACCTGTAGCTGAGAACTTACTAGCATTTTGCCAGTGTTTAACGTGTGCACTAACACACTATCAATGTGACATGCTGGATATATTACCTTTGCTGCTTCTACTTCACGTGTTTTATCATCTTCCTTCAGATCTTCAAAGAGTTTGTCAAATTCAGTCTTGAGCTAGAATTGTACAGAGAAGTTAGATGAGGTAATATACCCCAAAGCTCTACTCCTATTAAAAGGAGAGTTTAAAGTTCTAAAGTACATTCAGCAACTCAAATTCTAACGACAAACATGCATTGTACCTGTTCAGTTGTCATTTGTACAGCAGCATGGACCGGAGCACTGTAACTTGTTCCAGCTTTGCCATATTTCTTGCTAGTCCCAACGCTAAATTCTGAAACTGAGTATCATTTTTAAAAGAGGAAGGGAGGGGGGGAACTAATCAATGACTGCAAATGCTCTCCCATCATCAGTAGACCAAAACTGCTTTATATTTACAGAGATTGATGTGATCCAAAAGAAGAGAAGTTTAATAAGCTAAGAAATGCTTCATGTTTTGATTAAAGGAATTTCTATTAAGTATATGTATAAAATATTTATTTAACTTACTTTTTCCTGGAGGAGCTAAGTTAAAGCCCTGCATGTTTAGTCGATCAAGAACCGCTTGCTTATTTTCTGCTTTCCCCCAAAAACTCAACTGTACTGGCATAGTGAAAGTATTCTTTGCTCCAGAAGGAACAACCCTAGACAAAAGGAAAAACATTACATTATTACATTTATACCCTGCCCTTCCTTTTAAAAAACCAAAACACCGGGACAGCATAAAGTGCACACAAATAGCTGGGGTTTTTTTATCTTCACAACAAACGTGTGAGGTATGTTCGACTGAGACACTGACCAAAGTTGCCAAGTAAGCATCATACTTGGGTGGAATTTGAATCTCAGCCTCATCAGTTCTAGTTTTACCTATAACTACCACAATCCTAAAATGAACTATAAAAGGAGCCTAGAATGCAATGGAAAGGGAATGAAGGGGTAAGAGGGGGGGCGGGCTGATTTTAAGAGCGGAGAGAATTAAGCGAACCACCTGTTTCTACTATTTACATATACAATACTACTGCAGAATCAATATGTTAGTGTTGTTGTTGTTTAGTCGTGTCCGACTATTCATGACCCCATGGACCAGAGCACGCCAGGCACTCCTGTCTTCCACTGCCTCCTGCAGTTTGGTCAAACTCATGTTCGTAGCTTCGAGAACACGGTCCAACCATCTTGTCCTCTGTCGTCCCCTTCTTCTTGCGCCCTCAATCTTTCCCAACATCAGGGTCTTTTCCAGGGAGTCTTCTCTTCTCATGAGGTGGCCAAAGTATTGGAGCCTCAGGTTCAGGATGTGTCCTTCCAGTGAGCACTCAGGGCTGATTTCCTTAATAATGGATAGGTTTGATCTTCTTGCAGTCCATGGGACCCTCAAAAGTCTCCTCCAGCACCATAATTCAAAAGCATCGATTCTTTGGTGATCAGCTTTCTTTATGGTCCAGTTCTCACTTCCATACATCACTACTGGGAAGACCATGGCTTTAACTATAGGGACCTTTGTCAGCTTATTAGTAGTACGCTTCAAAAAGGTATGGAAATTCAGTGGCAAAAATTAATTAAATTCAAAGGTAGGGAAAACCTTGGTCTTTAAAACCTAACCTTAATTCTGCAATGCTTCAAGAGATAGTAGAATAACTATTACTTATATATCTGGTCTCAGTTCTAAACCTCAATGAACTTATCAATCTGTGACAGATTCAGTAAACCACTTCATGTTTGCGAGTTTGTTTACACTATACTATGCCTGTTCAACATAAGCCACCAGCACAACCAGCAATCAGATACTGAGACTTCTTAGTTTATAGAGTTTGCTTCCTGTAAATTGTGATTCTACTTCCAGATATCCCACTTTATTTATTAGAAACTAACTACTACCAATGGACTGCTGTTCAAGAAAACAACAGGGGAAATAGCCCTACATTTACATACTTACCCTTCCACCACTGCCAACTTGTTGTCCATGATGTATGCCAATGATGCTGCCAGCTCTTTTTTGATGTGGCCTACCTGGTCTCCATTCGCATTATTTACTTTTACAGCATTCTTGTCATATGCGTTGTTAGGCTCTCTCTGGAGTGCAACCATTTCATTATTATTGACCTGCAAAATTAGCCTTCACGTTATTTAAAATGTAGAAAATACACAATAAAATACACAAAATACAAAATACAACCAAAATATCTTTAAAACACTGTTAAGGCAGTTTTACCTTTACACCATATATTTTTTGCTTCCAATGTTTTTTACAGTAACATTAAACACAATGAAATTTCAAAGTAATAAAATCGTCCATATGCCATTGCTCAGAGAGCAGCTGAAATTTCTTTAACGTTGCAAAAGAATTTGAATATGACAGCCTGACTTGAAGTGAAGGTGGAAACTGTTCAATTCATTTTGGAGAAAAATGCAAAAGCCCTTGTTCTAACAGGAAGTTTTTACAGTACTAGAAACATTCTATATATAAGCTAAAGAAGGACTGAGGATTTCCCTCAACATTTCAGGTACATTAAACTTCAGAGCAGTCTTTAGCCTCAGTACCCAGGTGTATAATCAAAGTTGGAACATTATAATATGCTACAATGCTTCAACTTAAAGAAATACACTTCTTTGTACAATTAACACATTGGGAATCTGATATAAGATACACACACAGTGGAAGTGTGGATCTTGCTTGCAATACCAGTCACCTCGCAGAAGTAGAGTAAGGTCCAAATCTGTTGTAGAATAGGCTCAGTGAACAGCTCTGGATGAAGTTATACACAAAAAAATAAGTTCCACCTTGAAGATTTTTATATTACAAACCACCCTGCAATCTACAGACGAAGGGTGCTATAGAAATTTAATTACCTCACCTCAACTGAATTTGAGACAGAGGGGAATTCCCTAATCAAGGCACCACTATCAAGAACATCTATTTACAGCCTTAACCCATCATATGATGTGACTACTTGCAATCATACTTTAAACTTGGGTTTGCCCAGTTCACATGTAAAACAGGAGTGGGGCTATTTAAAAGGCAAACAATATTAATACCCCCATCGGTGCCATCACTCTTCCCCTTTCCTACATAATCCTATTCACAAGTAATGGCTAATGGTCAGGGATGATGGGATTTGTGAGTCCAACAACCTTTGATGGACACTACATTGTCAAAGCTTAGCCATCCCTGAATTACCCCCCACCTCGGAATTACAATTAAAGTGCAAATTACTTAATGCTTCAGTCGCCTCTGCTCATTACTGGGAGTACAAACAACCTGGTTATCTAGAATTTATATAACATACCTAGTTTTTCCTTTCAAGCAATCTAGTTCTCAGTTACTAATTTGTATTCCTCCTGTACTTACCACTCCTGTATAATACCGCAATCCAACCACATTGCCTCTCAGAGTTCCAAATAAGATAGCTGAATCCGTATCTTCTTCAGTCACCATAGTAGCATCTGATCCCATAAGGTCTTCTAAGCTGGGATAAAATTCCCGAGTAAAAGCATTGTAATGCCGATCTCCATATATATCAGGATCCAATTCCCATTCAAAATTGCTGGGGGGGAAAAAAGAATTTTTAAAGAACTTCATTTGGAATTGTTTGTTATTGGAGGCAGGGTGTTCAATTGATAGGTCACTTCCTAGTTCACACATATGAGCTCTTTTGAAATACCTTCATGGGCAGAAATGAAAGCTGCTCAAAGACATTGCTGGAGAAATGTTTTGATTCATCTGGGATTAGGCTTAAATCTATTTCAACCTACCCCAAATGACTGGCTGTTGCAGGGTGAGGAATTAAGAAGGGGATATGGAGAGGCCAATACCCTGACCAGGAGCTGCACACTGTAACATTTTGTTGTTTAATCTGTACTACCTTTTGGTTTGTACATGTTTAGCAACTTTTAGCTACCTTTGGTTTGTACACGTTTAACAACCAATACTGCAATCTTTGTTTGACATCTTTGAAGTTGGCACTTTTTAAGCAATTCAAAAAAAAGGGGGGGGGAATCTCCCACACACATGCACACATGTGGGAGAAAGTGTCTAAGTGAGTTCAAAGTCTCCCCCCACCCCACCCCCAAATGTGGGGAGAACACAAATTAAACAGAACACAAAGAAACCTTTAGCACAAACAGTTCAGATAACCACCATCGCTACTACTGTCTCAACAAGGTAAACTTGTCAACAGTTAGCCAACCCGCTAGGAATTAACCTACCCATCAAACTTCCAATCAGTTATGAATTCAAAACATGTAGACCTTAGGCAAATCTCTCTCGCCATCTGCTACCCATTTATGGAACAAAAATGTTAAAAAACCTACCGCACTTTTTCCCCTCCAAAAATGAAGGGGAAATGTGTGTGCGTCCTATGGGGCGAATGCAGGCTTTCTCCAGGCTTCAGGAAGCTCTCCGCAGAGCCGTGGGAGAGCTGCGCGACTTCGCGCAGCCCTCCCACGGCTTGTGGAGAGCTGCCTGTTCTGGGAGCTGGGGTCGGGGGAAGCTTGGGCTTCCCCTGCCCCAGCCCCGCGCCTGGGGGGGGGGGAACTAGGTGCGCCCTATGGGCCGAAAAATACGGTACTTCAAGACAGTACTGAAAGAATGATGAGTTCAAAGAAAGGAATATAATATTGTTCCACATTAGACAATAATCTTGGGACTGTGAGACCAAATAAGTTTGTTACTGGAAATGGTGACTCTTTGCAGAAATTACACTATTCTATGCTTATGATCCCCTTTCTGAATGCCTTAAGTCTACTATACAGACCAAACTAGACATGACAAAGATATTCTATCCCAATTCAGTATAAAATGTGGGTCGCAATTCTTTTTAAAGCAAAAGGGGTGTGCATATGTGCAGTAAACACTTTTCTCCTCAGCTGAGCGTTGATACCAAGAAGCACACTTGGGAGAAACACACTGGATGATAGAGTAGCAGCAGCTATAAGAAGGTAAGTGCCAAGAGTGTGATGAAGGGTTTGCTCCCTCTCATGTTCTGAAAAATCAAACTACACACATCCTGCTTTTATAAGCAATTAGGGCAAACACAGGTATGAAGAAATGGGCCTGTCGGCGCTGAATCAATGTTACTTCCAAGATGTAGTTGGTGCAGCACCAAACATACTTGGACAAGGGTGCCAAGTTAAATAAAATATTGGGGGGCGGCAGGTAAGCACCACCCCATATTACTGACCACATGATGCGGCTCACACACCCCATTTGAATGGCAAGGTCCACCAACTTGGGGGGGCAACCCTCTCAAATATTTTATTGGGGGAGCAAAGGGACCATGGCCCCTAGGAGTTGGCTCCTGTGTACTGTACTTGAAGAAGAAATGTGAGAAAGAAAGAAATTATTAGGCCAGAGCAAAGAGGTGGATCAAACCGGAAATGCAAGGGCCAGGAATGAGAACAAAGTCCTTGATGATATAAACAGAGTCTCGGGAAACACCATCCTTGCGCACATATATCGGTCGAGGTTAAGTTTCTGTGACACAGACCTTTCCTTTACCCTAGCTTAGTAACACAGCACTTAACCAAATTCATTTTCTTCCTTTTTCTTCTTTTTTAGGGGGAAGGCGGCTCTTGGACGCTTGTTAGCATTTTTGAAATATTTATTGCCCTGATTAGCAATATTATTATTAAATAACAATTAAATAATAATTAAATATTATTATTATTTAATTATTATTTAAATAATTAAATAATAATTAAATAATAATAATAATAATGCAAAACCAAATTACAGGCTGAGACCGCAGCACAAGGCACCGCTCCCAACACCCCGCCAGGCAGCCGAAGAGCTTCTCCACCAGTCCCCAACCAGCAGGGCAAGTCCTGCCTAAAGAGGCAGAAGGACCACGACCGGTCCCGGCCCCATAACCCGAGAGGCCTAGTGCAAAAGCGGCAGGGGAGGCGGAGGCAGAAACGGCTAGGAATTGCAGCCCCTTCAAGTCAAGGCCTCCTTTCGGGGAGTGGACGCGGGAAGACCCCCCCTCCCCTCCCCGCTTCGTACCATTTATAATTCTTCCCTGCCTAGGCCCTCGGGGACCCGCGCCCCCCCCCCCACAAAACAACCCCACCTCATGAACCTCCAAGCCATGACGCGGCCGCCGGACTCCTAAAAGCCGCTCTGGCAGCGCCCCGCAACAGCGAGAGGACCGAAAAAGCCCGCCACGCGAACGTCGCCGGGTGAAGAACCTGCACTGCCGCCTCAGAGCTTCCACAGTCAGCCAACCCGGTTAAAGCGAGAAGCCGCAGCTCCCAATCCGCGAAGAAGCTGGGCGGGCCGACCTAGAACGCCCGCTGCCGAATGGCTGCTCTTACCCATCCCTCGCTTCCGCGCGTCCAATGAAGCAGGCCGGGAAGGATGGGCCCGCCGCGCGAGAGGGGTTATGGGGGCGGGGCAGCTCGGGTTTCCGAAACCGAAAGAGCATGCGCCCTGAAAGCATAATAAGGAACGCACGTGACTAAGTAATTGCCGAAGGATGGATTTCGCGCCTTCTGCGTCTTTTACTTTTCTTTTGCTAAGGCGCTTGAGTTACTGCTTCTCATAGCATGCCCGGTTGTGTTGAATATGTTATATTTGGCATGGAAATCTGATGAGTGTTGTAGTTGTGTGCATGTTTTTTCAATATACAATGATAATCCACAAGTGTGTGTGATAGGAATCTTGAGGTCTTAGCTATATGTTAAATGTTCATGAGTGTACCAACCAATCACATACATAGATAAGCACAGGAAAACCGACCTGGAAACATTTTTGATTCCCACACTGTCCCAAACTGACCAAATGTTTTCTCTGCAAGGTCAAAGGAAAATGGAAAAGCCTCCCCATCGTCTTTTTCTTCAATGTCTTAAGGGTATGTCTGTGTTTGAATAGAGTGTGAGCCTGTGACATAGCCCAGGAACTAAGTATTTATCATTACAAAAGACTGGCCAGGCTCCCCAGGCAATCCAATCAAGTAACCTGCCAGACAGGAGATAAACAATGACAGGAGAGAAACAACATTCAAATTTCTGTTTCAGACCACCTTTTCTGTGATGTAGGTTTGATGTATGGGGGGGGGGTCTTAGGTTACACCCCTTCTGCGATGTATGTATGATGTTTCTGGGGGTGGTCTTGATCTACAGGGTGGCAATTTCAAAAGTCCATATAAGGCCTTGCGTGCCATTGTTCTCGGTTCCTCCTTTCCTGCGTGTGAGGGGAGCAACCTGTTGCAACAGATCAATAAAGATTAGGCTTACTAGCTGCTTTGCTTCTCAATATTCTCTGGTTGGCCTCTGTTATTTTCCCCTACCAATAAGGAACCTATGTAAGGACTCTATATCAGCTCTTGGATACCCCATAAGGGGAAAAGGGCAGATTTTTGTTTACAACACACACTTTTTATATGTATAAAAAAGTGTGCGCGTCTGTCTCTCACACAAACATAAAAGCATGTAACGGTAAAGGAGTCACTTATGGTTCATTTTGGCAGCATTCCTAAGCCCATTTAGTTGGGACGACTAAACAACTAAACAACAAGCCCCATTGCCCCTTCACGGATCACTGCCTTGCCGTAGTGAAGGGGCTTGAATAACTCAGAGAAGCTATGAACTATGCCGAGCAGGGCACCCAAGATGGACAGGTCATAGTGGAGAGTTTTGACCAAACGTGATCCACCTGGAGAAGGAACCGGCAAGCCATTCCTGTATCCCTGCCAAGAAAACTCCATGGACAAAGATTTGACCAAACTGCGGGAGGCAGTGGAAGACAGAAGTGCCTGGCGTGCTTTGGTCCATGGGGTCACGAAGAGTCGAACACGACTAAACGACTAAACAACAACAACAAGCTCCATTGACCTCAACAGGGCAACACCGCTGGCCAGAATTGATTTGATCTCCTTTCTTGGTTGTTAGCTGTTTTGGGCACCAAAGGCATGGGCGTAGCCTGGGAGTGCCGGAGGGCAGATCCCCCCCCCCCAATAAATCAAGTAAATAAACAAAAATACATAACTAACTGACCAATCGCTTCGCAGAGCTCAGTTCTGTCGTCCCCGTCCCCGTCCCCCCCGCGCAGCATAAATTTTGGCTACGCCCATGACCAAAGGTGTTAAAATGTGAGATATAAATTTAAATAATACTGTAAACTGCAATTGGTTCGATGTAACTAACTTCTCCGTAAACACAGCAGAAGAGTGGCGCGCGGGCAAATTTTAACCCTCTTTTGCTAAAACCATGCTGGTACTGCGTGTCTCTCGAGTTCTATCTTGCGTGTACTGTACAAAGCCTTTCCCGTACTGCTGCTTAAGAGTCGTCTATTCACAAGTGCAGCCCGATCCCAGCTAAGTAACCGACGGAGCTCCAGGAGTTTTGGATCCTGATCAAACAAGAAAAGAAAGGGGGAGATGCTGGGAAGTTTTTGCCTCTGCACATGAGTCTGAGAATGTTCTGAACAGTTCCCATTGAGTTCATGAAACAGTGTATCCTGACCTGTTCTTAATGCATTGCTGACCACATCTACGGAACGTGATTGTTGTATTCTTTCATGTTATGTTCTTTCAATATTAATCTTTAGTTATAATTTAATTAGGAGGTTTCATGCCTGTCTAGTTCCAGCTCCGTTTGCCAGCCTTTAATCTATCAGTGATAAATGGTTATATGTAATTCCCGCCTTGTACCTATGTTAACCAATCAGCAACAAGATGCTTTGTGTTTGTATCAACCAATCAGCCACAAGCACACCTGTGGCAATGTTTGTAATATTCAATAAAAGAGAGTTCCCGGGGCTTGCCCCGGCAGACGCCTCTCATATGACACCTGCCACTCGTCTGTCGGGATTTTCAACCCAACAGCAAGTATTCCTTGCAAGTACGTGAGCTTAGGGGGCTCTGATCCTGTGCTCATTTTAGCTGCCAACGGGTCTCGATGAAGAAATGGGGGGTTTCTTCCGAGGGTGCTTGTGTAAGATTGCGCTGCTTGGCACCAGAACCAGTGCTTTCCCCGGGTTTGGGACCCCGCACCTTTCTGCGTATGCGGACATTAACCACGGGTATAAATGGGCCTCCGCCCAGGGACGCTGCACGGCGCTACGATGCTGCCTTTGTGGGAAGCCGTAGCAAGGATCGGGGGCGCGGCTGACGCCTCCTTCCAGCTGACCGACGTGGGGCGGTGCCTGCCGCGGAAGCTGCAGTTCTGCCAACAGCAGCGGCCGGAGGCAGAGAGGCGGCCTGGGCGATCGGGAGCCATGGTGCAGCTGTACAACTTGCACCCTTTCGGCTCGCAGCAAGTGGTGCCCGCCAAGCAGGAGCCGGCGCTCTTCTGCTGCGGCCGAGACACGCTGCTGGTGGCTTGTGCGCCGGGCGCCTGCAAGGTGGAGGTGTTCGCCGCCGGCCGGCCGGAGCTCTGCGAGCCCCTCGGCTCTTTCTGCACCCTGGGGCGGGTGCTGCGCATGGCGTACAGCGAAGTGGGTAAGTGGCAAGCTGGGCAAAGAGCCCGAGAAGAGGGCGGGATCTGTTTCGTTCGTTGTAGGTCAGCCCCTCTTCCTCTTTCTCCGGAAGAGCTCGAGGCTGCACGTGCAGGATCGTTTCCCCCGCCGCCCTAAGCCCATGCCAGTTTGTGCTCGCAACGATCCTGCGAGGTAGGATCGCCCAGTGACCTTCGTGGACTAAATAGGATTCTGCGCAGTTGCTTGTGTGGCGTGAGCATCCGATGACATTGCCGATTAATTCAAGAAGTGTACACATTTTATAATGCGAATGTAACTTCTTTTGGAAATTTCCAGAGGTGTACCCGTGTTAATCTCCAGCAAGATAAACAACAGTCCTTTGGCACCTTTTGAAGGCTGAACAAATTCGTTATGGAGTACCTGCATGGTCTACAATCTCTTGTGTATTTGCCACTTAGGGCAACAAATCAGATGAAGTGGCCTGTTGCTCTTAAAGGTGATACAGTGGTACCTCGGGTTAAGTACTTAATTCGTTCCGGAGGTCTGTTCTTAACCTGAAACTGTTCTTAACCTGAAGCACCACTTTATCTAATGGGGCCTTCCGCTGCTGTTGCGCCGCCGGAGCACAATTTCTGTTCTCATCCTGAAGTAAAGTTCTTAACCTGAGGTACTATTTCTGGGTTAGCAGAGTCTGTAACCTGAAGCGTATGTAACCTGAAGCGTATGTAACCCGAGGTACCACTGTAGTGCTATTTTTCACTTGGTAACTCCTCAGCTTATGTATGGTGTACATATTGATTCTGTGTTTCAAAAATGCTTCTATTTTTCCCTCCGCAGGAGACTACGTGGTCACCGTTGAGGAAAAAAACGAGAGCCTCTTCTTGCGAGCTTATGTAAACTGGAGATGCATGTCAACTGGGAACTCCCGCGTCTGTGTGCGGATGATAGGCCATAACCTGGAGGCATCCTATTCTGAAGCGTCTAAGAACCAAATTACAATTGTAGAATTGCCCCTTTCGGACCCCCCATTGTGTTTTTCCTGTTGTCCTTTAACTGGAGACCTGCTTGTTGGCTGTAAGAATAAACTGATCTTGTTCTCCCTGAAACATCTTGTCAGGAGTCAGAATGTGACTGTGCTGGACTTTGAACGCTTGTTAATTTTGCACATTGATAACATCACTCCTTCAGAAGTTGCGTTTTGTGCTGGATATATAGCCATAACAACAGAACTAGAGGTCCTAATCCTTCACCTGGAAGCTGGTGTGGAAGCAGCAGGCAGCAGTAGACAGCAGGCCTGTGACTCTGTAGAGTCTGAAAGGTTGTTCAACAAAGGTTGGTACAGTACGGCACTTAAAATCTCCAGAGCAAGGCTTTGTAGTCCTTGACTTATGTTTGTTGGTGTTTTTAAAAAAAGTCTTTGGGATGGAAGCAGAGGCTGGACAAGCTGATAAAACGCTTCCTTCTGTGTAAAACTAGCCATCATGATAGTTGAGAAAAGATTTATTTTCAAAGGCACTGCAAGCTGTGGATAGTTAGACAACACAAGAAGTTGAATTAATATTTTAAGGTTGGATCGAGAGCACGGAAGCTGCTATTGAATTTATCTGTAATGGCACATCACAAATCCTCTGGATCAAGTCTTTGCAGGTCAGCACAAACAAAACTTTAGTTCTCTCGATCCAGGCCAATGTTTGTGTATGTGTTTAAAAAAACCAAAAGAAAAACCAATCAGGTCATGCAAAAGAAAAAGTAAAATTGCACTTAACTTGAAATAGTTCCATCTTGGCATATGTTTATTATGCACAGATCAAAATGCTACAGTCTCTTTTCAGGCATGCTGAATCTTTTGAGAGCAGCAGGAACATTGGTTGCAAAAATTTGAATTTCCATTCATCTCAGTTGTTCGTTTTTTCGCCATCCGTGATTAAAAATGCCTTTTAGGATTTGCAATTCCAAATTCCTGAACTTGTTGTATAGTCCTAATATTAATGCTTTCATGAATATGAACTTTTCTCCATACTGTTAGTTACACTGTAAGTAGCAGTTGTTTAAGTAAGGCTGCTTTTATTCTTAGGACACTGAGCATGTCATAAGTTCCTAACCATTCCCCCCGCCCCCCGGGTTGTAAACCTGATTCTTTGCTCCATTTATTAAAGGTGTAAAAGAAGAACCTGATTCAACTCCGTTTGAGTCGGATGACTTTGTTATCTGTCAGCAGCCTGTGGAGCTCTTTGGGGAAGAAAGCAGGCAGTGTGGAATATCTGTTACTCTGGAGTCAACAGGCTTAGTCGGTGAAGAGTCAAACTTCCAGATGCAATATGTTCTGTACAGGTAGTCGATTTTATTAAAAAATTAATTTAAACAGAGCCATATTTATCTATCTCTCTATCTCTATATCTAGATAGATAGATAGATAGATAGTTATTGTTGGCATCCGTCTGTCTTGAGAGACGATGGAGTGTGGACTCTGGGGCAGAAGTCAAACCGCTACGTTAGCAACACCGAAGTGACCTTCATGGGCACAAGCCTGGGCAGAGTGTGTCACTGCCCAGACAAGACCCCCTCTCAGCCTCGTTGATGTGGTCCAAAGGAAAGCAGAGCAGTATATTTGGCACTAGTTTGGCTGCAGGACTTGCAAGAAAGAGGCATAACAAGCTGTCTTAAGGGCTCCACTCTGGATTTGTGTAGAGTTTACTCTTTAACATTTTCTTCTCCAGAATATATCTCCATGGCAGTGGAGATTTAGGATCAGAGTTTTCCTTCTCCTAGATGGGCTACATTCCCAGGTTGACAAGCCCCATCTGCCCCTCACTTCCCTCTACAGCATGTGCAGAAACTGCCTTCTTAACTATTAGTCCCACTATTGGATCCATATCCAATAGTACATATATAACTAATAGATCATTGGTCATTATTCCACTCTAGCTTAGAACAGAGACCAGTGAGACAGTTTGGACAATTACATTTTGACTTAATATGCTGAGAAATGAACAACTCTTTTCTCACTGAAACACAGCCTGTTCCATTTTTTATTTTATTTTTTTGCTTTGCATGAGGCATATTTAAACCAAGATGCCTTTAACCATACAGTCATACCTCTGGTTGCATTCGCTTCATGTTGCGGATATTTGGGTTGCGAACGCGGCAAACCCGGAAGTGTATATTTCTGGGTTTCGCCACGCACGCACAGAAGTGATCTGCGTGCTTCACACATGCGCAGAAGAGATATGCACACTTTGCACATGCGCAGAAGCGATCTATCTCACATGCACAGTAGTGGCGCTCTACTTGTGGACTTTTCTGGGTGCAAATGGATTGCGTACGTAAGTAGAGGTACCACTGTATATTCAGTGTTTTGGTCCAACCATGTAGCTATAGCTGTCATTTTGGCAAGCTCGGGAACAACTTGTCCCCTTGTCTTCAAGCTTAGAAAGTGGGTCAGGACCATGGCAAGCAAAACAACCTTACATGAACTGGGCTGTACATGATGGAGCTGCATGTGGCAATAGAGATTATGTAGCCCAGCACCTTTGGCTCCCTAGGAGTTGTGCATATCATGCACACTTAGTAAGTGGGCTCAGTCATAGGACAAAAGCCAGTTGTATCTCTGTTGGAGACCATTTTAGCTGTTGGATATTCATATTGTCGTCATTGCAACCTATTGCCTTGGTCCCATGGGTTTCTATGTACTTGCCCATGCACTGAGGTGCAAGTTTCTGCCTCACAGCAGTGCTTCAGAATATCCTTACAACATTCTGCCAGAAGTTTTGTGAGCAGCTCATGCCTATATGTTGGCTTGGAATTGTTTCACCCGCCATGTTTCTTTTTAGACGTTTTGCTCTAGACATATCCTCCTTTGCCTTCTCTGGCGACGATGCCAAGCTGCACTCTCTCCAGCTGCTGCCTGTGTATGTAACAGGTAGGTTTATGACATCTGCATTTCTTCGTGGGCATCCACCACAATCTTTCTGGGGGAAAGGGCTAAGTAAAGCATTGGGAGCAAATGAAAACGGGATTATGGTTCATTGGGGAGCAGCCCCCATCCGCCTCAGAAAAAAACCCCATATTAATTATGCAAGGTATGGGAAAGCTAGAGATTATGAATCTGGGTGTGAAATTTGTTTTTATATATGTTGTCAATTTTTATTGTAGAATTGCTTTGAGCGCTTTCATGGGAGGTGACTTATAAATGAAATTAAAGGAATAAATAAAGGGGATTTCAATTAAATACATTCATTCAAAGTATAGCTCTCTAGAGTGTTTTACAGAACTTCTATGACATAAAAATCCTCTTCCTAAAAATCACATTGTCTTTAAATAACATTAGGAGTAATTTAATCACAAGAGTAGTAGCTGACTCTGATTAGATGTTTATATATAATTTTAAATGGCATAAATCTTTAAAAGTACATTATTTTGAATTTAGCTTTGAATGCCTAAATGTCAGAAGTAAAAGAGAGCTTTCTTCTGTATGGAATTAAGGATTGAATTTCCTTTATAAAATACTGGTATTATCTTAAAGTTTTCTCTTGGCTTTTAACACTTTTTATAATCTGCCGGTGCTTCACAACATTAATCATACTCTGAGTAGACTTTAGATCTATCACTGTCTCTTTTTCCTTTGCTTTTTTGTGGCGCTACTGTATGATCGAACAAGTCAGCATAGTCTATATTGCTGATGTATAAAGCAGGGGATGATGAAAATGGGACAGGAGGAGGGGGGCTTGTTGGGTCTTATTGATGCTGGAATGGTGTTAGGCAGGAAAGCAATTACATTGTAAGAAGAGTGTGCATTAGTAAAGGTAAAGGGACCCCTGACCATTAGGTCCAGTCGTGGCCGACTCTGGGGTTGTGGTGCTCATCTTGCTTTATTGGCCGAGGGAGCCAGCGTACAGCTTCCGGGTCATGTGGCCAGCATGACTAAGCCTCTTCTGGCGAACCAGAGCAGCGCACGGAAATGCCGTTTACCTATTTATCTACTTGCACTTTGACGTGCTTTCTAACTGCTAGGTTGGCAGGAGCAGGGACCGAGCAACGGGAGCTCACCCCGTCGCAGGGATTCGAACCGCCAACCTTCTGATCAGCGAGTCCTAGGCTCTGTGGTTTAACCCACAGCGCCACCCACGTCCCTAGAGTGTGCATTAAATGTAGGCTAAAATTTAGTCAAATATTAAGTTTATAAATTTATTTATAGAAGAATTTATATACCGCTAAGTCAGCAAACCTACCAAAGCTGTTTACAACAGTAAAAGGATAAAAAAAAAAACACACTTCATACTAAGGAGTAAGTATAAGTGATGATTTCCTACGAATGCCAGCATTCCAACAGAGCACTGCCTCATAATCAAAATGGCTTAGGGTACCCCTCTTTATCCTTTGACAATTTGTCAGTAACCTGGAGAACTACTTGATCAAATCAAGAGTTAATAAACGTTCCCATTATTATTACGTTTTGGTTTGCTTTCACTCTTGCAGAATAATACTCTAGTTCAGGCATCCCCAAACTCAGCCCTCCAGATGTTTTGGGACTATAACTCCCATCATCCCTAGCTAACAGGACCCAGTGGTCAGGGATGATGGGAATTGTGGTCCCAAAACATCTGGAGGGTCAAGTTTGGGGGTGCCTGCTCTAGTGCTTATAGGCTACAGAGTGAAAGAGTTTTATCTCAGAATTCCTAACTCGAAAACAGAGACCCAAGTGAATGTAGCGTGGGCTGCTCTCTTCAATCACAGCTAAATATATTTCTAAAACATTCTGCAGGATGTCTGAGAGCTGATGCCTCCCTAAAGAAAGGGAGCCTGGGGAGTAATTGCTTTCTTCCTTTCATCTAGAGAATTCTGCAACAACTGGCGGAGCTGAACCAGCTAAGCGAGAACTGCTGAGTCTGTTCTGCTTTTTTTCTCTGCCTCACATTGGATACCTCTACACAGTGGGCAACTTAGTGGAGCTGATTTCCACCTACCAGTATTCAGAGAGATCCCAACAGGCGGTACTCACCCCACAATTCCTACATGTTATCACAAGGTATTATAGCCATTGTTAAATTTAAATACTGCATTTTCCACACACAAAATTGTGCTCAAAGCAGTTTTAAAAAAAATCAGTTGAAATACAATAATAGCACAACACATTGTTGGCATTTGTCCATCTCGAGAAACAATGCAGTGTGCATCTGAGGGTGAAGCCAAACCACTGCGTTATCAGCGCCAAAGTGATCTCCCTGGGGCACAAGCCTGGGCAGTGTTTGTGAGGATGTTCTGGGCTGGCCAGACACAAGGCCCCTCTCTTAGCCTTCCTGATGTGGTCCAAAGAAAAGGAGAGCAATACATTTGGCACCAGCTTGGCTGCAGTAGTTGCTGGAAGAAGGCACACAAGGTGCTTGGATAGGAACTCCACTCAGATTTGTTTACTCCTTTGCCTTCTCGAACATATCCCTAAAAGCAGCAGAGCTTTAGGATCAGAGCTGTAATGCATAATGGGTGTTGTATCCATCACAGACCTGTTGAAATCAATGGGTTTAAGTTCAGTAAGCATCTAGATATTGCAGCATTGGCATGGGTACTTTATAACCACAGAGCGATGCAAAACCATCTATCCAATGGCTTTCTTTTTCTTCCCTAGCAACAACCTGCAGTGCTTTACTGTGAGATGCAGCGCTGCAGCAGCACGTGATGAAGATCCATACATTGATACAACGCTAAAAGTGAGTGGATTCAACCCTCAGATTGGCTCTTCATGCCCACAGGTTACATCTGCATCTTTGCAAAGCAGTGGCAAATGACTTGCAACAATCCTGAGTTTCCTTTTGTTTTAGTCCTTGTTGCTTCCATCTGGTCAGATAGTTTGGCAAGGGGATATTTTGCAGGAGTTGGGGATTACTGTCCTGTAGGCCTTAAGCCTAGGTTGGAGGACCCTGTGCACCTTTTCAGGTGTTGTTGGGCTCAACTCCCATCGCCCACAGCCAGATAAACATGTGTGAAGGCATTGTAAGTGGGTGGCGCTGTGGGTTGAACTACAGAGCCTAGGACTTGCCGATCAGAAGGTCGGCGGTTCGAATCCCCACAACGGGGTGAGCTCCCGTTGCTCGGTCCCAGCTCCTGCCAACCTAGCAGTTCGAAAGCACCTCAAAGTGCAAGTAGATAAATAGGTACCGCTCTGGCGGGAAGGTAAACGGCATTTCTGTGCGCTTCTCTGGTTCGCCAGAAGCGGCTTAGTCATGCTGGCCACGTGACCCGGAAGCTGTACACCGGCTCCCTCGGCCAATAAAGCGAGATGAGTGCACGACTCAACCTAATGGTTAGGGGTCCTTTTAAGAGTCACCAAATGAAAAGCAGGTATTAAAAACCTGTCTCAAATTTATGCTGGGCGGATTTCAGTAAGCATACAGAGAAGCTTTACCTAGTTTTCTTCAGCACTCTGTTGGGACTAGAGGAGGAGATGGAAACCTTTCTCTTCCACTGAAGAGAATGGAGAAATCCTGAGCTGTTGCCAATTCCACGTTTCAGCATGTGAAAAAGATATGCAACTTACATACCTCTGTTAAACCTGTAGACCTTTAGTCCACATACCGCAGTGACTGAACCATGAAGGGGCTTATGTCAAATCAAATCAAAATAAGCTTTATTATACTAGCCAAAGGCCATGACAAAACCATACAAACTCTGTCAGGAAAAGTGGGGGGGGGGGACTTATATAACACTGTAACTATGTAAAAAGCAGAGCCACCGCCTGAACGCTCAAGATCATAAAATGCAGGTGCACATGTAGATTGAGAACTTCACACAGCATGCAATATTTTCTTATTTAGACCCCTGAATCTCCCTTACAGGGGGTTTATGTCCTTTTTTAATGTCAGTCAGCTTGGAAATGATCAGCATGCCACTCTGGACCCTGTAAGAAACTTGAACCTTTGATGAGCTTGCTCAAGATAACTAAAGAACCATTTCTTCACAGGCTTGCCCCCCTGTGTCCCTGGATATCTGTGCCTTGAGGATGCAGCTGTTTATAGGGCTGAAAGCTATTTCTCACTTCAAGAACCACGTCATAGTTTTGACAAAAGCAGAGACCGAAGACATTACGGAGAGAAAAAAGCCTTCAAGGAGACTCCTGTGAGTACGGTAGTTCATATGTTCAAACAGAGGCTAGCTTGGGACATGCCTGGTGGCATCAGTAGACGTGATGGGGGTACATGCACCCAACTTTACCCTATTGTAAACATTGTAAGCGTTGCAATTGGGATGAAATAAACATGTATGAAAGTGGATTTCAGGGACACCCTTTTCACTGTTCTTGTCTCCTTTTGTATCTGTAGAAGCCCTCCATGCATCTTAGAGCCAGGATTTCTCAGGATCCTAAAATGCATGGAGATGCTTCATAGATGCAAAAGGCTCCCCCTTCAGACTTCGTCACCTTCCAACTCCAAGGAAGTCAGGGCTATCCCACTTGTCAGCCCCACCCTTAAAAAAAAAAAGTTTACTTTAAACTAGTTTTAATGTCTCAAGAAGGCTCTTGATAGCATAAATACAGTGGTACCTCTGGATGCGAATGGAATCCGTTCCGGAGCCCCGTTCGCATCCTGAAGCGAACGCAACCCACGTCTGCACGTACGCGGGTAGCGATTTGCCGCTTCCGCGCATGCGTGTGACGTCATTTTGGGCGTCTGCGCATGCGCGAGTGGTGAAACCCGGAAGTAACGCATTCCATTACTTCCGGGTCGCCGCCGAGCGTAACCTGAAAATGCTCAACCCGAAGCTACTTCAACCTGAGTCATGACTGTAACTGAAATACCTAAAAGACATAATTATGGGTACACGTGTATTTTAACAGCCAGTGTGGTATAGTGGTTTAGAGTGTTGGACTAGGGCCTGGGGGTGCCAGAGTTCAACTACCCTACTTTGCCATGAAGCTGACTGGGTGATCTTGGGCCAGTTACTGCCTCTCAGCCTAACCTACCTCACAGGGTTGTTGGGTGTGTTAAACGAGGAGGGTGAGAACCATGTATACCACCTTGAACTCCTTGGAAGAAAAGGTGGGACATAAATGCAAAAACAAAGAAACATAGAATCAAGAGTTGGAAGGGACCTTGAGGGTCATCTAGTGCAGGGTCATTTAGCCCTCTGCAATGGAGGAATCTCAACTAAAGCATCCATGGCAGGTGGCCGTCCAACCTCTGCTTCAAAACCACAATCGAAGGAGACTCCATAGCCTCTTACTGTCAGAAAGCTCTTCCTCATGTTTAGTAGGAATCGCCTTTCTTGTAACTTGAGTCTACGTCCTACTTCTTTCAGCTCCCGGAAGTCAGATAGCATCAAACCCAAGGTTTCTCCAGAATCTGAACCTGGCTGGAATTTATACATTGTGAACACAACTTCAACTCTCCTGCTTTACAGAGAAATGGTACTATACGCTGCTTTAGGGGTTTTTTATATATAGAAAATAGCATATTGTAACTTGAATGCATTTGCTAACTTCACATAAGGTCTGCAAACGTTCCCCCTCCCCCCTTTATGGTGTGCCCTGTTTCTGCCCTAGGTAGAGTACAGCAAGACCTATGAAAATGTAAGAACGGAGAGTTGTATCCACCTTCTAAGTGAGGCTCACTTATTAGTCAGAGCAGCACTAATGGACCCTGATCTGAAGGAATCGGCAGAGAAGGAAGACCTCCTAGCAGCATTACAGGAAAGCTGTGCTCTCCTAGGAGACTGTTACAGCAGGTTTGAATTTCTTAGATGTCATATCCATAAATACTTACACTTGGATGACTCTTGATGTTTAAACATCTTTATATAATCTTCTTTCAGCCTTCATATATAAAACAAAGATGTGTGCATGGAAAAGCAACAACTTGCTCTTTTTTTCCTGCTTCCATCAATGATGGACATGCAGTCTCTGCTTTCTGGCCCAGTCATAATTTACATAGGCTATAGATCAAAGCACTTCCATTGTCGGCTGCCTGCACTTCTGTAAAAGCAGGTGTGGTGAACCTTTGGCCTTCCAGATGTTGCTGAACTACAACTCCAATCATCACTGGCCGTGCTTGCTGGGACTGATTGGAGTTGTAGTGCAATTTTGTTTTGACAAGCAGCTTTTACATACTCACTCCCAGTGAACGAAAATGTAGCACTATTGTAATTTTGTTGGCTGCTTGCAGATGAATGGGATCATTAGCAGCTTTTCAGGGTCTACTGCATTGACACTATTCTGAAAAGGGGGGCAGGAATCCACCAAAGAATTGAGGGAATGAAGATTCCTTAGCTGCCATCCATCCATGCTCTTCATTGCTTGAAGAAGTGTGAAACAAGGTTTAATCCTGCAAATCTTGTTCCATATTTATTGGAGAGCTGCTTTGTGGTCTGTAGTGTACTGTTTGGATAATTCCAGTGTTTTCAACATTGTGAAACTTCTCAGTTATTATATACAGGCGTGCCTTGGTTTTCGAACAGAATGCATTCCGGAAGTCCGCTTGACTTCTGAAACGTTTGGAAACCAAGGTGCAGCTTCCGATTGGCTTCCAATTGTGCAGGCATGCCGGAAACAATTGCAAAAGCCGCATCGGATGTTCGGCTTCCAAAAAAAGTTCGAAAACCAGAACACTCACTTCCAGGTTTCGATCATTCGGAAGCCAAAACATACAAGTACCAAGGTGTTTGACAACCAAGGTACGACTGTAGTTACCTTGGTATGTTTTGTTTGTTCCTTCCTTCCTCTACTCTATTCCAAACTTAAAAATGGAAAGCGTAATGCTGGTGGTCAACAAAAGAGGTTTAAAGACTGTCTCAAGGCAAATCATAAAAAATGTAGTCTAAACACTGACAACTGGGAAACACTGGCCTACGAGCGCTCCAGTTGGAGAACAGCCTTTACCAAAGGTGTCATGGGCTTTAAAGACACTTGGACTCAGGACACAAGGGAGAAACGTGCTAAGAGGAAGGCACGCTTGGCAAATCCACACTGTGATCAACTCCCGCCTAGAAACCAATGTCCCCACTAGGACATATAGATCCAGAATTGGCCTCCACAGTCACTTACGGACTCACTGTTAAACCGGTGTTTATGGAAGACAATCTTACTCAGCTACAAGTGATCGCAGAAGAAGAAGAATGTTTTGTTTCTATTTGTTTGTTCACACAATGCAGCAACAGGTTCCTGTAACTCTTATTTGTTACTTTTTTTTAGAACCACTCCTTGGTTTAATTCAGCAGCAGCTGGAGGGCCAAATGCCCCTTACACCTCTGTCATAGGGATATTGTCCTACATGCGGAAGCAATACTCCATTGTGGGAACAGGTTGGCTTGCACAAAGTTGGATCTCACTTTGATAGTGGTCCTTCCTTGTGACTCTTTCTTGAACATTCCATGACGTATTCCCCCATCCAGGTTATTTCCTCCCCATCCATTAGGCTGTGCTTAGCAGGCATCTTGGTTTGGTTGCTACTCATTGAAAAAGATGAGCTAATATCAGCCTGTCAGTATCGGGAGTATAAACCTTACAAGTTGCAGACACAGCCTTAATCCTGACATAACAGTGAGACATGGCCTAATATGAAAAGCTTTTTATTGAAAGTATTTTGTTAATGCAAAGAGAGGGACTCTTCAGCTCTCTGGATGTTACTGGATGACAACTCATGTCATGCGAGGCGGAGTCACAAAGGGAGCCAGGTTTTCCATCCCTATGCTGAAGCATTTCTGTTAAAATATATGACTCTTCATGTAGGTTTGTCGTGTTTAGTAGTTTCTGTACTTCCAGGTTTAACACCAAAGACTTCCACCTTGCTCTGCCTTACTACAAGATGTCTGGTCTGTCTGTGACAGATGTTCTGAAGAGAGTAGACCCAACGTTTGAAGATAAAACTCATAAGTACGAAAAGGGGATTATTTTTTACTTGTATCATTCCCTTTGTGAAGACACAGGCGAGGAGCTGAGTGAAGTAAGACTATGGTTCCTTTTGTTGTTGCTGTTTCTCTTTCTCTGTAGAAGATGGATTATTCTATGTTCATTTGTGACAGATCATTTGTGACCAACCTCCAGAATGTACCTTTTGATGTAATATCTGTATGCCACTTTTCTTTAAAGCAGCTCATAACCATTGAGTGGGGAGAAAGCAAACAGTTCCATTAATGAAATTTCCTCTTGGCTTAGTCAATAAGCCTCTGGCTGGCTTGTCAAATGACTATCATGTGAATAACTTTCCTTTTATGAGAGTGAAAAGTATCCAAAAGTATAATGTGAGCCAGCCTTTGTAAAAGGAGCTGTTGTGAATCTCAGAAAGCTACAATTTATACTTCACTGTTGCTCGCTTTTCTTTTATGAGATGTAAAAACTGTGTTGATATTTAGATCGATTTGGGGAAAGGTGTTACTGGTGGGGTATCTTCTTAATAAGAAGTTCCTTTTCTGGAAAAAAGAGGTGACTTTTTGTTTGTGCTTAGTTAAGTGGTATAATGCAGGTTGGAAGCTCTTTGCTCAAAATCTCTCTCCCTTGCACTGAGAGGCCTTAGGCTAGCCTCCCATCCTCAGTGGTCCTCTATATAAAATGGAATGATAATACAGTCGTAACTCAGAAGTCGAACGGAATCTGTTCCGGAAGTCCATTCGACTTCCAAAACGTTCAGAAACAAAGGCATGGCTTCCGATTGGCTGCAGGAAGTTCCTGCAGCCAATCGGAAGCCTCAGAACCTGCATCAGACATTCGGGTTCCAAAGAACGTTTGCAAACCGGAACACTCTCTTACAGGTTTGCGGCATTTGGGAGCCAAAGCGTTCAACTCGCAAGGCATTCAACTTCCGAAGTATGACTGTACTGTCCTGCTTTAACCATTATTGAGGAAATTGTGCAAAGTTCTAGAAGCACTTAGAAAAAGCCATATAACTATGTGAAACTTTAGCACGTTGCTATGCTAATTGGGATCTGGGGATGAATGAATACTACACACCTATAACTCCCTAGGATATATATCAGGGATAAGAAACCTATGGTCCACCAGATATTGTTGGACTGCAACTTTCATCATCCCTGACCACTGACCATGCTGAAGGGCACACAGCAACTTGTGGAGGGCCACAGGTTGTACACAGTGGAAGTGGATTTGAAATGGATGTCCCAAACCAAGATGCTTGTGTGTGACCCTGAGATTACCTGCAACCTTCTCAGGAACGAAATAATGGCTTCAGCTGCTCTGCATTTAAAAACAAACAAACACTTGAAACAGATAAATTAGTACTTGTTCCCCTAGCACCCCTGATGATTTCTGGGCGAATTATACAGAACATTCATGGGTAGAAAGAGGCCTTGTATTAAAAACAAAGCACAGCTGTTGGTTTGCTTTTTAAAAACACGTATCTTTCTTTTACCAGGAACTGGCAGCCAAAGTACTCCATATATTCCACCCTGCCGAGTCAAACCAAATACCCCAGGTACTCTGCAGCCCTTGCATGAGAAAAGTGTCTCCTGAGATAGCAATCGAATATCTGCAGAAAGTAGAAGAGGTTGTGCCGTCTGTTGTGGTGACGCTAACCAAGGCTTCTATGGCTCTGAAAATGGGAGACCCTGATGGATGTAAAAGTGAGCTGGACAGCTACGCAGAGGTACACCCTGCTGGCTATGTATCAACATTTGTGTCAAGGTTGTTGTCTTCCGTACCGTTATGTGCAGTGGGAGTGAGCAGAGAACCAGGGTTGTTGCAAAAGTTCTGTTTCCCCTTCAGATATATTAGGGGTGGCCAACTCCCAAGAGACTGCGATCTACTCACAGAGTTAAAAACTGGGGGTTCAGGTCAAAGTTGTTGAGCTTTTTTTTATGGGAGCCAAAGTAGTTGGGGGGAGCCAGTGATCACGAACTACCTGTTGGTCGTGCCTGGGATATACGACATGCTTCCAGGTGGCACGGGGTTTTGAATGCCTTGCTTCTCATGCATTCAGGGTTTTTTGCAGCACCCAGTCAATGTCATTGGCATCAAAATGGCAGTCCTATTTCTCTACCCATCCACCCAATTTAATTCAGATTTTCTCTTTTATTGGCAAAATCCAATAATATATATTTTAAAAAGCAACAGCAGCACCACCTGTTGCCAATGACATTTGCAATATCTCAGCAACCCATTAGCTACAGACTAGGAGCAACTACCATTGGTTGTAGTTATCTGAAGCTTTTTTCCATGTGGACTTGTTCCCTGCTTTGGGGGAGAACAGAAAGTCAGCAGTAGAGCTGGTTTTATTTCAATTCCCAGCATCTTAATTTTGTTTTGTTTTTAAAGTGGAGCTAGTAGGTGATAGAGCGAAAAGCCGTTCCTGGGATCTGCTTCCTTTCAGAGCAAACATTTCTGGGCTGGATAGGCCAGTGATCTGACTGCAGTATAAGGCACCTTCCTGTGTTCTCGCTTGTGGCAGTTGGGAAGGTGGAAGTGGATAACATTGACTTCTGCTCTCCATTTGCTCTATGGTCCTTTCCACATCTATGTGTCCTTTTGGGACATGTGAACAGAGAGAAGGGAATGCGGCAAAGAACGTAGACTAGTGGAGGCAGGGAAAATAGGCCTAGTGTTTATGGACAATTTGGTAGAAGATAGTCATTGTGGATCAGCAGCATCTTTCTCTTGCACAGGTATATGCATGCATTCCCCCTTCTCCTTAATCCAGTGTTCCTCAAACTTTGGTTCCTGCTAGCTAGGGATGATGGGAGTTGTAGTCCAACAACAGTGGGGGGACCCAAGTTTGAGAAACACTGCCTTAATCCCTCAGTTTCCTTGCATATTAAGTCAGTGTGTAGGAAGACAATTCAGTATCGATACATGTTTGTAATCCCATTTCCTATAATATTGTCATGACACCTCTCATATCCTGATCAGTTTTCACCTTCCCTTTGCATATAATTCTCCTGTGCATTATTGTGGCGTGATTCCAGTGTGTGGAACTCAAGGTTCTCTTCCAGTCTCATAACCGCTCCTGACGGGTAGGCAAACTAAGGCCGGGGGGGCCAGATCCGGCCCAGTCGCCTTCTAAATCCGATCCGCAGACGGTCCAGGAATCAGCATGTTTTTACATGAGTAGAATGTGTTCTTTTATTTAAAATGCATCTCTGGGTTATTTGTGGGGCATAGGAATTCGTTCATTTCCCCCCCAAAAATAGAGTCTGGCCCCACACAAGGTCTGAGGGATAGTGGACCGGCCCCCCGCTGAAAAAGTTTGCTGACCCCTGTTTTAGGAGAATAGTGCACCTATTTCCAGAGTTATTTGAAAGTAACAGGTAATAGGCTTCCTGCTAAACCACAAGGAACTGGCCCTGGGATCTTCCTCACCTTCCTCCTCTGGAATGGGAACTGTTTCCCACTAGGGATTATACCGTTATATTTGCACCAAGCTGTAAGTGGGAGAAACCAGCTTTTATTTCCTGGCTTGAGTGAGAGCCTAATTGGCTGTATGTGTTCTTAATATTGCTGCCAATGCAACAGTTAACCACAGTTAGACAACTTGTGCTCTGTAGGAGGAGGGCGGGGAGGACAAGGGAACATGCAGTCCTGTTGATTCCTCCTATGAATAAGCCATCAAGAACATTATCTCTGCCCTGGTCTGTAGAGATGGGTAGGATTTAAATGTTCACCTTTGTCTTGGGCTGTGTTTGTACCAGAGCTCAAAAAGTGAAACTGAATCAGCCCTCTTTCAGAGTAGAGTGGGGAGGAATGCCAACATCTAAATCTTCTCTCACCTTTTTCTATTTTTTGGTCTGCAGATGATGCTGGTGTGTGGTTTTATTGTGGAGCCAAGACTCCTGAGACAGCTAATTAAAGGGCAAGTTGTCCCGACTGAGCTTGCGGTTTATCTTAGGGAGACGAGGCCCGGATTCCTTGTGGCTTCAGTCTTGGCTTTACATGAGAATAGCAAAATTGAGCTGGAAGAAGCAGACGCATACATCAAGGTTTGACATTTAGCTTTTATTAATAGTTTGTTTATTTGGAACTTCCAGAGCAGTCTGTGTCCCATCATTAAGTAAAGGAAGGACAAACTAAAAGTGCAATTCCCATCTGTGGGAAGAAAGTTGGAGTCAGACTTCTCATACAGCTCCATAAACAGCAAGAGGTACAGTGGTACCTCGGGTTAAGTACTTAATTTGTTCCGGAGGCCCATTCTTAACCTGAAACTGTTCTTAACCTGAAACACCACTTTGGCAAATGGGGCCTCCTGCTGCTGCTGCGCCGCCGGAGCACAATTTCTGTTCTCAACCTGAAGCAAAGTTCTTAACCCGAGGTACTATTTCTGGGTTAGCGGAGTCTGTAACCCGAAGCATATGTAACCTGAAGCATATGTAACCCGAGGTACCACTGTATCGTAAATTCAACAGCTCCCTTCCTCTTTGTTGGCTAAGGGGCATAACCAAAGCAGCTGTTGTTGTTGTTGTCAATAATAGTAATAATAATAATAAATTTATTATTTATACCGCGCCCATCTGGCTGGGTTTCCCCAGCCACTCTGGGCGGCTTTTAAAAACACAATACAACACAAACATTAAAAAACTTCCCTAAACAGGGCCGCCTTCAGATGTCTTTTAAAAGTAAGATAGTTGCTTATTGCCTTGACATCGGGGGGGGGGCTGGGGGGTGTTCCACAGGGTGGGCACCACTATCGAGAAGGCCCTCTGCCTGGTTCCCTGTAACCTCACTTCTCGCAGGGAGGGAACCACCGGAAGGCCCTCGGAGCTGGACCTCAGTGTCCGGGCTGAATGATGGGGGTGATTCTCTTGGGTACATTATTTTTTTGCATTACACCCACATATTGTATACTGATGCATCTGGAGATGTCTCCCCCGCTTAACGTTTCTGATTATCCTCCCTTGCTTAAAGGATATTTGCTTAAATGACTGCTCCCCACATTAAATGGGGGGGTGCCCTTTGTGTAGTCGCGCGCAGCCCCCTGGACCCTATGCGGCACCATTAGTACAGGCTTGGCTTCACCTTCCCCAGGTGGGATACCTGGAGGTCTCCGCCTACCTCAGCCCGTTGCCCAATCCCGCCTGGGGAGGCGTTGCCAAGCTGATCAGGCCAAGGTAGGGGGAGGGACCACCCTGCCCACACAATAGGGGAAGGATCTTACCTGGGAATCCTCAGTTGGCTCTACAACAAATCGGCTACATTTTGTCTTTGTGTGTGAGTGGCTCTTTCCCTTAATATTTTGGAAGAACAGATGCTGAGTGCTGAGGAGGAAGATGCTGTCCCCCAGCTCTTAGTGGACTTCTGGGAAGCCCTTCTTGTTGCATGCAGTCAGAAAGAAGTGGTTCAAGAGCTGCATTTCAAACTTGCTGAGCAGTATATTTGGAGGCTCTCCAGGAAGCAGTTGCCCAATACTAAGCCGCTGAAAACCACTGAAGATCTGGTAAACAGAGTTTGTATCCTACGTGTGTGTGTGTGTGTGTGTGTGTGTGTATGTGTGTGTCAGTGTCAGGGACCGTGCTGAGAAGGGCTGCACCGACAAAGAATGGTGGGAACCCCTCCCTCCTCTTGATCCTGATCCTGAATCTTCCCAGGAGCAGGAGGACAGTATAGATTTGGAACAGTGGTTTGCAGAGGGGAGTAGCTCAGAAAGCAGAAGCTGGGAAATACTGGGTGGGGAACAGCTAGCAGAAGAAACCCTAGAAGAGAGAGAGAGTTAACAGATTCACAGTCTCTGAATAGTATCTACACACACACCCTTCCCCAAAGTCACGGAGAGCTCAGAAAGTGTCAAAAAAGAAAGCGCAGAGGCTACAAGCTCAGATTACAAGATGTAGGAGTGACGTAGATTAATAGGGATGGAAGAGGGTGTGACCCTTAATTGGGAGCACCGCCATTCTGGGAAGATGCTTTCTTTTGTTCTTCGCTGTGTTTATTAAAGAAACTAACTGGTAAGAATTCCCTTTTGTTTGATCTGCTCATTTACAGCCATGGGGGAGAAAGCCAATTCCCTGAAGCCTGACAGTATGTATGTGTACAAACAGGTTTGAATGGAACTGCATCAGTTTGGTTCTAGATGAATTGGACACTTTTATAATATCGGGGGGAAATAATTCTTTCAGGAGTACTACATATTTCAAAACAAATGACTTACAACCGTAATTTAGTCTACAAATAAACTGGGAGTGTACTTTTGTTTTGACCCCCTTAAATGAAGGAATCTTAAATGAGGACTTGGAAATTAGACACAAAAATGCTTAGAATGCTAATGGCTTTTTCTTATTTATTTTTGCACTTGTTCAGATAAATTCCTGTGGTCATTATGGACTTATTTTTCCTTGGGTTACGTTCATGATGTCATTAATTCCTCCAGCTGACCAGAATGCTTCTGACGACCTTTCAAAATTACAGGTATAAAATGCTTTCATTCCCCTGCATCTTTTTTCTCTATAGCCCAGGGGTAAATAACATGGTGCAGAGCTGTACCTGGGGGGGGGGGGGCTAGATGGGTTTTATTGCCCCGGGTGAAGCCTCCAAAGGGGCGCCATTGAGTCTCTCAGTGCGTGTGTGCGTGCTTGCACAAATGCACATGGAGTGTGTGCCAAACTGGGTCTTTGACCTGGGTGAAATAAAGCCTAGTTTCACCCCTGCATGATGCTCTCCAGATGTTGTGGGCTACCATTCTCATCACCCTCAGCCAGCAAGACCAAAGATCAGGAGCTGTATGAGTTGTAGTTCAAAACATCTGGAAGGCACCCCATAGCAACCCTGGGCCCTAGCCTCTGTAGATTAAAAAACACATGTGTTTGATCTCCTTTAAGGTGAGTTTATTTTAAATAAATAAACTTAAATAAATAAGCAGTACACAAGGCTTTAGCTAGCTTAAAAGATGGAGAAGCTGTGGTGCTCAATATGTGGCCAGATTCCAACTCCCATCAGCTCCAGCTAGCATGGCAATTGGTCAGGAGTGATGAGACTCACAGTCAAACCATATCCGGGAAGTCACAGTTTCCCCATTCCCGTCCTAGGCTTTTCTGAACCATTTCTTCAGCCTTGAAGACACTGGGGCTGAAAAGAAGACCCACTGCCTACAGTTACACTAAATGCCTTGAATGCATGCCTCAGGTCAGGCCGGAAATATCCCAATACGCAGCAAAGGCATCGTTCAAAGCAAGAATGACCCCAAAAGAAGTAATGGGCATACAAGTGAGGATAGCAGACATAGGTCTTAATCTAAACAAGGCAATTAAAAATTGCATTTGCTTCAGTTTTCCCTGGCTCACCCGGTCTGCCAAGCTGTTCTTAACGATGAAAACATTGTTTGGGGGTGAGAGGGGGTTTTTTTATTTAAAAAATGGTTGGTGTCTTCCAGTCCATGCCTACATTGGTATGGCTTGGTTTTTTCATTGTGTCTTAAATTCTAGAGGTAATGTTTCTGCCCCCACCCTTCAGTCTCTCTTATGTAGTTCATACTTCAATATACCTTCCATTCTGCCACTGTTGGAGGCCCTTCCAGAAGAGACTCTTCCTGGCCTGAGCATCCACATTCTTTGCGATACTCGGTTAGGGCAGTATGAGAGATCCATTGACAAACTTCTGGAAAGATGCCCTCAAGCCGTCATACCCTACGCCCAACATGAATTGAAGCATGAATGTCGGGTGAGCTTTATTTATTACCTTCATTCAGTCTTAGCTCTGGTTTTTTTCCCTCTCCTTTAAACCCATGAACAAAAAAAGCACTGCTAGAAAATCGTACAAGTATTTGTACTGCTAACCTTTCCTTAAGCTGATCAGCTTTCCATGCATTTGTTAAACGTGATTAACATAGCACAGTTATTCAATACTTTGCTCAGGCATTCTTTTAAAAAACGCTCACAGTTGAAATGTACTTCAGTGGAGGAGTTTGGATTTGATATCCCGCTTTATCACTACCTGAAGGAGTCTCAAAGCGGCTAACATTCTCCTTTCCCTTCCTCCCCCACAACAAACACTCTGTGAGGTGAGTGGGGCTGAGAGACTTCAGAAAAGTGTGACTAGCCCAAGGTCACCCAGCAGCTGCATGTGGAGGAACGGAGACGCGAACCCGGTTCCCCAGATTACGAGACTACCGCTCTTAACCACTATACCACACTGGCTCTTGTGTGAAGTGCTTGTGTGAAATGCTCACAAGGCTTGCTTTATTCTGCTGGATATAGAAAACTGGTGTTCTTTCGAGAAGACACACCTTGGAGGCTGTTTGTTGCTTTCCTGCTGCAGTTACCTCAGCCGCCTTTTCACCATCACACTTGATGTTACAAAGCTTCTTCTGTCCTGAAATGTCATGTACATGCTGATGGCTTGTACATTGTTATTGATGGGCATTGCTCCATCCACCATATAGTGACCCCATTAGTGCACAATTCTAAAGCACGGTTAAACACTGCGTTGCCAACATTCAGCAAGTCTAAGCAAAGCTTTGGGCTTGTGTGTTGAACACACACACATATACATACATATATACATGTATACATGGTCCCCTGTGGAGATGGTAATCTGGAAACAGTGGGTCGTGTTCTCCTGTCTTGTCCCCTTAATAAAGATCTGAGGAATGAGATCATTACCCCACTCTTACTTACCATCCCAGGCCGCCCATCTGAGGCCACATTGTTCTTTCTTTTATCAGATCAAAATGATCAGACAACAGCAAAGGTTGCTAGGTTTATTGAGGGTGCAATGAGATTAAGGGCCACTATCTGAACGATAATCTTGGTCATTTGATTGCCCTTTTTTACCCATTGCTATCTTTTTTATTTGTATATATTGCTTGTTTTATGTTGCTATGGCCATTGGCTAATGCGAATAAAGTTTATCTTACCACGTATACATGGCTTGCATGAGGACTTTTACAAAGCTTAGTTTCTCTTTTATTAAATCTTGGATTAGCATTTGCATTCAAGCAAGGGAGCGTAGTTATAAAACTCTGGCCAGTCTGGTAATAAGCCAGCTCACACCATCGGTTTTGAAGCTCCGTTGTATAACCATTGCTGCAATTCATGATCCTAATTGTGTACAGTGTGCTAAACTGAGATTCCTAAAATGCAAGACCAAACTTGGTAGAAGTCCTCCTGGAGAGCAAGTCCAACACTTGGACTTGTTTGCATTGTGCTAAACCGTGGTTTGGTGTTACTTGCAAATACAGCTGTTATGTAAGTTACACCGATGTAATATTGTGGAAGTCAAGATTGTGTTGGGGTGCTAAATTGTGTGTGTGAGATAGAGACAGAGAGAGAGAATGAGAAAAAGCTTCTAGTCTGCAAAGAAAAGCTTCAAATATACGGTAATTTGAAAGTTATAGGCAATGCTTGCTTAAATCTGACACCTAGGAGTGGGGCAGCATTTTCAATGTCCTGCTTTCTTTCCCCTGTAACAGTGGAAGGGAAAGCATTGTATAAAGTATATATAATTCTGCATGATTTCTGCAGGTCACAGAATGCAGCTTTCCTTGGCGCTGTTAGGCATTTTGTCACTTCTTTCATCTCGGCTTGTACTTTGCCCTGAATTCTTAGTATCACAAGAGGGAGCCATCGCTCTTGTTTGTTGCTAAGTTTAAGAAGAACCCTGACAAGCTATACTTCACAGATATAAGAGTGATAAATATATATTGTATTTAAAGGTGCTCCTTTAAGACAGAAAGAGTGTGTGTTAAGAAACAAAGAGGTTGGATTCCATTAGGAACATCATAGCACTCTTGATATTTTCTCCCTCTCTCCTTGGGTCTTACGGCTGGCTTAGGCTCTGTGGTGGAACAAACTCCTTCCTGAGCTCTGTAAACGAATCAGAGATCCTGGAGACAACTATTCTGTACTCCTGTCATCCCTAACAGGTAAAGAAATGTGCTTCTTGTCAGTTTGTGGATGTGCAGAGTCTTTGCAGTGTGGTTTTTTTAAAAAGCTTTTAGATGTATAGATGGCTGCCATGCTTTTAATGACTATATTAAAGAACTGGATTCAGAGCAGATGCTAAGTGAGCTCATTTCTGCACAAATCACAACACTTTCAAGGCTAAACGTAATTAGGCAAAGTAAGAATTGATGGCTAAAGAGAATCTTGTTTAAACGTGGTGTATCTTCCCTGCCCAGAAACGTTATCTGTCATTGCCATGGAACTGGAATTGAGGGACTTCCTTAATGTTTTACCGGAGGATGGGAATGCCGCATTCTTCCTGCCACATCTGCTTCAGTGCAGCAGAAGGAAACTAGTGACCTAAGCACAAGAAAGAAGGGCTGCGTGATCTCTGAGAAACGTTTTGCAAGAGAAAGTACTCAAATGGACGAAAGCTCACTCTGCAACTATAAATTCAGTACTGTAGATATGGGGGGTCTTTAGCATTTCCCTATGTGCGTGAGAAGATTGGTTGACACATTAAAATATAAATATTGGCACATTAAAGTAAGGCTGTGTGTGCAATTTTTAAGACTTTGCCTACTTCAGCTGTGGCCTGAAATCCTATCCTAACCATCTCACTCCCCTTTCTTGTGATAGTTTTATGATGCTAAACACGGTTGTTGTAAGTGAGCTAGACATATACTCTGTGGAGAAAGTTGGGCTAAATGTCAGTACATTCCAAGGACAGCTTTACTGTGAATATAATTCAGTTTTATTCTTCTCCTTATAATCACCTGTGTCAGATGGGGTGTCCAACAAACCAAACAGCTGAAAATCTCATGTGAATAATAATAATAAAATTCTCTGCACCAAAAGCCATGAATACAAGTGACAGCAAGTTCTTGGATTTCCTTTTGGATCTGTAGTAGCCTGTTTGTTCAAGCAGCTTCTGTAACGGGACTTCACTGAAATCAGATGCTGGGGCTGTTCTTATAAGCTGGTCCTATCACGGATTTTCTGCACAAACAATAACATGTGCTATTTAATCTGCCTTGAGTTTCTCCCTGGTCTCTATTTACAACTGTCTGGAAGTACCAAAAAATACTAAGATTTATAAATGTGTAAAGGTAAAGGGACCCCTGACCATTAGATCCAGTCATGGAGGACTCTGGGGTTGCGGCACTCATCTCGCTTTACTGGCCGAGGGAGCCGGCGTACAACTTCCGGGTCATGTGGCCAGTATGACTAAGCCGCTTCTGGCAAACCAGAGCAGCACACGGAAACGCCGTTTACCTTCCCGCCAGAGTGGTACCTATTTATCTACTTGCACTTGAAATGCAGCTGTCTAATAACAGCTGGGTGAGTGAGATGTACACGTCAACAGAAGTGAGATTCAAAATGACAGAGTGAATATAGCTTGGATTTTGTCCACCCCACCCCACCCCCCCTAAGGCTGGCAACACACACTATTCATAGAAAGAAGAACCGAAACAGTCTTGAGTAGATTGGCTGTCTTTTATTTAGTGTGTGTGTTGCTTAAATGTTGTTGCTGGCAGTTCCCCCCACCACAGTTTCATTTATAGCGGGAGGCAGTGGAAGACAGGCGTCCCTGGCGTGCTCTGGTCCATGGGGTCACGAAGAGTCAGACACGACTAAACAACAACAATAAGCATAGCACAGTGGAAGAGATTAGCAGGTGAATCCCTTCCTGGTGTGGAAATAAGCAATAGAAAAATAGGCTCAGGGGATGTTAAAAGTCCAGGGGTAGGAACCTGAGTGGCGGATGGAAGCAGCACTTGGTGGAATCATAGAAATTCCACACAAAACAACAGAATCATGGAGGTGAGGTAGAGGATGGGATCCCTGCTGCTGGACTTATTTCTGAAAAGAGAGGAAGTAAGGCCACTTGAAGAATGCAACAGTTGGGTATATGTGGTCGCTGTTAATGGGCAGGGAGCAGATCTTAAGCTTCGTCTGCTGTAGGTTGATATTCTTAGTTTGCCTATTGTTATCCTTGGCTCCATCTATCATGATTACTTACCCAATGTTCTCAGCTGCCACTGAGTCAGCCTCAATTGTGCTGCTGGCAGCAGATAACATCAGTTAGCTCTTCTGATGTGGGGAGCAGCACAAGATTGCTGTAGCTCAGGGATGTGGAATCTTTCTAGGCTGATGATTTCATTTCCCCACCCTTCACGGGCTAAGTTTTGACGGGTTATGATGGTGTCAGGTGAACTTCTGTTTTGCCCTGAGGTCTTCAGAAGAGCCCCTTCCCAAATTCTGTTTTGCACACCCCTTCAGCCTCCTTCCCATTTCTTAAATCTCCCCAGTTAGTGGTAGGCCTTGCAAGTGCAACGTATTTCCTCGAACACATTTGGTGACTGCTTACCTTTCTTCTGGGAGCACAGTGTAGGTGGTCTCCATGCCAGCATGGATGTGGTCGGTCACATGACAGTGCAATAACCAAGTCCCAGGATACTTGGGCAACATTTCAACAGTTTGAAAAGTCCCAGGAAACAGATCAAAGACATCGGCCCGGTAGGTTCTGGTGTTCTTTTAGGGCAAGCACAAAAAAACAACCACCTCACATCAGTAAACATTTTTGCAGCGTCTTTGAAGTAATTAATTGGAAGACATAAAATGAGTTAAGAATATTGTGGCAGAACTTTGAATGTATTTGTGCTGGAAACTTAAACAATTGGAAGAAAAATGCAGGCAACTTATTTTTTTAAAAAATAAGTAAGAGCCATCTATGCCTACTTCCCCTTTATTGCATGAGGGAGAAATTGGTTTCAGCTTATAACTCTTTTAAATTTGCACTTCTCTGAATTTTGCAATGCAGTTCTTTACCCAAGTAATGTGTGCAAATATGTGTATATTAGGGTAAAGTGTGCATTAAAATGCATATATTGGTGAAAATAACAAGCAAAAATGCATTATATTATGGGGAATTGTTTTGTAAAAATGTGTATATTAGGCAACATTGCATACAAAAAGGAGAAATTTACACTAAATGCAAATTTTATTATAATTTTACTATTTATACCCCAACCATCTGACTGGGTTACCCCAGCCATTTCAACATATTGATGTCTAAATGTGAAGAACTAAACTTAACAATGGGAACGGAGAGAAACAAAAAACAACAGATTTGCCCATCCCTCATTTTATGTATTAGAAATAGCAACTTCGCCCAATCCGGTCCTGCTACTACCACCAGTTAAAACCAAAATCTGAAAAAGCAGTGTGGGTTGTGGCAGTGGGGTAGCTGTTAGGACACTGGGCAGTGGAGCTGGGTACTGTAGCCCTTTTTGTATCGTTGCTTTCTTAAAGAGTTGCCTTTCCATTGAATTAGGATAGAAATTGCTGGTCTGTAATTCTTTCCAGACCTGCCAGCTTGGAGACAGATAGGATGTTAAAGTAACTTATTGTAATCACAAAGTGCACATTTAAAACTTCCCCTGCAAAAAAATCCTGAAAACTATAGTTTCCCCCTTGCAGAGCTTCAATTTCAAGCATTCTTAATGAACTACAGTTTCCAGAATTCTTTTGGGGAAGTCATGTACTTTAAATGCCTGCTGTGGATCTGCCCAAACCCTATTCCCAAACAAACCACCAAGGTGCCCTTGTTGTTTGCCACCAATAACATTACATCAGGTAGAAGATGGCAGGCAGTATTGTCAGCCGAAAGAAAACACTGGGACAGTTGAGCATAAAGCAGGTTTGTATATTCAGTTGACTAAGAGCATTCTCCAAAAAACGCATTATCATTCCTCCAACACTAAATTTAAAATTAAAGGCAGGAACCAATCATCTTACCTTATAGTCGAAGCTGTGGCCGTGGAAGTGTGCTGTGTGCATATCCACTTCGTTCCCCATCCCCATTAAGTACCAGCTGACTTTATCTCCAACGTGCATTGTAAGGCCATGCAAGTTTCCAAACACCTTTCCGTTAATGGCTAAGGAAAGAGAAGTTTATCATGAACGCAAACATTCTTTGATGGAACGTGAATTTCAATATAGTGAAGCCAATGGTAGGGCCGGTCCTCAAATGCGCTCTGCCTACTGAATTACAGGAGGCCAACTGTGAAGGAAACAAAGCGAGCAGGATGTTTGGAGCCCAGCTTCCAAAAGAGAAAAGGACCCAAGAGCTGCAATACAACCCTATGCCATACAGTTTGGCATGTATGTGGCAAATGTAATGAACACAGAATGTCTGATTAATGACTGGCAATTGTGGGTGTTGGAAATATCCCATCGCCATAGAAACGTACCGTGCATCTTATTGCTTTCGATAAACTCCTCGTCTTCTTTGTTCACGCCTTCTGGGTTGACAGCGTAAGTGTTGATATTTTCATCCAGGTACCAAGACAGGTTTTCGTCAAACACCAAGAAAAGAACATTAAATTGTATCGGCTGTGCAGATGTGGAAAGTAATTGTATATGCTCCCTGCGACAGACTAGCAGTGTCCCAATTAATCCACTGTAGAGGTCCTGAAAGCCAAAAAAAGGGATATAATTACCTATCGCCATTACTAAAATAATGGAGATGGGGAAATAGCATCTGACGAAATATTGGCCCATATTGAGTGCTTGGGATTAAGTCTAAGCTTCTGGCCAAGGGGCTGCTGGATCCTGCAGATGCCCTTCACAGATGGAGACCTCTGGAAGTCTCCTTCTAGAGGCCTCCTACTTGCAGCAATGGAAAGCTCTGCTGCCACTGTTGCAAGGATTTTTAAAGTACCTGTGGCCCACTCAAATTGTGTCCAGGAATTGACAGACGCAGCAATGGAGAAAGAGAAAGTGGTATTTTATTGCTGAGCAATAATGACCCAGTGGAATGGTTTCCAAAGACTGGGCGCCGAAGCTCTAGCGCCCTTAGGCTTTATACCTGAGTACATACGTCATAAAACATGACATAATCGTATATAATCGCATATGGCAGCAAAAATCAAACCAGTGAGCGCATGCATAAACCTTGCCCCTGACCATGTAAAGAATCCTCCCCAACTTCTGCTTTCCTCACGGTACATCAGCCTGACCTTTCCCCTGAATTATAGTAAGAAAGGAGAAAAGAAACTTATTTGCCCATTACAATGTTGGTAACCCTCCTACACGCCATCTGTTATAAACGGGGACATTGTGGTTAGCATTTTCCTGTTTTTAGCTGCTGAGGGGCATCCTGGACGGAGGAAAGTGTCGGCACATCAGATTTCTTGCTTCCTACTATGTTGGCGAGCCATTGAGTGCATTAGAAGAACAAGGGGGAAGAAATGGGGCAGAGGTCATTTTGGATTTCTAAAATCTAAGCATTTAGCTCTGCAGAAGCCTTCATGATTCAAACACCCTTCGTATACATGGATATATAGAAATCATCATAAAGATATATGGTTATATATGGATAGATGATTATATAGAAATCATAAGGGTAAAATTCTTCCAGGTGGTCCTGCTTCACCACCACTCCTTAGTCATTGGTGATGTAGTGGCAGTAAGGCATGGGGAAATCAGGTGTGGCAGGGACAGATTGAGGGAGACCTTGGATCTCAAGCAGTCCCATTTCCCAGACAAGGGCAAAAAAATAATAATAAGCCAGTCCTGGAGCTGCCATAGTTATTTCCCCTCCCACTGAAACCAACGACAGGAAAAATAAAATCTGGAAACCAAGTACATAAAAGGAGGGGGGAATCTGCCCCACAACCTTCTAACCCTGGTTGCCTTGCCTGAAGCCTGGCAAGGCTTCAGAAATGGTAGCTCCACCACCATGACTCCGTATTTTTCTGGCCTATGTTGCTATATATTAGTCACATTTAGGTCCCATTGAGATCAATGAGATTTAAATCATGACTAAATTTTCAGATGGATTTAAATGGGACCTAACCTAGTCTGGATCCAACCCCTTCTATACACATCCATTATAGATGAAAGTTGGCTTGCCACTTCCAAAGTACTTTGAAAACAGATTCTGCCTCTACCTTTTCCTCCCCGCCGCTCTTAAAAGCTCTGCTTCCAGAAGAGTTTGAAGAAGAGGAGTTTGGATTTGATATCCTGCTTTATCACTACCCGAAGGAGTCTCAAAGCGGCTAACAATCTCCTGTCCCCTCCTCCCCCACAACAAACACTCTGTGGGGTGAGTGAGGCTGAGAGACGTCAGAGAAGTTTGACTAGCCCAAGGTCACCCAGCAGCTGCATGTGGAGGAGCGGAGACACGAACCCGGTTCACCAGATTACGAGTCTACCGCTCTTAACCACTACACCACACTACACCCAGATTACATGGGGCCAATCCCATTGTCTCCATCAAGATTTCAACAAAGTCAGATGACTCGTTTAGTAAGGAATGAAGCCAATGTAGGGGGTCTGGTGAAGAAGTGTTCTGTGCCCAGGTAAGGGAACGGATTTGGTAACTGCCATTAAAAACACACCTTAACTTTATCCACAGCTGAGTAATATGCCCAAGGGATACAGTCGGAATCCCCTTCAGCAGGACCAGATCTCTTTGGTATTTTCCAGACATACTCTCTGACTGCACCTGCATGAAACAGATATTTAAAATTGATAAAATCATGCATAGCATGGAGTAATAATAATAATAATTTATTATTTATACCCTGCCCATCTGGCTGGGTTTCCCCAGCCACTCTGGGCAGCTTCCAACAAAATATTAAATACAATAGTCTGTTAAACATTAAAAGCTTCCCTAAACAGGGCTGCCTTCAGATGTCTTCTAAAAGTCTGGTAGTTGTTCTTCTCTTTGACATCTGGTGGAAGGGCGTTCCACAGGGTGGGTGCCACTACCGAGAAGGCCCTCTGCCTGGTTCCCTGTAACTTGGCTTCTCACAGTGAGGGAACCGCCAAAAGGCCCTCCGCGCTGGACCTCAGTGTCCGGGCAGAACAATGGGGGTGGAGAAAGGGGAATAGAGGAAACTTTTTTCTCACTCTCTCATAACACTAAAACGCATGGGCATCTAGTGAAGCTGCCCCTCTGCCCACATTGGCAGGGAAGCCCTGACAGCGAGGAGCACCCCAATGCACCCATCCAAATCGCAAGTGGGTGGAAGCTACTACTGATGGCATCCCTGCTGGCAGGTGACAGGCAGAAAGCCCCGAAAAGCAGCATTTCATGGGCAGGACTGGATCCTGTGCTGACTCTGTTCCCACCATGTGACAAGAATGCGCCTCTAGGCCTATGTAGTGCAGTAGCCTGAAAACTGGTGTAGCACAGGGATATTTTTTCTGCTCTCCACCTTCTGCCCTGGCTGGTGTGAGCAGTTGGGCTGTGGACGCAGAACTGCCTGTACTGGTGGCTTAGGGTAAAGGTCAATCCCTACCACTGGTGGCCTAGGGTTAGGATTGTGTCCTATGATAAGAGACACAAGATAGGCATTCTTGGTGGTTGCACGCCCTTCCCCTTCAGATTCACCAACACTAAATCGTATCATCTTCCAAACGTTTTTGCAAAAAACTGAACAGGAGGAATTAAGCCCTTGTGAATTTTCACCAGCTCCACATTCTCTGCTTCTTTTGTCCTTTTGTTATTATTATCCCCATTCTACAGACCTTGAGGCAAGGAAAACAAGATTTTAAAAAGTGAGAGAAATAATGAATGAGACTATTACCTGAACTGGTTTCGGCTGCATCCGCAAAGTCAGTTTTCACTCCTTGTGCATGAATAGAATAAGGTCTGGAGGCCATGTTTTTAAAAATAATTGTGATTTTATCCCCAACATTTGCAACAAGTAGTGGACCTTGGAGAGATTAGAAACAAATATGTTCTCTAAGACACAGCATTAAAGGAAATTCCAAAGTGCTTTGGAAAACAAAACTGCAAAGACTAATCAGTGCAAAGGAAACCTACAGGCGCTTAAGGCTCAAATTAAATTGCTAGGGCTCTTAAGCACTTAACAGTGTACTTAAATTCAATTGACTTTAATTATATGTAAGCGGGTTTAATTTTCTCTGGATTAAATCCAGTGTTAAGTCTTAAACTTTATCTACAAGACATTGATCTGGTTCAAGCATAATTCTAACCCACAGTTTAATGCAGTGGTGAGGAACCGGTAGCCCTGCAGATGTAGCACATCAAAAAAAGTGCTAATTGTGACATACAGAAGCTGCTGCCTCCTTTCATCCTTACTTGAGACCCACACAGCAAAATTCAGTTCATGCCAATATAACGTTCAATAGCTGTTCTTTCAATTTATAAAGCCAGTACCTAGAATTCCCAGGTGCTCTTTTTCTTCCTTCCTTTCTTTGGCGGTGCTGAATGATTTGTCAGTATATTCTCGATAAACAACCTTCTTGTATTTTGACCCAATGAACTTATCAGTTTTATTTAAGAATGCATTCCCTGGGCTGAAGGGGGGAAAAGTGAAGGATACATTTGAATATGAGAACCAATAAAGTTAAGAGGCACTGGTCAAAAACTCCAGGTATCATTTATGTAACTGCAAATGTGAAAATGTGTTTTGCACAAACACATAGACCATCCATCTTCCATCTTCCAACCAGGTAGGCAAAAGGCATTATCAGAGTTCAAGGACAAATTTCAGGCAGGCAGGCAAAAATGCTAAAGGAGAGTGCAAATTCCTGAGGACTAGATAGACAGGCTTCGAAAGGCACCTTTGGTCACTGGGCCTAAGATTCCCCACTCTTGAGTTAAAGGAAGGAACTAATGAGACGCCATTCTGCTTATGGCTGGTTGACATCTCCATGTTATGGTTAGGAAAGTCACACACAGTGTGACTGTGTGTGAGGTGTCTTGCCCCATCTACTTTGGGGGTTGGCCCCATCCACTGCTGGAAAGTGGGCTGGGACAACTTTCCACTATGCCTGCAAACAAGACTGAAGCTCAGGAGGGAGCAAACACAGGGAAGAGGTGCTCCACATCTGACTTTCCAAAGGCCCTGTCTACCTGAGAGGTCCTGATCTTGGCCTCCAGCAGGCCTACCTGACTTGTTAAATTGCAGCCACACTATCTCAGTAAGTCATGTTGGAAAAGTCCATAGCTATTCTGGAGCAACAATCCACCTGCCTGTGATGAGAGTTTAACCAGAGATTGGTAGAGATAAGTGCCTGCAGCCCCGTGCTTAAAAGCAAGGGTTGTGTTGCATGAGTCATTGCATGCCTTGCCAGGTTTAGCAGATCTTACAACTCCAACCATTTCTGACCACTGGTCATGTATCTGAGTTGTATCCAGTTGGAGAAGGCTGCTTTACAGAATGGCAGACCTTATCAGCAAAACAGTGGGTGGAAACTTAAATAGAGGAATAAAGGTAAACTTAAAATCCTGTTGCATCTTAAGCGCTTTGGTATTGTAAGACCCTAGGTCTGGAGTCAACAGTGCCCTTTACTACACTCTGCGAATGTGGCTTTGTGTTAATCAAAGGGTTTGCCTGTCCTCGGAGATGATATGGAGTTGTGCCAGTCCTAAATATTTTTTGAACTACATAAAAAAGAAACTCATCCCTTGTGCATTCATAAAATAATCCACACAGGGAAGCCGGAAGCAGGGAAAAAATGCTCCCTATGAAATCTGCTACATGAAATGCATAATTCATAGTAGAATCAGGAACACAAGTAGATAAATAGGTACCACTGCGGTGGGAAGGTAAACAGCATTTCCTTGCGCTCTAGTATCACCACTAGTGATACTAGACACCACCTAATTATTGTTTGTCATGCATTCATTACATTTTACATTTAAATATGCCAGAGAAGTATTGTTTTATTTTTCCCACCATTCCTCCGAAGAGCTTAAGGATAGCTATGTGGTCCCCTGCCCCATCCTTGCACATTTTATTCTCACAACAAATTTGTGAGGTAGGTTAGGCTAATAGCTGGTGACTAGGCTGGTGAGGATTTTGACTTGGGCCTAGTCCAACCACTTGGGATCCATGTCTGCTACAAAAGGATGGAAAGGAAAAGTGAGCAATCTCAGATATGCTTTTCTAGGAATTTATTGTTTGATCTGGGCCTTACCTTTCATCATGGAAGTGATGCCTCTCCTGCTCCCAGGTCCTGCTGGGGGAATAGTCCCATTCTATTTCTACTGCTGCAATGTAATAGGTCTTTTCATGGGTATATACCTCATTATCCTCTGGTGATGAAGCACACTTCCTCACTTCATAGTTTTGTCTCATACCCCCTGTGAAATGATCTGTAGTCATGCAGGCCACTTCAAATACCCCTGGAGAAACAAAGAGAGGAAGCAAACAAATGAATCCAAACCAAGCACACCTAGGAAATATGATGGCCTGGCCTGCGTTGCAGGAACTAAAATAATGGAGGAGCCTCATTAGGCTACGTGCACATCAAGCATTTGAAAAAGCAAAGGATCCTGGAAACCCTTCAGAGCTACAGTCCCTAACACCCCTAGCAAACTATAGTCTCTTGCAGCAAAAACAACAAAGTGCATTGTGGCGTGTTAAAGACTAAAACACTTATTATGGTATCAGCTTTCCTGAAGTGGGAGTCAGCTCACTTCTTCAAATGAATGAAGTGTTATCCCGAGCTGCAGAGATGTGTAATATATAAATTGGTCAAGATGAAGAAGCAGGTCAAGTGGAATATTTTTCAATGTAACACATTGAGGATTCAGAGACAAGTACAATTTAAAAAAATAAATAAAAATAAACCAGCTATCTTTTTGTCCCAAGCAAAGGGGCAACTGAAGGGGTCAGCAAACTTTTTCAGCAGGGGGCCGGTCCACTGTCCCTCAGACCTTGTGGGGGGGCCGGACTATATTGGGGGGGGGGGGAATGAACGAATTCCTATGCCCCACAAATAACCCAGAGATGCATTTTAAATAAAAGGACACATTCCACTCATGTAAAAACACACTGATTCCCGGACCATCCATGGGCCGGATTTAGAAGACGATTGGGCCGGATCCTGCCCCCAGGCCTTAGTTTGCTTACCCATGGGTCACACTCAACAGAAAAGAGAAGGACCAGAATACTATTTACTCATTATGCAATTGAAGGTTCTCAAGAGAAGGATACAAGAGAGAAAAACCAACTCCACTAATTCTTAGCATTTCCAGCAGGAGTGCACACTAGACCACCTCCTAGACTTGAGGTAGAGCAGGGGTTTTCCAAGCTTTTTACACATATGGCCGACTTGAGAAGGCTGAAAATTACCAAGGCCCGCCAGTCACAAAATGGTGGTGCAGGGGTAGAGCCAACTACAGAACAGTGTCGGATGGAGGCAGAGTTTTGCATAATCAACTAGCAGTTACTGGTATAATTTTCCATTGATATCTAACCTCGCTTTGGAAATTGCTCAACTCTGCCACAGAAATTTCATTGGGGTGAGAGTTCCATAATTAAGTTTTCTTCAAACTAAGTACAGGACTAAGGAGAGATGGCGACTCAGTTTCCCCCTTTCAGAAATAATTTGCTGGTCCAGAGACTGTAAACTGAGAAGTTCATATAACCAAATGGATGGTTTAAAATTAGTAAGTACAATTGTCGTCATTCACCTTCTGAGTCAAGCTTCATAAGAGCTGTGAGAGAGCTATGTGGAAAGAGGTTAGCTGTATCCTTTCTTCCTCCTTTAGTCAAAAAGGTATTTCCTGAAAAATGTATTCCATGAATGTCAACCTCTGAACCCAAGCCAATCAAATGCCACGAAACGGTGTCTCCACTACACATCTCAAGGCCTTCCTGGCTTCCGTACATGTATCCATTTAAGGCTGCAAAAGAAAGGTGCAAATTGATGTTTAAACACATTCAGGTTCAAAATCCCACAACTAACATAATATAGTTCAATAGCAAAAAGGAAAGATGCATATTATGTGCTTACAGTTTTTGCAAATTAAACAAGCCATCATCTTCCATCTATTTGAAATATTTAATAACACATGTAGTCCAATCCTATGTATCTTTATTCAGACATAAATTTCACCCTGCTAATAGGGCTTACATCTAATTAAACATGCATCTATACACATATTTGCTGTCTTATCTGGATTCTGCTCCAAGTCACACAGGAGTGAACTGCAGAATCTTAGGATTGGATTCAGCTAAGTCCTACTCAAACTCACTGGAATAAATGAATCTAACAAAGTAAGGAAAGCCAGTTGGATCAGGTCAATTGCCCATCTGGTCCAGCATCATGTTCCACAGTGGCCACAAGAAACCCATAAGCAGGATCCAACCACAATAGCATTCTTCCTTCCTGGGGTTTCCAGCAACTAATATTCAGAAGTGTGGCTTCCTCTGACTGCAGCCATCATGGCTAGTATTCACTGATAGCTCTCTCCTCTGTGAATTTGCCTAATTCTCTGTTAAAGCCATCCAAGCTGGTGACCATCACTGCTTCCTGTGGGAGTGTGTGCCATAGTTTATGTGCTGAATGAATAATTATTTCATGGAACAGTGGCTTCTTGATTGAAAGCACCCAAGTCTCCGAAACTATTTCTCCTATTGCCCAAGGAATGAGAGAATGATAGACTGCAATCTCATTCCCCATTACTCGCTGAGAAACACAGAGCAATTCTAACTATAGAAATTCTAACTAAGGTCCTTTCAGGAGGAATTTGACCCCACACTTTTGCTGGTTAAGTTCCTGGTGGCTGTATCATGTGACTGAGCATAAGGAAGTTTTGAATAGGCATCGGTCTCTCCTTGTTCTGGGCATGCTCCCAGATTGTCTCTCCTTGTTCTGGGCATGTTCCCAGAATGCCCATTTTGGGGACTTGAACCTATGTAAGTTCCAATTGCTTACGCTCTATGGGCTGATCCCCAGATGTAGGGCTGGGCCGCAGCTGCCTTGGGTGGCAGAACTTCAGTGGAGACTAGCCCCAGCCACCACTGCTGGAGAAGCAAAGAGAAGGGGCTGCAACATTAGCTTCTGGGTTCTGGCGGGATCTTGCCAGAAACTGGAAGCCATTGCCACATCTCATGGGGGGAGGGGGCGCTGCCAGAACCTGGAAGCTGTATAACCCCAGTTAGCGAGGTGGGCAGTGGCAGCAGCTGGGGAAGACAGCACTTTACCATTTTGCCTCAGGCGGCAAAGTGGGACAGGCCGCCCCTGCCCATCTGAGCCAGGGTGAAAGACCTTCCCCAGAGACCTTCTCTGAATAAGTGTTTGTTTGGGGAGGTGATTGGGGTGGGGGAGATGGGGTAAAGAATTTGGCATCATCATTTCAAAAAACAAAACAAAACAATAAACTTACAATGCATCTTGTTGGATTCCTGGAAATCTTCATCCTCCTTATTAATCTGCGTAGGATTTCCTCCAGATAGCGCAATATTGTCATCCAGATACCAGCTCAGATTCTCATCGAATACTGTGGCGAGGAGGAAAAACTCCTTGTCTACATTTTTCTGTGGAAAAGAGCAAGTGTAAAAGTGTGGGGGTGGGGACACATGTGGGAAAACACTATTAAACTGGCTGGGGCTAGCTACAGTGGTACCTCGGGTTAAGAACTTAATTCATTCCAGAGGTCTGTTCTTAACCTGAAACTGTTCTTAACCTGAAGCACCACTTTAGCTAATGGGGCCTCCTGCTGCCACCGTGCCACCAGAGCACGATTTCTGTTCTCATCCTGAAGCAAAGTTCTTAACCAAGGTACTATTTCTGGGTTAGCGGAGTAAGTAACCTGAAGCGTATGTAACCCGAGGTACCACTGTATCTGTAAAACAATGTGCAGCTCCTTATCCAACATCCTTACAAACGCCTTTCAGGTTCTGGGGTGCTTTTTTTCAAATCACCCAGCAAATGACTTCCTATGCTGCTGGAGATTGGAAAGTCAGGGCTCATCCACACCTCTGCTTGCCGCCTTCCCTCAGGAAAACTCACTATTTACCGCTGAACTGGAGCAAACATCAATCGAGTCTTCTATGTAAAGGAGCCAACTCCTAGGAGCTGAAGTCCCTTTGGCTGCCCCAATAAAATATTTGAGGAGGCAGACGCCCCTAAGTTGATGGGCATTGTCATTCAAATGGTGTGCGTGTGTCACATCTTGTGATCTATTGGGGAGGGGGCTTATCTGGGAGCCCCCAATATTTTATCTAAGTTGGCACCCCTGATGTTTGCTCCAACTTAGCACTAAAAAAAAAAGGTTTCCTGGAGGATAGCAGTGGGCAAAGGCCATAGCTGTCAACGTTTCCCTTTTTTCAAGGGAAATTCCCTTATTCCGAATAGGATTCCTCGCAAGAAAAGGGAAAAGTTGACAGCTATGGCAAAGGCAATGAGTCAATGTGGTGCCCACAGGAACCAGTGTGCCCCCAGTATGGCAGCCAAGAAAAATCTCAGTATCTTCTCAAAAATCAATAAATCCTTGCTCACCTCCTTTTTTCAGTCTCTACTACATTGAACACATCCCCTTAAAAATGACCACACCTCATTCGATGCCAGAATTTGACACCTATCCTCTCTTCTGCTCCTCTGTTCAGAACAGAAGCACTTCTATCTGTGAGGGTGGGTGGTGGTGGCTGATGTAGGTGCCGTTGGGGTGGGGAGAGGTATGCCCACACCATTTTGTCTTTAAGATGTGGCAGCCATTATGCTATGCCCCTGAAGCAGCCATTTTGTGACCAACACTCACCAGAGTTTCTCAAAATCCCAAATGTGCGGCTGGCACCAAAAAGGTAGGTGATACAAAGAGGAGGATTTCAATTATTCCTGCATTACCTGTTTCCCTGAAGGAAGCAGTGATCCTTTCCTGCACACCAAGAATGGGCCCACTAGGCCAGAGCTGCTGTCCTTGATTGAATCCGATGCTGAATAATAAATCCAAGTAAGGCAATCTGGATCGTCCGGAGTAGGACCCACGGTTTCAGGAACCTCCCACTCATAAGTGAATTTTTCTCCAGGATTCACATGCGAGGATGGGCTTGCAGGTCCTACATTAGGTTCATCATCAAGAAAGAAATGCCCCTAAGTAGTTGTATCATGGGAAGCATGTTAAGAAAGTTGGTTTACCTCGTCCAATGGATGTAACGCAAGATTTACATCATTCCCTTAAGATAAATATTCACCTCCAGAGATGGTGTTGTAGAAGGCACCCTCATTGTCTTTCTTGTAGCTCAGCCCATGCGGCTGAATGCTGAAAGGGTGCGTTGCCCTGTTAAGAAATGTCACCTGGACGGTCTCACCAACTTCTGCCCTCATGACAGGTCCTAGTTAAAAATCACACAAACCCAACAACACAAATTAAAACTATTATATCTTAATCACGGTTGCAGCTCACACTTGCCTCTCAACAAAAGCACTTGAATAAGGTGTGGTACAAAGCTTGTATGGAGATGTGGCTTAGGAAGGGTCCCAAGCGTCAGCTGGCAAGCTGCTCTCATGACCCCCCATGGAAACATCTTGGTGGGAGTGGTCAGACGGGAAGGAAGAGGTCAAGGAACTGCAGGAATCTGACCCATGGGAGGAGCCCAGTGGAGTGGGAGGTGATCAACAGGACCGGGTGGAGGACTTTGGCCCCAGGGAGAGGTCCAGCAGATCGGGAGGTGGTGACCTAGACCCGGGAGAAGGGCCAAATGGGTTGTCAGGAAAATGTCCTGCCTCAATGTCATTGGATGGGGTATCCCAGCCAGTCAATGTGCTGCCCCTGGCAGCGCTCTCTGACAACATAGATCTACTGTCCTCAGGGGAGGCGCGGAGGGATAAACCTGACCGTGAGTCAGCCCTATCGTCTCTACCGCCATCACCAAAAATGCAGAAGTGACTGTACTGGTGTGAACAGACTCCACATGCCCAGCCTACTTGCTTTCCCGGGGTGGAAAAACACTATAGATAAGTGAGAACTTAGATCGTTTTTTAAAAAGGATAAAAAAATCCTGTGGGAAATGTCGTTTTAACAATTCTTGCTCTCTGGCACCATCTAGTGTTACATGTTTGAAATACATTCAATTTCTTTACTAATGTAGCTGAGTCCCCAGTTTTGAGTCTTCATACCTCAACCACATGAATGAAGGTGCCCACCCTGCTCTTCGAAGGGAATGCTCAGGTAAAGGTAAAGGGACCCTTGACCATTAGGTCCAGTCGTGGCTGACTCTGGGGTTGCGGCACTCATCTTGCTTTATTGGCCAAGAGAGCCGGCGTACAGCTTCCGGGTCATGTGGCCAGCATGGCTAAGCCGCTTCTGGCGAACCAGAGCAGCGCACGGAAACGCCGTTTACCTTCCCGCCAGAGCGGTACCTATTTATCTACTTGCACTTTGACGTGCTTTCAAACTGCTAGGTGGGCAGAAGCAGGGACCGAGCAACGGGAGCTTACCCAGTCGTGGGGATTCGAACCGCTGACCTTCTGATCGGCAAGTCCTAGGCTCAGTGGTTTAACCCACAGCGCCACCCGCAAGAGTGTGTCAAATGTTGTGTCAATGTCTTTTTTCTGCCTATCTGCCATGCTTCCTGACTTTGTAACCAGTAACCCTACTTATGTTTGGGTGCTGTAGAGAATTTTGGAATAAAACTTTTAATGCTAACAACTGACTCAAGAGCCCGAGCACAGGGTCTGCTAGTGGGGGCCACGACAGTAACATTTTGACTCTGGGCATGATGTTCCCCACTCCTGTATTAAAGGACTGTTTTGGTTTCTTTCGTGTCAAGTCTCAGGCTCCCATCCACAGTCACTTTGGGTTAAACCACATTGCCAGACCCCTTTGCAGTAATCAGACACCAAACTAGTGACACCACTGCCTTTACCTCTCAAAAGGTGTGTTGTCTTCAGCCTTGAAAGACTCAGCCTAGGAAACTGAAAATCTCCTCTGCTTTTGATTGCCAGAGGCTAAAAACAGTCTTACCTAAAAGCCCAAGATGTTCTTCACTAGGGAGCCTCTTCCGGCGCTGTGAAAATTCACTGCTGGTATACTCAACGAAAATAGCTTTTTTGTAAGATCCACCAATCCTTTGTTCGCTTTTTTCAAAAAATATCTTGGACTCCCTGTGCAGCAACACAAATCATTTTCAAGAGCTGCATTCAGTTAACGGCAAAGAGACAGACATTCTGCATCATACTAAAATTGTTCAGTCCTCATCTCATTCTAATTTCTGTTGTTTGGCTTTGAGTGGCGTAACTTGGAATCAAAGTGATTTGGATGGTAGGACTCCACCTGGAGGCCCAAATGGTCAGTCTTACTGGCAGCATGGAAGAACTACAATGAAGGGATTTTAAAGGAGCAAAAGGTAACAACATTTGCTTCCACACTGGGAATTTGCTATGGACTAGCCACACTTCCATTCACTGACTCTTTACACGACATTCTGAACAACTTTTTTAAAAAAATCAATGGAATAGCTGCACAATTTCCCCAGGTATAGCTGTCCTCTTGTGCTGCTGTACCAGCTAGTCATGACCTGCATCAATTGCTCTATTTCCTAGATTGCTGGTGACATTCCCTTCCCTGTCTCTCCTCTCTAGGAATCAGTTCTATCACATTAACCTTCCTTTTTCCAAATCGCATCACCTTTTCAGTCAGTGGCCTCAACTGTGGCAGCAAAGAAGGAGAAGAGCCGACCAGACTCTCACATTCCACACCCTCCAACAAGTCCAGGCCTAAAGCCAGGATGTGTATCTTCTGGGTCACGTAACCCGCAAGAAAGCACAGAGCTCAAAAAACGGGGTGTCCCGATGTAATTGGGGCACTTGAGGGGTATGACGTTCCCATCCACCACTGAGGCAACTGATAGGTAAATTTAAAGGTAAAGAACCTTTGGACAGTTAAGTCCGGTCAAAGGCAACTATGGGGTTGCGGCGCTCATCTCGCTTTCAGGCCTAGGGAGCCAGCGTTTGTCCAGACAGCTTTCCGGGTCATGTGGCCAGCATGACTATACCATTTCTGGCACAATGAAACACTGTGACAGAAACCAGGGTGCACGGAAACGCTGTTTACCTTCCCACCTATTTATGTACTTGCACTGGTGTGCTTTTGAACTGCTAGGTTGGCAGAAGCTGTGACAGAGCAAGGGAAGCTCACCCCATCATGGGGATTCAAACCACTGACCTTCTGATCGGCAAGCTCAAGAGGTTCAGTGGTTTAGGCCATAGCGTCACCCGTGTCCCTGAGGCAACTGATATGCACAAGGCAAAGGGTAGGGCCAGGACAGGGACCCCTCTTACATTAATGGGCCTCCCCATAGCTGCAGCAACAGGAACCCAAGAATGGCTGGGAGCTGCCATTTTAATTTCCCACAATACCACAGAGTGCCTAATGTAGTGTCATGCCTTGTAGGTAATTGAAGCTCACAAGCCTAGCTGCTCAATGTTGAGAACCCAAGGTAAGTATAAGCCCTGGTGGGTCCTTTGGGGGCACTGCGTCCCCAGCAGCTGCCCTAGGATGCCAGGGGCTGGTACCAGACCAGGGCCACATCTTCTTGTGCAGACTTGACTCTATACTTCCCTCCCTGCTAAAAAAAATCTGAACATACAAACAAAGGAAAGGCACTGCTGGATTGGATTGCTCCACACACCCCTCCCAGACAGCTGCTTATGAAGACTGAACAGCTCTGTTGGTGAGTGCATTGGAAGCACACATTTTTTTCATGCAATCATCTGGCTGCTGTTTGCTTGATAGCTTAAAAGGCAATACTTACTCATCCAGAATTAATGGTTCCCCCGTGAAGTTATTTATTCCAGATGGGCCATAGTTCCACACATGTTCCTCTGCTGCAATGTAATAGTGCCTTGCTATGGTGCTCTTCTTGGGAGAGGGGATATGGCTATTACAGTTTTTCACTTCAAAAATGGCCTGCATGCCGCCTGAAGAAAAGAAAGACAGAACACATGGCGTTAGGATACTTCAAATTCTGGGAATCTCTGCAAACAGATTGAAGACTCTTTAAAGTTAAAGGTTTGCTTCAATAAGCCCCAGGTCCATATTTCCTCGTGAAGAATCATCCTAACATGAAGCACAGTAAAAGCTATGAGCATTCACTTGCTTGTGTTGATCAGCAAGAATCTGCTGCAGCTTTCTACAACCTGGTGGTCTCCAGATTTTTTCGACTACAACTCCCAACATCCCCAGGAAGCAGCTGTGCTGGCTTAGACTAATGGGAGACGTAATCAAAAACATCTGGGAGCCACAAGATTGGAGAAGGGTGTCTTTCATGAGTTATCAGAACCTTATAATTTTATTCAGTATATCTGAGCAGCTCAGTTAAGCAAATTTGTTAGAGAAAGTGAAATGAATTGCTCCCTAGCGCAGACTTGTTTTCTCCTGTTCAATTCCCCCTGAAAGCAATGAAATATCATCAAGGCCCATCACTCTCAAGGGGACTTCCTATATTGAATTTAAAGAATGCAGTGACAAAGAGCCCCATTTGTGGAGCTTCACCTGCCAGCTGTTCCAGGCTCTGGGCAGCTGTATTGCCTGTTTTTTCCCCAAGAGGATTAAAAGCCAGAAACACCTTTTACAGGAACAGAGGCAGCAACCTTGTAAAGGACTCTGCGGGGCTGTGGATTCTGTAGACCCCTGATCCAACCCAGCTCATGGTCTGCCCAGATCTGATTATTTGCAATTTGAGTTTGATGAATTCCTTCCTGATCCCCAACCACACCCACTGCTTGCATGTGGGCCCCAGTGGGTTGGTCAAGGATGAAGCTGGCCCATTTGACAAAAAAGGGAGCCACCCCAGATTTACAGGTGTGGGAAAACTTTGGGCTTCCAGATGTTGCTGAACTACAATGCACACCAGCTCTAGCAAGCATGGCTAATGCCCAGGGATAATGGGAACCTGTAGTGCAGCAACATCTGGAAGGCCAGAGGTTCTCCAACCCTGATCTAAAGTCTCTGTCCTTTTGCCTGTCTCAATCTTATTACTTTCTTAAGGAGTGAACCCTATGCTGTGAACTCTAGGCTTCAATAGAACACACCTTTCGGAACCTTGAAAATATTTATAATTCTTTGCTATGCAAAAATAAACCCTTGGTTTGTACCTTCTATATGATCATTGACTTGACAGCTAAGCAGCCACTGCCCATCGTTCTTTGGCACCATGAGAGCATCCACGAAGGTAGCCGGGAAGAGGCTGATCGTGTCAATTCGATGGTTCCTTTCTGTCAAGACTTGCCCATGGAAATAGGCTGAATGGATATCGGCTTCATTACCCATTCCAAAAAGATACCACTTCACATTTTCTTCCGCACACATTGTGACATTGGGAAGATACCCATACATATATCCATTGATTGCTTTAAAAGAAAAAGTTAAAAGATTATTTCAAACTACCATGGTGCCCTCCCCCCAAAAACAGAGTACATTCAAATTAATATGTTAGCAATATCTATTTACGGATTGCAGCAGCACAAACTGAATTGAACCAGTGAAAGTTAATTAACCAAAGGCCTTTTTAAAAAGCCAAGTCTTCAATAACTGCCTGAAGAAACATGGTGATGGGGACCTCACTTAGGAAGGCCCTACCCCTGGTTAACACCATCCTCACCTCCTGAGACTGATGGCTTTGGAACAAATAGGCCATTCCAAAAGTATCCAGGTCTCAAACCATTCATGGCTTTAAAGATTAACACCAGCATCTTGGATTGAGCCCAAAAAAAACCTATCGCCATCAATCATGATGAGGTGGAATCAACAAAACTCTACCTCTGAAACAGGCTTTCTTTTTGCAGAACCCACTTTAGATCTAGAACATGGATGTCGTAGATTTCACTTAATTGATTATTATACCTAATATCTTGACCCCAGCCATGACATCAGAAGTTAGTGTTGTTGCACACCTGCCAATAGTTCAGAGATTTATAAGGGCCCATCACCAATCTGCCATTGCTGGTCTGGGTCTGTTAGTGGAAACTTGCAAGAGACCCACTGAACTTTGATGCCCACTCTATATCTTGTACTTGTTATTAGAATCTTCAGAGTGACTAACTTGGGGCATTTAAGCAGTCTGCCATTCAGCTATGGATCAGCTACTTAGCTTCTAAACAGGTGCCATATTTTATTTTTTTAAAAAAAACGTACAATCTAGAGTAACTCATACACCATATAGATATTTGTGTGGAGCAATATAAAAACGATTCACTATGGCAGAAACATCTATGTTCAGGGAGAGCATATCTCTTGACTGCCTGCTGCTGTGGATAACTTTCAATATCTTGCCTAAGTTGTGAATATCTATGGAACTTACTTGTAATGTTATACGCACATATACCGTATTTTTTGCTCTATAAGACTCACTTTTTCCCTCCTAAAAAGTAAGGGGAAATGTGTGTGCGTCTTATGGAGCGAATGCAGGCTGCGCAGCTATCCCAGAAGCCAGAACAGCAAGAGGGCTTGCTGCTTTCACTGCGTAGCGATCCCTCTTGCTGTTCTGGCTTCTGAGATTCAGAATATTTTTTTTCTTGTTTTCCTCCTCCCAAAACTAGGTGCGTCTTGTGGTCTGTTGCGTCTTATAGAGCAGAAAATACGGTACTTGTTGCAAAGAAGTTTCTTAAAAGAATGAAACAATTTGTTCTGAAAGGTAATCTTACAGTGCATTTTATTGCTCTCTTGGAAGTCCTCATTCCTGTCAACTTTGTCAGGTTCAGAGCAGTATTTCTTGATATTATCATTTAAGTACCAGCTGAAGTTTTCGTCTACCACAGCAAACATCAGGATGAATTCTCGGTCGACATCCTTATCTTTTCCACCCTGCAGTGTACCTAAGGAAAACAAAGGACACATTTTGCACATTTACCTGCTGAAATTCTTGTCTCCCAGCTATTTGTTACCAGAAAAATGCCCACCAGTGGTGTATGATAGAGAGGCCAACCCATTTTCTGCTACAGTGTCTGAAAATGCAGCTCTTTTGTTTTTCGCCATGTGCATGAATAGTGGGCATTCACTCAGGCGGGAAAATGCCAAGAGAGACATTTGAGGTTATTTATTTGAAATACTTTATAGCAAACCCTTCAATGTGAAATAAAAATGTTCAAGGCAGCTAACACACACACACACACACACACACACACACACACACACAACCATGTTAAAGATCATGGCTAAAACAGCAACACACCCTGAATGGATCAGCAACATCAAACAAATCTAAAATCACAAAACTAGAACTTGAGGCCATCAAATGAACTGGAATGGTGGTGGAACTAGATGGGCTTTTCTGATCAAATAAGGCTCTTTTCCAGTTCTGAGATGCAGCCTTCTGTTGTTGGATGTGATGTTGCTATTGAAAAGGAATTTCCCCCAGTGGTCACCCACTCTCTTTATCTAAAGGTCTCCAAAGACAATCTCAACATTTGGGCAAGTTCACATGGGAGTGATGCTCCTTTAGATTCCCAGATCCTAAGCTTGAAAGGTCTTGAAAGGATTAAACCAAAACCTTTGAACTGTGATCAGAAACAGACCAGCAGACAGTACAGAGCAGACCAGAAGTCAGTTGTTTAAAAACTGGTGGGATGTGTTTTAGGGTTGCCATATTTTGGAGAGCAAAAAAGAGGACACTATGACGACCATTCAAAGCAAATAAATGCAATGTGTCCCAAATTTTATTGCTGAAAAAGAGGACACATGGCAACCTGTAATGGGTTTAGGGGTTGCTTGTGCGTAAGTTGCCGCCACTCCTGGCTAGGTTACCTGGTTGAACCCTTTCTGACCGGACAGCCTCTAGCTTCGTGGCTGTCTCAGTCGCTGGCAGAATCCGTCAGTGGGCGTTTCTTGAACTTCTTCCAGCACAAAAGTTCTTTGACGCCTAGTCTCTGCCTAGTCTCCCTGCGCGGAAGCCTTCTGCGCAGGGAGGGTGTGGGCAGCGGAGGGCCCGTACTCTCTCCGCTGGTCTCCGGCGAGGAGTCTTGGAGCCTCCTCTCCGATTCCCCCATCTGCCCCCCTCCTCCACTGGTGTTACGCTGATTTCCTTCCCCAGCGGACGGGCTGCCTCTCTCCCTACTGGGACCCTCTCCGGCATCCCTCTGGAGCCTTCCCTCCGCCTCTAGCTCCGATGGCAGTTCCCTGACACAACCCTAATGCGTTTGCTGGTCAACTATCTAGGAGTGTTGTTGTTGTTGTTTTAACCAATTAAAGTTTCCTAATAGTTCAAATAATCTCTAAAGGCAACTCCTCATGCAGTGCATAGCAGCTGAGTCATCTGGAGGTTCCTACAGTATGAATAACAGTGGTCAGTCTATTGCTTTCCAGGACAGTTATGTTGGGTGCAACAGCTGATGAAATGTTTAGAAACCACACACAAACACACAAAACAGATATGGAATGACAGAGAATGATATGGAATATCAGAGAATGGAAGATGACAAACACACACACACACTGCAATTGTGAGAAAGAGGCTTGTGTAAGGTGTTCGTGTGTTTGAAGAGCCATAAGAAGAAGCAGTTTGGGGACAGAGAGAAAGAGAAGCAGGAAGAAACAGAATTGGTTGATGGCTATAGAAACATCAGAGGATGCAGGGTGACTCAGTCTGCAGATCTCATGTGAAGCAGTGGTTTCTGTTTGGCAGGAACACACATCCTGTTTGCTTCCATCTACTCTCTGCTTGTATATTCATAAATAAAGTCATGACCTTCCAGTGCTCTCTCCTTCAAAGGAAACCCAAACCTGTGTTGTATTTGCTCCTTGAAACTACTCACCTCTCAGAGAAATGAGGAGCACATGTGACTCACACAGATAAACTTCAGATAAATTCTCAAAAACACAACTCATGAACTGCAAACAGATAAGATTCTCTGACTCTCGTTTCTGGGGGGGGGGGGGGAGGGAAACAGTACTCGGTCATTTTTCATATTTCCCTTACCTTTCTTGCAAATGAGCAGAGGTCCAACAAGCCCAGAAGCAACATCCTTTGGGGCATCTATATGTGAGTGATAAATTCTGGTCACACAGTTATTATCTCCTGCTGCTGGACCATGATCTTCAGTTACCTCCCATCTATACACATACTGTTCTCCTGGTTGCACGGCATCATCTTTCTTTTGCAAACCTGAGGTGTTGTCAGGATAAAATGCACCTAGGAAATGCAACCAATAGTGAACGTGGTATTATATATCACAGTACTGGTACAAGTGCCTCTGTGTCCGGGGCAGCTGTCTACCAGCTCCATCGGGTAAGCCGGCTGAGACCCTACCTGCCCGCAGACTGTCTCGCCAGAGTGGTGCATGCTCTGGTTATCTCCTGCTTGGACTACTGCAATGCACTCTATGTGGGGCTACCTTTGAAGGTACAATTAATCCAGAATGTGGCAGCTTGACTGGTGACTCGGAGTGGCCGCTGGAGACCATATAACACTGGTCCTAAAAGACCTACATTGGCTCCCAGTACGTTTCCGAGCACAATTCAAAGTGTTGGTGCAGACCTTTAAAGCCACTTCACTAACATATGCAGTTTGAGTCCACTTGCCCCTAATATATGCCTGTTTGCGTACATTTCTTGGTTGCAGAATTGTATTGCAAAATAATAATAATATAATAAGAATTTGTTATTTATACCCCGCCCATCTGGCTGGGTTTCTCCAGCCACTCTGGGCAGCTTCCAGCAGAATATTAAATACATGATAAAACATCAAACATTAAAAACTTCCCTAAACAGGGCTGCCTTCAGATGTCTTCTAAAAGTCAGATAGTTGTTTATTTCTTTGACATCTGATGGGAGGGCATTCCACAGAGCGGGCACCACTACTGAGAAGGCCTTCTGCCTGGTTCCCTGTAACCTCACTTCTCACAGTGAGGGAACCGCCAGAAGGCCCTTGGCGCTGGACCTCAGTGTCAGGGCTGAATGGTGGGGATGGAGACGCTCCTTCAGGTATGCTGGGCCAAGGCCATTTAGGGCTTTCAAGGTCAGCATCAACATTTTCAATTGTGCTCAGAAATGTACTGGGAGACAGCTGCCCCTCAGTTCACATACTTATTTGTAGCCAATTAAGTTCAACCAATTGCAAGTATTGGACCTAAGGTAGTCATGTCCATTAATTTTGGTGGGTCTCCTCTGAGTATGACTATCATTGGGCACAATCCATTAGCTAGGGAAATGCAGTTTAGGACTCATTCACATTTCCTTTTGTGCCATGTTTCTAGACACAGGTTCAGATTTGGCACAATTACTCTATTCCGAACTTAAAAATGGAAAGCGAAATGCCGTTGGTCAACAAAAAGGGATTAAAGACTGTCTCAAGGCAAATCTTTAAAAATGTAGTTTAAACACTGACAACTGGGAAACACTGGCCTGCGAGCGCTCCAGTTGGAGAACAGCCTTTACCAAAGGTGTCATGGACTTTGAAGACACTTAAACTCAGGACGCAAGGGAGAAACGTGCTAGGAGGAAGGCACACTTGGCAAATCCTTACTGTGATCAACTCCCGCCCGGAAACCAATGTCCCCACTGTGGAAGGACGTGTGGATCCAGAATTGGCCTCCACAGTCACTTACGGACTCATTGTTAAAACCATGTTTATGGAAGACAATCTTACTCGGCTACGAGTGATCACCAAAGAAGAAGACAGATTTGAGTGGTGGGGGTTTTTTGTCCCATTGCTTTCCCTGGGAAAACAAACATTTTACTGATGAATCGGAACAAACAGCAATTGGGTTTTCTGCAGATTGGCATTCGCTCTGATCCAGGGGTATAATCCGGGTTTCCCTGGGGAAAGCTCTGGAGGAAAAAAGAACTGCTCAGACACAGACTTGGGAAACTCAGAATTTTGCCTAGAAAGCACAGAGCAAAGTTAAGTGTGGCTGAGCAGGTTGGGATTAAAATGTGAAGCAAACGAATTTCTCCCGCATCTCAAAATTGAAGGTGTTTGGGGGGGCAGATTTCCTAGTTGCAGAAAAAGAACCCTACACCCATAGGTAAGGTAAAAGGTAAAGGACCCCTGGACAGTTAAGTCCAGTCAAAGACAACTATAGGGTTGTGGCGCTCTTCTTGCTTTCAGGCCGAGGGAGCCGGCTTTTGTCCACAGACAGCTTTCCTGGTCATGTGTCCAGCATGACTAAACCACTACTGGTGCACAGAGGACTGTGATGGAAACCAGAGCGAACGGAAACACCGTTTACCTTCCTGCCACAGCAATACCTATTTATCTACTTGCATTGGCATGCTTTCGAACTGCTGGGTTGACAGGAGCTGGGACAGAGTAACGGGAGCTCACCCCATCACGGGGATTTGAACCGCTGACCTTCTCATCGGCAAGCCCAAGAGGCTCAGTGGTTTAGACCACAGCGCTACCCGCATCCTATCCTACACCCATAGGGTTGTATGCCTGTGGGGAGTTGGATCGAGTCAGACATTAATATCAGCACAAAAATGTCAGAGGTGCAGCTGCCCCCTCAGTCTTGCCAACTATACTAGATTTGTCCAGTTGATTTACCCAGTCAGTTGGCTACCCTGACTGTAATTCAAGGTGTTCCTCACAGCAGTGGGTGGGTGTCTACAGGCATAATGATGCAATTCTGTTACAAAACAGGAAAGGTATGGAATCAGTTGGTATTCCTGAAGACTGTTGAAACACGAATGGAAGTTTACCTTCGTTTTCTTTTGTGTATTTGACACCATGGGGGTGGAGTGTGTAGGCCCTTGTCGCAAAATTCTTTACATGGATGATGAGTGTGTCTCCAACTTCTGCTTTAAGAATGGGACCCAGGAAGCCCAGCCACGGTGGTTTTGCAATAATATGGCTGTATGAGTTGTCTGTGAACTGCATGTACACAGCTTTTTTGTATGTGCTTCCTATCCGGTCTGGGCCTTGTTGGAGAAAGACAGCAGCTTGCCTAAAGGATCAACACACAACCATGTTAGCGTAAGTCCTTTAACAAAATACTGGGTACACTGGGATAGCTCAGTCAGTAGAACATGAGACTCTTAAGCTCAGGGTTGTGGGGTTTTGCCCCACACTGGGCAAAAGATCCCTGCATTGCAGGGGGTCGTCCCCTCCACCTCTACAATTCTGTGGTCCTATGATTACTGCTTCTGCACAGCATATGTTTTGTCTCAAATTAACTATTATTATCATTCCTTCTATTTCCGAAGTTCGGAGGTGAGTGCCATTGCTTACATAGACAAAATGGCGTCATCCATGCACAAGGGGGAGATGTCATCTGGCTTGAGTAAATCCCAAGATTTACAGAGGTACAAGATGTTAAAAACAGCTAATTATATCAATAAATAATGATAATTAGAGCACCAGTCCTGGCCTGACTGCACTGGCTGCCAATTGGTTTCCGGGCCCAATTCAACGTGATGATTTTGACCTATAAAGCCTTAAATGGCTCAGGACCGCAATATCTCAAGGACCGCCTCTCCTCATATGAACTGAGACGGACCCTGTGATCATCATCTGAGGCCCTTCTTCATGTGCCTGCTCCATGAGAAGGTGGCAACATGAGAATGGGCTTTTTTCAGCAGGGTGCAGCAACAGAGGAGACCCACTGAAATGTCAACACACATTTGGCAAACTCCCCATCCAAGCTTCCCCACCTAGGACTGGTTGCCAATGTGCAACGGGTAGTTTCTCCTTGTTGGGTTTTTCTCTGCAAGGAGGAGATTTCCAAAGGAGACCAGTGTTGCTGCAAAGGCTCAGGCTATGAGCCTGTTTACAGGAAGCTCTGTGGGTCACAAATTAAATCGGATGTGCATGTCATGGCTCTCCTTGGACTGTCCAAATAATTCATATTTAATTGGAAGGTCTCCTTCTCTTCCTCTGCAAAGATAATAGCTTTCATTAAAACTCCACCTCATAGCTAAGATTCCTGAGGGCTAAAGGGTTTAAGTAGAGGTTAAAAGTGAAACGTCAAGCGTCATAGACCAAAAGCAACCCCACAGTGCAACTTCGCTGTTCTCAGTGAATTTACACCAAGAAAGAAATTGGACCCTATGCCTCTGTGCTTTGTCAGAGAGCTAATAGAGTTGCCGACACACCACGGCAGTGAAGGTCTGTTGTATGTCTCTTGTTGGTGTCGCCCAGCCTTTTCCCTTTGCTTTGCTCTTCAGAAATACTCTGTGTGTCTGGTTATTGCTAGCCCCTGAGAGGCACTGTGTTTCTCAGTCCTTTAAATTTCTTTCCTCATTCTTGCCCAGCTGCTTTCAACAAAGACAAGGAGACTGGTGTTGGTAAGATGCCTAGATTAAGCAAAGGGAGGGGCAAAGGCCAGGATCAGCTTTGTTGATTTTGAGTGCTCATTGTGTCATGTCATTGTCCTCAAACGCCTCTTTTGCATCTCACATGAGAGCCCTTGAGAAAGGATTAACAGATTTTTCTCTTTGACCATCTTCTGCTTTTGCTTCCTGTTTCAACGCTTCTCCAGCAGAGATTGCCATCTCTGCATTTCCACATCAGTCTCGAACACAGAACCCGTGGCCACAACCTCACTTCTTATCAAACCACTCCTCTCTCCTCAGAATGTCTGTTTGTTTATAATTGGTTTATTTTAAACCACAAGAACCACTGCACACAATGGGGCATGCATCTGAGTAGACATGAATAGGATTGCAGTGTAAAAATAACTCTAAATTAATTTAGATGTATAGACTGTCTCACCACAACATTTTGGGGTGCCTCCAGAGCGCCAGTATTTTGTGGGAGGGAATCAAAACTCAGAGGGAAACTTTAGATTCATGCAGTGACGGCAGCTTAAAAGGATCTGTCAGCTTTAAGAAAATATTTGGACCGTTTATGATTTGGAAAGTGACAGTGAAATGCATTGAAAAGTGTGAGGTGGAGGTAGGGCTGTCTTAAGCTTATGCGGTGCTGGGGTGCAAAGATCCGCCCAGCGCCCCCCCCCAGGTTGCCCAGTCCCAGGTGCGCAGGAGGGCGGAGCCAGCCGGTCGCCTCAGCGCCTCACTGTCTCGGTCACTCCCAAACTCGCAGCTCAGAACCGCCCACAACAGAAGAGTCCGCCGCAGCACTCCAACCGACAGGCGGGCTCTTCCCCGGACTCAACTCTCAGGCCCCAGACTCTCGGCCTGGAGCCCCTGAGAGCCTGGCACCCAGGTGCCCTGCGCCCCTAGTGCCTATGGGTAAGGTGGCCCTGGGTGGAGGAATTGCCCACATGAACACATATAAACATATCACAAGCAAATCAGGATGGGTGCAGGAGGTTCAGTGTTGTATAACCACCGCACAAACAAATCAGAACAAGCGCTCAGTAGACACAGGATATTAGCTAAACTCCTCATAAGCCAAGTAAATTAAGCTGAACGCTCAGGCTGGTTGGAGGAGAACATAAGATGACCCTACTGAATCATCTAGTCCAAGATCCTGTTCTCACAGTAGCCAGCCAGACGCCTGTGGGAAGCCTACAAGCAGTAACTGAGCACAAAGAGCACTCTCCCCTCCTGTGGTATTCAGAAGTATTATTGCCTCTGGAGGCAGAGCATAGACATCATGGCTAGTGGCCTTCGACATCCCTCTTCTCCATGAATTTGTCTATTCCTCTTTTAAAGCCACCTAGGTTAGTGGCCATCGCTGCATTCCTGTAGGAACCGCATGAGCCACTTTTCCTTTCCATACAAATCAACTTTTTTTCTTAAGTAGTCCTTAAGCAGCCAGTATACTTCGATAGAAGCAAATCTGTACAGTGGTACCTCGGGTTACAGACGCTTCAGGTTAAAGCATAGCTGTCAAGTGTCCCTTATTTGAAAGGACAGTCCCTTATTCCAGCGCCATGTCCTGCTGCTGTCCCTTATTGATAGATGTCCCTTAAATGTCCCTTAAATGATGTCCCTTAAATTTCAAAGGAAGCAGCTCCTCTCCCTCCCTCTCTACCGGCCAGGGAGGAGGAAGGCTCCAACTGTGTTGCTTGGCTGTGTTGCTCACCCAATAAGAAGTCTAAGAACGACTGGGGGGTGGAGCTTGCATGCCTTATGTGTGGCTAGTTAATGCAAGCTGAGGGGTTTTTTGAATGCTGGACGCCATTTTGTTGCATGTGCTGCTGCAAACTTTACAGTGCAAAGCCAGGCCGGGGAGCCATCTTAAGTTGAGGTTGCATAGGCCTTGTGGTGCATGTGATTCAGATTCTATTCAGTTGAACCTCTGGTTACAAAGTTGGTTGGACAGTGTTCTCGAAGCTACCAGCATGAGTTTGACCAGACTGCAGATGGACAGGAAGACTGGAGTGCCTGGAACAGGTGAGGCTGCAGGTCCCTTATTTTGGCTGCTGGTCCCTTATTTTCAAGGCTGCTGGTCCCTTATTTTCAAATCTGTAAATTGACAGCTATGGGTTAAAGACTCCGCTAACCCAGAAGTAGTACCTCAGGATAAGAACTTTGCTTCAGGATGAGAACAGAAATCATGTAGCGGCAGCGGGAGGCCCCATTAGCTAAAGTGGTACCTCAGGTTAAGAACAGTTTCAGGTTAAGAACAGACCTCCAGAACAAATTAAGTTCTTAACCCAAGGTACCACTGTATACTAATGTGACAATAAAGAAAAGAAGCCACGTATACAATTTTTGCAGGCATAGCTTGAACAAAACTGCATCGGCTGAAATTTGTTGTTGCAAGTACCAGAGTCTCATCCTTCTTTGCATCAGGCTGTACTACAACATGCATTTACTGAGCACCCATTAAAATCAACAGAGATAAATCGTCTATACTAAAAGGTGAAAGCTTGTTTTCAATACAGTTAGCCCAAAGCGAGTATCACTTACTCATCTTCTGAAAACGGATTTCCAGATATGATGTTCTTTGTCCCGGGAGCATAATTCCAATCCGTTTCTGTAATCCCAATGTAATATTCCCTATCTGCTGCCCAGGCCTGTAAGAAGCAGCAAGCCAGCAAGTGGCTTAGTACGAACAGCTCCATTTTCTATTGCTGCCGGTGTAATAGAAGATCGTGTTCCCTTTATAAGATCAGGATTTCCCCTACGCACCCGCCCCCATGGTTGCTGTTGCATAGTTCAGTAGACTAAAAGATTGCACAATGCTTGCTAGAATAAACAGCCAGATTTGATGCCAGTAACTCGGGCAACTGACGGATTAGTATTTTTAGAAAAACTTCCTTTTGATTTCAGCCAACCTCCTTCAAATGCAAATAAGACCTTCTGTAAAAGAAACTTTCCCCCATCAAAAGGGTTTAAAGGATTAAAGCTCCCCGTGAATTTTTTTTGGAGTTTCCCCGGTGTGAAAGCAATGCCCATCTACTTTCTTGGACATGGTCCTAGTGGATTTCCCTGCATTCCACGACATAAGGTTTCAAGCAGCGAGACAGTGACGTGGATTCCATGTGGTCAGTATTATTAAAGTTGTCAAATTTCGAAAGAGGTCTCCTTTTCTTTTTCTTTATTCACCCTAGTAAGTACTGAGGGATTTTACAAATGGTTTGTTCGACATTCATGCTTGTTTGGTCTTCCTCATTGCTCATCCAGTTGATAAAGTCCATATAAATTTAGCAGCCTGATAGCAGAGTGCCAAAGACTAAATTCAGTGCCTTTTAGTATAGGAAGAGTCATGCGCAATTTTAAGAATGACTAGTTTTTTATGCACGCAGATGAATCTGTCTATTCAGTCAATTCCGCTACTCTCTCCAAATTTTATCTGTTAAAAAGATTGATACATCACAGAATAGGGAAATAATTTTAGGAAGCACAGACATTTTAATTATATTTATTAAATTATATTTATCCCTTCCAGGTTTCAAGTCAGACCAACATTTCCTGCCTGATTTTTTTCACTCCACCCAAGGCCTTCTTTTTATCTAACCATGTGGTTACTTATTAGGTATGGAATGCAAAGAGGATCTAACAGTCTATCATCAACCACTCAGTAGTGGTGCCCTCCCTGTAGAACGCCCTCCTTTCAGATGTCAAGGAGATAAAGAACTACATAACTTTTATTCGTCATCTGAAGGCAGCCCTGTATCAGGAGGTAAGCAATGACAAACCTAGACAGCATCTTAAAAAGTAGAGACATCACCTTGCCAACAAAGGTCCGTATAGTAAAAGCCATGGTTTTCCCAGTAGTGATGTATGGAAGTGAGAGCTGGACCATAAAGAAGGCTGATCGCCAAAGAATTGATGCTTTTGAATTATGGTGCTGGAGGAGACTCTTGAGAGTCCCATGGACTGCCAGAAGATCAAACCTATCCATTCTTAAGGAAATCAGCCCTGAGTGCTCACTGCAAGGACAGATTGTGAAGCTGAGACTCCAATATTTTGGCCACCTCATGAGAAGAGAAGACTCCCTGGAAAAGACCCTGATGTTGGGAAAGATGGAGGGCACAAGGAGAAGGGGACGACAGAGGACGAGATGGTTGAACAGTGTTCTCGAAGCTATCAGCATGAGTTTGACCAAACTGCGGGAGGCAGTGGAAGACAGAAGTGCCTGGCGTGCTCTGTGTTAGTTTATTCAGCTCCTGCCCATCTGGAGCTGATATGGCTCATTTTGTCCTGAGCCCAGCAGAGTGTAATCTCGTAGTCCGCAATGAAAGGATGAGGAAGGTATGGCTACATTGCTATTTTATTTCGCTATACCGAGAAACACACAAATGTACATCTTGCCTCTGTGAGAGCAGAGAGCAACTCTCTCAACAAAGAAACGACAGAACAAAGAAACAGGAAACCAGTGTACGTCACATCCAGTCTCCCTTACCCGTGGGAACCCAACAGTAACTTGAACTGTGGAATGAAAACATAGTCTTGTGACTACCAGCTGCAGCTCAGTGAGGGTAGCAGAAACCAACACTCTGGTCCATGGGGTCATGAAGAGTCGGACACGACTAAACGACTAAACAACAACAACATTGTTTGATGTTTTAATATGGGCTAGGGTGCTAGGGGAGGGACCTTCTGGTTGCATGGGAAAGGACGGATTGGAAAACTTTCCTTCTGTGAACTTCCTTAGGTGATCTTGCAGTACAATCCCAACACCCTGATCTTTGCTGTTGAAGGGGGTAGGATAAGGACTCCACTGCAGAAACCCCATCTGCACAGAGTGAGAGAAGAAGCTTCTGGGAGTGGTAAGTCCCCATATGGGGCATTTGGGGTTGGGGCCAGCAGTTTGGATCTGCTGATCCCTCAAGATCATCCTCGGAGTTCTCATTTGCAGCCACCTGGACCTGGAACTGGCACGGCAAAAAGTAAAACAAACAGCATCCCTACCTTCTGCCCTGGTTAGCACAAGGGGCAGGGCTTCAGATGTCGCAATGTGTCCAGCCAGATGTTAGGATTGCTCTGCCCAGATCCAAACCCATGTCTCAAAATAACAGTTTGCTGAAAATAATGTCTGCATGATCCAAATGACATTTTCAGTGGTTTCTGCTCTCTTCCTATAGCTGCATAACTGGGTTTGTGTGGATTGCCATAATCAACTGGCCTGCTGCAAAGATGTTGTTGTTGTTTAGTCGTTTAGTCGTATAGTCGTGTCCGACTCTTCGTGACCTCATGGACCAGAGCACGCCAGGCACTCCTGTCTTCCACTGCCTCCCGCAGTTTGGTCAAACTCTTGCTGGTAGCTTCGAGAACACTGTCCAGCCATCTCGTCCTCTGTCGTCCCCTTCTCCTTGTGCCCTCCATCTTTTCCAACATCAGGGTCTTTTCCAGGGAGTCTTCTCTTCTCATGAGGTGGCCAAAGTATTGGAGCCTCAGCTTCACGATCTATCCTTGCAGTGAGCACTCAGGGCTCATTTCCTTAAGAAGGGATAGGTTTGATCTTCTTGCAGTCCATGGGACTCTCAAGAGTCTCCTCCAGCACCATAATTCAAAAGCATCAATTCTTCGGCGATCAGCCTTCTTTACGGTCCAGCTCTCACTTCCATACATCACTACTGGGAAAACCATGGCTTTAACTATATGGACCTTTGTTGGCAAGGTGATGTCTCTGCTCTGCTGCAAAGATATCTGAAGCTTTTAGATAGCTGACATAAGACTATAAGAAGAGGCCTCTGCTGGATCAGGCCAAAGGCTCATCTAGTCTAGCAGCTTGTTCTCATGATGGCCAATGAGATGCCTATGAAAGGCATATTTTCACTGGGGACATACTGATCCTGTTGACTGCATAAAACGCCCTTTTCAAAAACAGCATCTGCCTAAATTAGCTCACAGAACATCTTGAACTTCATGTAATAGCTTATAGCTTATTCTGATATATGGCTTCATCTTTTGTTTTAGAATTGACCACAGAACAATACAGTTGGCCTAATCTGGGTTTTCTATTTTAAAAAACACACGTTTAAAGGCACTATTAATATGTGTTTCCTGCAATGTAAGAACATGTGCTTTTTCCTTCTGTAATTTGACAAGAAAAATTGTGCTTAATTGCTTCATTAAGTTCATTTGCATTCACTGAAATGCAATTAATAAAAGTCTTATTAAATTTTACAAGCCATTGTGCAGGAAACAAAAAGAAGGATATGCAATTAATCCCAGAATTAGGTTTACACAGTAGGATTGCTATTATTGAGTTTTTATTACAGTAGTTTGTAAAACTTCGCCTATGACTAATGTGTGTAGGTTCATTATTAGAACTAAAATTCCCTACAGGCAAAGCATGTCAAGATTAGGGTCCTGATGCCCCCAAGCGCTATGATTCTCCAGCAGTTTGATTTCAAACCCGGTGACACTCCATTGTCTCTCAAGGCAGACAGATGCCAAGAATACATATGGTCAAAAGTTCTGCTTCAACCTTAGCTAAGCCACTTCCTTTATGCATATATTAGTGTCTGGTTTTTCTTATTTAGCTTCTACTGCTTTTTGTATTTGCTTTATTTCAGTTAGATATTAGCAATTTCATCCAATTTTGCTCTCAGTTGACTTTCAGTAGCAATACCATTTCTAGGGAGAGGAAAATTTATGAAATATAGGGGGTAAAGACAGATAAGATACAGACTGAATCAAGCCACACTCTGCATTGCTTTATTTGATAACCAGAATCTTGAAATAAAGTGGCTCAGTTTCAAAATATGGCTGTGCACTCAGTTATCGTCTGTAAACAACTCTTCGAAGTCTGTCGTTATAGTCAAATAATTTTTTCGCTGTGGCTGTTGAGATGTCTCTTCCATGCTTACCCAAGCTAATGCCTAAACAAAAACTGATGTTTTCCGCCTTCCTGTCCCCCCCCCAATCCCCTGCCCCTGAAGCCTGAGACAAAGAAGCCATTCACTAAACAGAGGCTGTGAAATTCTGAAAGTCTTTTTCTTTCTTTTATTTTTGTTTCTTGGACACAAATTGGAAATGTGACCTTGCTTCTCCCCGCCTCCCCAAATAATTGCTAATGTAAAGTTTCAGAGCTAGGAATCCTAACGATAAAGGCACTGGTCAATTAAGCAGGCGCTCCACTTCACTCTGCCACTTAAAACTAATGATAGGCGTCGCCTCCATAGGGCAACAAGTTGGGGGAATGACAAGAGATCGGTCAGCAGAGAAAATATCTAGGTCAATTTAGAGCGCTGTGTGAGTGTAACTTGAGAAAAGAGCACTGAGCCTGCAGTGAAATGATATGTGGAATGTGAGCAAATGCCAGTGTGGTGTAGTGGTTAAGAGCAGTGGACTCGTAATCTGGGGAACCGGGTTCGCGTCTCCGCTCCTCCACATGCAGCTGCTGGGTGACCTTGGGCTAGTCACACTTTTCTGAAGTCTCTCAGCCCCACTCACCTCACAGAGTGTTTGTTGTGGGGGAGGAAGGGAAAGGAGAATGTTAGCCGCTTTGAGACTCCTTCAGGTAGTGATAAAGCGGGATATCAAATCCAAACTCCTCCACTGAAGTACATTTCAACTGTGAGCGTTTTTTAAAAGAATGCCTGAGCAAAGTATTGAATAATTGTGCTATGTTAATCACGTTTAACAAATGCATGGAAAGCTGATCAGCTTAAGGAAAGGTTAGCAGTACAAATACTTGTACGATTTTCTAGCAGTGCTTTTTTTGTTCATGGGTTTAAAGGAGAGGGGAAAAAACCAGAGCTAAGACTGAATGAAGGTAATAAATAAAGCTCACCCGACATTCATGCTTCAATTCATGTTGGGCGTAGGGTATGACGGCTTGAGGGCATCTTTCCAGAAGTTTGTCAATGGATCTCTCATACTGCCCTAACCGAGTATCGCAAAGAATGTGGATGCTCAGGCCAGGAAGAGTCTCTTCTGGAAGGGCCTCCAACAGTGGCAGAATGGAAGGTATATTGAAGTATGAACTACATAAGAGAGACTGAAGGGTAGGGGCAGAAACTTTGAGACTCCTTAAGGGGAGTGAAAGGCGGGATATCAAATCCAAACTCCTCCTCCTCCTCTTCTTCTTCTTCTTCTTCTTCTTCTTCTTCTTCTTCTTACTAGGCAGCATTTGTGAGGGGGTGGGAGGCTTATTCTCCCCCCCCCCATCCCACTGCAGCAGCCTCCCTCTCCTCTGCTTTTTGCCTTGGCACCTGCAGCAATTTTTTCTTTAAAAAGAGCCACTCCTTAGAATTATACGGAACCACAAGGCCCATCTCGTCCAACCCCTTGCAATGCAGGAATATTTTGCCCAACGGGGGGCTCAAACCCATGACACTGAGAATAAGTGTCTTGTGCTCTACTGACTGAGCTATCCACCAATTCTCCAGCAAAATAGCAAACCAGTTTGACTACCCAGGAAAATCGAACCCTATGCCACTCACCACCAATGGGGTGGCTGAGCGAGATGCAGTCAGTTTGATGCAGCCCCAAAGTGAACATAACCTCAACAGGACATAATTTCTCAGAAAGTTTCCTATACAGTGGTACCTCAGGTTACATACGCTTCAGGTTACAGACTCCGCTAACCCAGAAATAGTACCTCGGGTTAAGAACTTTGCTTCAGGATGAAAACAGAAATCATGTTCCTGCGGCACGGCAGCAGAAGGCCCCATTAGCTAAAGTGGTGGTTCAGGTTAAGAACAGTTTCAGGTTAAGAACGGACCTCCAGAACGAATTAAGTTCTTAACCCGAGGTACCTCTGTACAGGGTATCTTTGGCACCCTTTTGCAGCTCTCTCTCTCAATCTGTCTCTCTCTCTGCTGACTTGGATCCATATATAATTCACATATAAGGCCGATCTGATGGAGTCGCCATGTAAATATTCTGTTGCACTTCCTCTTCAGTTATTTCAGCAAGTGTCCCTCAAGTTAAGTTGATATTTCACTCCAAGAGCACAGCACACTTGCGCTTCCTGTTGCCTGACCGAAAGTCCACTTGTATATGCAAATACAAAGGGGCGCTTGAAAGGTAAACAGATTAGAAAAGGAGGAGGAAGGGATGAAAACAGGGAGCAAGAACATGTGGATATGCCAAACATTGCACACCTGCAAAGAAGGGTGTGCCGCATCATAAATCACATGCTGGGGAAATAGGGAGTTGAACCCCATGTAACATATAAATATTTAGTTTGTTTCATACAGGCTTCTTCAAGGGCAAGTGTCTAAATGAATCTGGTTGTAGAATGTGACATTATATCCATAGATTTCTGAATGCATTCACTACAGGTTTGTGTCACTTTTTTTTAAAGTAATGAGTTTATCACGGCAGAAAAGGGGGGAAAATGTACTTTGAGTATACGGTATTGTTGCTGTCTGGATGGTTTTTTTTTCTTGTTTGGGGTTCTTTTCTTTGTGTTGTTAATTGATAATTTCATGTATCAATATTTTGAAAGGGAATAAAAATAATGATTAAGGCATGGAAATGTCCGTGTGTGTATAAAAAAGGAATGCAGCAAAACAGAAGGAGCACTCCAAGACATTATCAAGTAAGTCAAAAGGTGTGATCAAAGACATGATGACATGCTAGCGTCTGTGCTTCTTTTCTCATGAATGTTAGATCAGTGCAGGCTGTGGGAAAGAACAGAAAGAGGTCAAATTTTAACTTACAAGTTAAACCAGAACTTGGAAGTTTTCACTTATATCCTATGCAGCTTCGCAGACAAGCGCTATTTATTCATTTACCATACTTACCATATTCATAAAAGGTAAAGGTAAAGCTACCCCTGCCCGTACGGGCCAGTCATGTCCGACTCTAGGGTTGTGCGCTCATCTCACTTAAGAGGCCAGGAGCCAGCGCTGTCCGAAGACACTTCCGGGTCACGTGGCCAGCGTGATGAAGCTGCTCTGGCGAGCCAGCACCAGCGCAGCACACGGAAACGCCGTTTACCTTCCCACTATAAAGCGATACCTATTTATCTACTTGCACTTAGGGGTACTTTCGAACTGCTAGGTGGGCAGGAGCTGGGACCGAATGATGGGAGCTCACCCCGCCGCGGGGATTCGAACCGCCGACCATATGATTGGCAAGTCCTAGGCACTGAGGTTTTACCCACAGCGCCACCCGCGACCATATTCATAGCCCTGCCTATACCACAGAGCCTATACCACAAAGCCAATCAGAAGGTCAGCAGTTCGAATCCCCGCAATGGGGTGAGCTCCCGTTGCTCGGTCCCTGCTCCTGCCCACCTAGCAGTTCGAAAGCACCTCAAAGTGCAAGTAGATAAATAGGTACCGCTCCGGCGGGAAGGTAAACGGCGTTTCCGTGCGCTGCTCTGGTTCACCAGAAGCGGCTTAGTCATGCTGGCCACATGACCCGGAAGCTGTACGCCGGCTCCCTCGGCCAGTAAAGCGAAATGAGCGCCGCAACCCCAGAGTCGTCCACGACTGGACCTAACAGTCAGGGGTCCCTTTACCTTTACCTTTATACCCAAATATTCCAGGGCAGAAATGCATAGTGGGAGCAGTGCTTTTTTCCCCAGGGGGTACTCAAGACTAGGGGGTACCTAGTTTCTGGCACCTCTTTTTTTTTGTCAAAAAGTGTGGCACTTAATGTAACAACTTCATAGTGAGTACCGGCACCTACTTTTATACAAAAGGAAGCACTGGGTGGAACTCAAATCCTTCACAGAAGAGCATTTAGCCATAGAGCTATGACTATAAGAACGGGTTTGTTTCTTTGCTGTTTTTTAAAGCAGCTTCTCTTACCTGAACAAAGACAGAATAGGTCCCACAAAGTATCCTCTTTAGCTCCGCAATCACTTTCAGAAAGCAGATCAACATTTGGAGGCCGCTAAGAGCTATCAGAATAGAAAACAAAATGATGTTCCACTCCACTACATAGGCAGGTTCGGAGCATTCGGACCAGGAGGCATGATCCGTGAGGTAGCTATCAGAGAAACAGCAGCATAAAGAAGTTAGAAGCTATTATTGTAGATTTACCTCAAGGCCTGTCGAGTTTGGCAGGCAGGGGAAGTTTCAGTCCCCATTCAGAGCTATAGCCACATGACTCCTCATCTTCTCATCCATCTTTGAGGCTATTTCAAAGAAGGAAACTGAGCCAGACTTCCTTTTCTAAATCTAACCATGCTTCTAGCCCTGTGAACTAGCCATGGTGACAATACTGCTTCCTTCCGCCTCAGTTCCTCTCCCAAATATGGCTCCTGTGAAACATGTTGCCTTTGTCCCCTGCATTTCTGGAGCTGCTTTCTAGAGATGTGAGGGATGTTACTCCCCATTAGAGTTTCTGCATCAATAGTGGGTGGTCAGGGCCAGCCCTTGCATTAGGCAGAATGTGGGCAATTGCCTAAGGTGGCAGTTGCTGGGGAGTCAATCTGCTCTGTTGGAGATCAGAGCTATGTGTGGTACAGGCTTGGCCTACACTCCTCAAACTAGCCTGCTGATCTCAGGTGCACTGGAAGTCATTATCCCATTGCTGGTGATGAAGTAGGATTCAACTACCAGCTTTTGTCCATGGGAAGGGAGGTACCATCTTCTCCTTTGCCTCAGGCAGCCAGACGTCTTGCGCTGGCTCTGTGGATGGGCTACCAGGGACAGAAGTGTCCCCATTGTAATGTTGCCTCAAAGCACAGTTTCTCCCCATGTGACCAGATAGCAGCCATTCATTTCTATGGGAAGACATGCAGGCATGCACTAAGGGCACCATTAGTGCATGGGCTAAACCCCCACATGCACTGAAGGAGAAGTAGGTTTTGCCTTTTCAGATTGTTTTCACCTCATTCCATCAAACTCCATGGGACATACTGAAAACTAACCTGGATCCTAACTGCAGGCCCCTACACCTCGTGCAAAGGCATCAGCATTTTACTGCGAATTTCTACTAAGATACACGTTTTTGCAAGCAATTTGCCCTAGTAGAAGGCATATTCCTTTGTTACTTTTACTAATATATATGCACATTTGACTCTATATTTCAAAAGATGGGTGTTTGGATTTGATATCCTGCTTTATCACTACCCGAAGGAGTCTCAAAGCGGCTAACATTCTCCTTTCCCTTCCTCCCCCACAACAAACACTCTGTGAGGTGAGTGAGGCTGAGAGACTTCAGAGAAGTGTGACTGGCCCAAGGTCACCCAGCAGCTGCATGTGGAGGAGTGGGGAATCGAACCCGGTTCACCAGATTATGAGTCTACCGCTCTTAACCACTACACCACACTGGCTCTCTCTGTGTTTTGGTCTGGTGTTTTGGGGGCTGGTTCAAAGCTGCCCCTAGAGACAGCAATCTTTCTTTCTTTCTTACCGGCCTGCAGTGTCTTTGAAGGCATACTCCCAGCCAGCGGAGGTTCTGCAGTATGGGCCCTGCACTAAACCCAAAGTAGATATGATCAGGCTGTATCCAGAGAACGCGATGCCTAGCAGGGCAAGCACAACTGAAATGAAGCGCTGCATTAAAGAGAGCACAGTGTTATCTTTATGACAGTGAAGGAATTCCATTGCTTCAGTTTCCTGATAAAAGTGTGTGTGTTTTTTCTACCCAATGTTTAGATGAACTCAGCATAGAAAGTGTTCCGTAACTTAAAGAGCCGGGGGGGGGGGGAGAAAAATAGCAATAATCTTTAGCACAGATTAGAATGAATGTTGTTGGCAGGCAATGTCTCAAAATAGCATAATCTGTTATAAGAACACACTTCTACCTTGTTGGAACTGGTGGGAAAATGCTATTACTACAATAGAAGCAAGCTGCAAGAAAGGGAGCATTGTCTGAACAAAGTTTGCTGGGGCGGGGAGTTACGCTGATAGCCTTTGTAATAAAAATTTTAAGGTCTTATAATATATACAGTCATACCTTGGGTTAGATGTGCTTCAGGTTGAGTGTTTTCAAGTTATGCTCCGCGGCAACCCGGAAGTAACGGAGAGCATTACTTCCGCGTTACACTGCTCGCACATGCGCAGACGCTCAAAATGACGTCACGCGCATGCGCGGAAGCGGCAAAACGCGCAGACGCACAGTCACGTCTTACGTTTTACTCAGGATGCGAATGGGGCTCCAGAACGGATCCCGTTCGCATCCAGAGGTACCACTGTAATAAGTGTTCATAAATGTACCAACCAAGCACGTACATAGATATGTGGACCACATGTCTGGAGCAGCACAGGAAGACTGTCCTGAAACCGTTTTGACTCCCAGACTGACCAAATGTTTTCTCTGCAAGGAGGGAGGGGGTGAGGGAACCTTCTCATTGCCTCAGGAATTGGGTAATCACCATCTCAAAGGAATGGCCAGACTACCAGGAAAGGCATTATTAGTTAACCTGGCAGACAAGAAAAACAACAACATTCAAATTTCTGTTGTAGACCGCCTTTTCTATGACGTAGGTATAATGTTTGTGGGGGGTGGTCTTGGGTTACACCCCTTCTGTGGTGTATGTATGGAGGGGTGGTCTTGAGCTCCAGGGCAGGGAATTTAAAATGTCTATATAAGGGCAGGCACACCTTTGTTCTGGGTCCTCCTCCTTTCCTGCGTGTGAGGAGAGCACCCTGTTGCAACAGCTTTAATAAAAATCAGGCTTACTAGCTGCTTTGCTTCTCAATATTCTCTGGTTGGCCTCTGTTATTTTCTCCTACCGATGGAGAACCTATAAAGGGCTCTTGTGTACCCCATAAGGGAATAAGGGCAGATTTTGTTTGCAACACTTGTCAGTTGGATTTGCTGTCAACATTCTCAATATGGGTGCTTGTTTTAGAGGGGGGGGGAGCAGGAGTGTAGCATGGGGGGGGGAGACAGCTGCCAGGGCAATTGCTGGGGTGGGATCGAAGGGTGCATGGCTGCCCTCCCCACAGCCTCACAGATCAGAAAGAATGCTCAATAAATAGCCAATGCCATCTAATCTCCCAGCAAGCTTTGTGCAAACAAGTCAGGATGAATGCTCAATAAAACAGGTTGTCTGGAAGCAACCTGTGATTCACCCCACAGTGATGAGCGTTTGAGGCAGGAAGAAATTGGCAGGAACCCCAGAGTATCTCATACAAAAACAAAAACAGAAAAGGTTTCCGTCAATTTGAGAGCAGTGGGAGCACTTCTTCCTGTTGTTGTTTTTCACCCCAGGAGGAGCCGTGGAGATCAGAGGTAGCCTCTTTCTTTTCCTCTCCTGTACAGAGTAAGGAAGGAGATGGGAGCAGAAAGGGTCAAAGGAGGTTGTCGGCACAAATGCCATGCGTGGAAACAAGATACGCACCCTGTAGGTCCTGGTGCAGCTTTCACTTGGGCAGCATTTTTGGAAGGTGTCTCGGTCCAGGAATATTAAAAGTGCTGCCAGCATAAGCATCTGGAAAGGCAGGAGTGGAAGTCACAGAGGATACGGTATCCAATAATATCATGTTCTTATAGACTCTATAAAGAGGGACGCGGGTGGCACTGTGGGTTAAACCACAGAGCCTAGGAGTGGCCGATCAGAAGGTCAGCGGTTTGAATCCCGTGACGGGGTGAGCTCCTGTTGCTCGGTCCCTGCTCCTGCCAACCTAGCAGTTCGAAAGCACCTCAAAGTGCAAGTAGATAAATAGGTACTGCTCCGGCAGGAAGGTAAACGGCATTTCCGTGCGCTGCTCTGGTTCGCCAGAAGCGGCTTAGTCATGCTGGCCACATTACCCGGAAGCTGTACGCCGGCTCCCTTGGCCAATAAAGCGAGATGAGCGCCGCGACCCCAGAGTCGGCCACGACTGGACCTAATGGTCAGGGGTCCTTTTACCTTTTACCTCCTCTATATTGAGGGGAATACAAAGGATAGTCACCATGAAGTCCCATTGAAATCCATTTGACTTAATTTAACAACCTAACTCCTGATCTTACTTACTTATAATGCAGTCCTGCTAATTTCAAAGGGGCGTGTTTTCCAATAAACACGGTTGCCTTATGTAACTCTACACTGAGCTGCTCTGATTTTGAATTCAATGGTATAAACACTTTGAAATACATAAATGAATAAAGGAAGCATTTTGTTTGGTATTCAGTCCAACAAACACTGGCTACCATAGTCATATCATCTGCCAGTTCTCATTAATACAAGCCCATGTCATACATATTGAGATCACAGCCTAGATTACTCTAGAGTAGGATGGAAGGCTTTGCCAATTTTGGTTTATTCAGCCTTCCAGTTTAAAGTTCAATTCTCCACATTTCTGCCACCATTTGCAGGGTGGTGGTGGTTTTTGCTTTATTGTTTTTTTAGCTCCTTATAAAAATGATCAGCATTTTAATGTGACTTATTCCTAATAAATATATTTTTGCCCTGAACATATGGGATACAGCAATTTCTGAGCATCTCAGCAGACACAGAGGGCAAATAAAGGCATAACGAATAGAGACACCTTCCAAGAAACGTGGACCCCTTTCTTTAACTATGTTAATGGACCAAATCAAGATTTTGTTATACCAAACTGCTTAGTATTCTCAGTGGAGGGAATACATTAAGTAATATGCTTGAACACTGAATGTGTAAGTTTATGTTTAAAGTCAATAGCTAGAACAAACAACATTAGATGTACTGCTGGAGAAGTGTCTCTTGTATTTGAATTTGTTTAAAGACCAATAAAAAATTATATGTAACTTTGAATAACATACCCTTTTTTTGCAAGCAATTTCCCCTGATATAATGCATTTTGTAAGTTATGTTCACTGACATATGCACACTTTCCCCTAATATATTTGTAAAAATATTGGTTTACAAATGTAACACAAAATTCAAATAAGTGAGAATTTTGGAAGGCGGCTCTGTTTTGGTTCTCATATTGTTCTAGAAAATGCAGATTTGATCAATTCGGCTTTAAATGTGAAATGAATTCCCCACCCCACCCATCCCTCCTCTGTAGTAAATGCTTTTGTATGTTGTTGGCAAACAAGCCTATATTAAAAAGCACTTTCTTTTGGGTGGCTGTCGCCCTTGATTTCAGGCTCCCAATTATATTTCCTGTCTCTAAAATAAAGCCACTTCTCTTTTCTTCCCTCCCCCCACCTACTCCTTCTGACATTGCAAGATCACACAGCAGATTAGCACCTTGTTGCAGGGATCCCTAGAGAAGCAATGGAAAAAGAAAGCAGAAACCACACTTACCATAATACCAGAGAAACAGATTCCTTCAAAATACCACACATAGTTGGTGAGATTGTTGCTGGAAGCATACAGAGCTTTCCCATCAGGAAAATAGAGCAGGATATTTATAACAATGCTCCAAAGTGCTAGGGGGATTAACAGGCAACTGAGGCAGCCGCCACACTTTTGTAACCCCATCTCAAAAGGGCAGAGAAGGTGGTGGCCAATCCTTCCTGCCAAGTTGTCAAACGTCTCAACTTTCTTGCTTCAACTGAGTCATTTTGCATTGACAAGAACCCGGTTGCTGGGATATGATTCTTCTCAAACAAGCTCAGTGTCCAGCAAATAAAAACTTTGCGGTTCGTAGAACAATAGGCAAGTGCCACTGGCTGGAGTTCTTGTCATATCCTTGAAAGGAGGGGAGGGTGTTCCTCTGAGGAAATTCACCTCTGAAGGGAATTCCGACTCAAACCTCAGTCGCTCTTCGGAAGACAGGGGACTCAGTAAAGAAAAAGCGCTTTATATGAATTATAACACTGTGACACCAGATGGTGCTGTGGAGTCCTGTCTTTCACCAATGGGATTTCCCTTTACAGTGGTACCTCGGGTTACATACGCTTCAGGTTACATACGCTTCAGGTTACAGACTCCGCTAACCCAGAAATAGTACCTCGGGTTAAGAACTTTGCTTCAGGATGAGAACAGAAATCGTGTGGCAGTGGCGCAGTGGCAGCGAGAGGCCCCATTAACTAAAGTGGTGCTTCAGGTTAAGAACAGTTTCAGGTTAAGAACAGACCTCCAGAACGAATTAAGTACTTAACCTGAGGTACTACTGTATGAAGTTTAAAATGCATTTAATGGAATCGCTTTTTTTGATGTGTCTAGATCCAGCCAGGGGCGTAGGAAGGGGCGTGCGGGGCGGTCCGACCTGGGTGTCATCCTTGAGGGGGGGTGACAAAATCCCCCCTGGGCACTGATCGCCATGCCGATCACCCCCCCCAGCAGCTCACCCCCCCCCCCCGGTGCATGGCATGTGCACCGCTCTGGGCATAGCTGTCAATGTTTCCCTTTTTTTAAGGGAAATCCCCTTATTCCGAATAGGATTCCTCACAAGAAATGGGAAAAGTTGACAGCTATGGCTCTGGGTGCCCCAGTGGCTAGTTCCACTGCTGGATCCAGCCAAGGTTTCTCCAAAGATAAAAGAAAAACAAGACAGGGTTATGCAGGTATGACCAATTGACTGCCTGCTTTTTATTTTCCATAGCAGCATACAATTGAGTTGGCATTTAACTGAACTTGGAGCCTCAAGCTCACCCGGAAAACATGCCCTCTTGCCAGATGCGCCAACGCTGTATGAGGTACAGTTGATTAGGACGCCAAACCAATTCTCTTCTTTACCTTGGTGCTGCTTTGTGAGGATGAGGCTCCAAGTTGGCTCCAAGTTTCCAGAGAGCTGGATGAGCATCCGGAATAAGGAGTTGATGTTTACATGCCTCTGCATCCCAAAAGAAGTCTTAGCCCATCCCCAAACATTAGCTCACCTTCCCACTCGAAGTGACTGTCCCAGTTAAGATGCAGTAGAATTTGTCTCCATTTCAAAGAGGTTTGGGTTTTTTTGTACTTTAATATGTGATACCCATAAGAACAAACAGGCATAACTGTTAAAAGCAGGTGATGGGTAATACTGTATTGGTCTGAATATAGGCTGCACTTCCCCCCAAAAAAGAAATCTGGCTTGTATAAAACCTGAGTGAGGTTTATAATCATGTACTTCTAGGTAGATATTTGGGACCCACGTAGGGCTTTGGGATACTTCAGAAGGGTTTTTTTTGTAAAAGGATCACCTATCCTTCTCAACAGGCATCACTCGTTGCTTTGGTGAGTTATTTCATTGCTGGACAGGACTACAGGCTGAATGTACTGTACCTTTTAGATTGTAAAAAAGCACTGGGTGGTATTAGACATAGCTGTCAACGTTTCCCTTTTTCAAAGGGAAATTCCCTTATTCTGAATAGGATTTCCCTTTAAAAAAGGGAAAAGTTGGCAGCTATGATGCCAGAGCTTTATGGTACATGTTTTCCTTTCAAAAAGATCTTGTTTTGGGGGGTGCAGCCTATATTTGGAGGTGGCTTATATTTGGACCAATTTGGTACCTCTTCCTGAAACCCTGTCATTCAGAGCCAAATAGACAACACTAGGTTAGGTGAACAACTAGTTTGACCAAAGGCTGGGTCTTCCATGCACCAGGGTGTGGCAACCTGTTTCAGGTGGCATCATGAGGAAAGGATAGCTGCAGACAAGAATTCGTGTGTGAAAAGTACAACAAGACTTTTTACTGGCTCCAGCATTTGGGCTCAACTTTAGGCAACAAAAATTATCTCATACCTGGTAGAAAGCATCTTTCTATGTTCTTCCTAACCTGTTTTCACAAAAACGTAGAACAATTTCAATTCCAGTATCGAAATATAGGATGAACTTTTTTTTCTTGAAAACAACAACAACAGAATTCAGTGTACTGCAGTTCTAAATGCAGATGTGTGGGAATAAGTTGAGGGAGGGCTATCATTTAACTGAGTAAGTTCCTTCTCTTAGTGGGGATGCAGTTTTGTTTGTTGAAACATGACTACTGATTTCAGGCTGCATGCGGGTGCTAGTAACATTATGTTTATCAAATAGGATATACAGCTCTCTGGCAGGGCTCTAAATGTAGGCCCTCAGCAGGGTTTCTCCCACCCCAGAAAAGTTGTAAGAAGGGAGTTTGGGTTGTACTTGGTATGCAATGTCTGAAGACCACACCATTTGTGTGCTGCTTTTCCACAGCTCACAGTGGCTTTCCACAGGCAAAAAATAATAATCATAGATTGTGCATGCCAAACAGAAGACATGTCTTCTGCTTTTGTTGGATTGCTATTTAACAGACATCTAAGAAAAAGCAATGCCTGTTTCTCAACTGTCCCTTAGTGTTGCAATATTTACAGCTAAATTCCCGTAAATGAGTAGTTTCCTAGTTGTTGTTGTTGCTTGCCGAGAGAGTTGAATAACCTACCTGCTGACCGAAACCAAATTATTTGATCAAAAGCAATTCATTTGCCAGACGTAAGGTTTTTGTTCTGAAAGGATTTAGAACTCATCAGTAGGCGTTAAGTCATTGCCATCATTTCATGCTAGTCTCTGCTCGCATAAGAAAGCCAAAAAGATTTTCGTCATGACTTATAAAGATCACTTCCAGTTTTGCACTAACTGCAAATCAAGTGTGCAAGAGGATATCTTCTTACAGTGAGGAGAGATGAAAGACAAGGAACACGTGTACACTGCAAACATAAGATGGTTTTATACCGCTTAACTACAAAGATTTCTTCAAAGAATGCTAGGAATTGTAGTTTGTTAGTTATTTCAGCAGTGGAACCGCCCCCTCAGGAGGTTGTGGGCTCTCCTTCTTTGGAGGTGTTTGATAGTCATCTGTCATGGATGCTTTAGTTGAGATTCCTGCATTGCAGGGGGTTGGACTAGATGACCCGCAAGGTCCCTTGCCAACTCTGCAGTTCTTTTTTAATTTCACTTACTACAGAGATGCAATAGCTTCTAATTTTAGTGCACAAGCTGCTTTTCTCTTTAGCGATTTCCTTGCAGCGCTTCATGTGGTCTATTTCCGGTGCCAATTCGTTTATAACCTTCTCAGATCTGTATATTTAACTGTGAATTTTGTTCGGCAGTGAAATGAATCTCTGTGAAAGACGTGAAAAGAAAGAAAACACACATGGGGGTTGTGGGGTTTTTTTTATTGTTACTGTTATGGATCACCGTCATCTTAATTTTCGAACCCAATCTTTTTAAAGTCGAATCTCCTTCACTCCTTCCCACCTTGACGTCATCTTACTTCCTTCTTCTATAGGAAGATACAATGTTCAAGGAAGCAGCCTCTCTGCTCCTTAGGTATGCACTTCCCAAATATATCTATATCCAGAAAGGATAAATAATACAACTCAAGCCCTAATTCCATGGCATTCCATGGAATGTGTGAAGACAGAGACTGTGGGAAGGAAGGTGGAGAATGCACGCCAGCCCTGACCTCAACTCCACTTCTGACTTCAACACACCGAGCGCAAAGGTCTGGAGTTTATTCTAAGTGCATTTGGCTAAACATACTTGGAATCTTCCCCATGCTTAAGAATGCAAGCAAGGCAGGGGTCTCAGTCTCAGGAAGAGATTGGGTTCAGCTTAGAATCCCACTTCAGACCTTTGCATCTGAAAATTGATACCATGGTGGTGGGAAGTGGAGCTAATGTACTCAACTCTGCTCCTACCCCAGGTTCATTTTGAACACCTGAAGGAGGAGATATATGACGCGCCCCTAACATGGGTATAGGCAAGGGGGCAGGGGGGGCACTTGCCCCCCTCCTAAATGAAGTAAATAAATAAAAATACTTTACTAAAAGTAGAAACCGTAGAAAGGTTGACAGATTTTTCTGAGCACTTGGGGTAAAAACAAAAAGTAATTTAAAACATTTCATCATTCTGAATCTGCTAGACAGGGCCAGACAGAGGATGGTGACAGGTGTCCTGCCCCTCCCTGACATAAATCCTGGTTATGCCCATGATCCCTAATAAAATGAGTCCAAGCTTTTACTGATACCATTACTCAGCTACAGCTCCTAGTGCTGTCATTTGAAGCAATAAACGTCTTGTTGGGGGAAATCAATTTACACATGAAAAATAGAACATTGAAAACCATCCGATTAATGATGGAAAACAGTATAATATATGCTAACAACACAATCCTGTACATGCCTACTCAGATGTAAATTTCACTGAGTTCAGTAGGGCTTACTCCCAGTTACGTGGGTTCAAGGTTGCAGCCTAAATGATCCATCGGTCTACGCTTACACAGCTAACAGTATACTTACATTTCTGTAACATAAGAGAGCTCAAAGGGGATCTGGCACAATATACTTTTTTTAATTGCTGAGTTATGTGCTAGAAGTTTTTAAACAATGCTATTCGGGAACGACGTATGTGACATGAACAGAGTACATATGCTATATAAAACAAGTGCTAAGAATATGAGTTTTGTCTCAGTTCAAAAAAATACAGGAATAATTACAGTGAAGTATGAGAAGTTTTCAACCCATTTCCAGGTCCAAGCGTTTTAGCAAGGGCAGGTCTGTAAAAGATTAAAAACACACATTTGATAAATACATGAGAGCAATAGCCCAGAATCCAAAACCCTTATCCATTTATACAATATAGGCAGCCCAATGCAGAGTTCACTGAATTCAAGGTCAATTTCAATGGATCATGACTCATTTTCAGAGCTGATGCACTGATCTGAATGGGGGAAACTCCCCTTTGCTAGATCGCCTGTTGTGATACCAATTTTAGTGTTGGCATCATTTGGTAGAGTCTGTCATTCACACAGAAAATACTGGGGCTTCTTCCTTGTGTGATGTTTCTCACTCCTATACAACAAGATTTCAGTTGATTGACCATCAGATGTTCCCATGAAAGGGAGAAAATGATAGTCACTCAAGGACCA